GATCAAAGTTTTATTAAAATGAATGCAAGCACTAATTTTTGTTGTAGAAAATACTTTTCTATTTTGAGTTATTTTAAGTATTTTTTAAATTATCATAATATGAATAATTTGAATTTGAAAAGAAAAAAAATTCAAATCATAAATCGTTAAACATAGGCAACCAGGTGCACGTTAACGCTAGCTGGATAGTCAAACACGTGCTGTAAATTTGTTTCATTGTTTGTAAATTCACCAATCAAGTTAGTTTTTCTTAATCGTCAGCCAGTGGTAAAACAATTTAACAATCAGGATTATTTAAATAAACCACTTGCTAGAAGATTTCACGCAATTCACTTAGTTAGGAAAACACCTTGTTGTTTAATTACGAATAAGTTTCTGGATTTACATTATAACATTTCTTAATTCTTCACACAAGATTGCTAATAGTTCATTTACGGCAGTTAAACAAGTTCATTATACTGCGAACTGGCGGGGGGTTAAATAATTCCCTTCGCTTAGGCGGTTATCATCGTTATTATCATCGTTATCATGATCATATCACTGGGGCATCTCCTCACAACACTACAGATTGATTATATCATCGAGGCATGCCCTCACAACGCTACAGATTAATTACATCATCGAGGTTCGTCCTCGCAACGCTAGACATTAATAACATCAACGAGGATTATTCCTCCCACCGCTAAAATATACATCATCGAGGCAATTCCTCCCAACGATTTAAAATTTACATCACCGAATGATGCTTTTTCCCTCGGAGCGGTGATTGGATATTTTTGTCTTTGTTTATTATGTGTTTTGTTGTGGTAACCAGTTCGCGGTATTTTAAACTCTCAAAGTAAATTGTTTTTTTTTAAGTAACCAATTACTTAGATCATGATATAATTTGACATAATGTAAACTCTTTATTTGAATCATTGAAAAAGTGTGGCAATTATTAATCTCATGTAAATTTTGTTAACTCTGCAAATTTTCACCTCATACAATATTTCTTTAATCTCACAATTTTAACCTCAGTAATTTTCATTTGTTGTATAATTTTAATTGAACTGTTTTCGATTGTGCAACTGACATTAAGTGCGATTTATAAACTTGCTGTTGACGTTGAACATCAAAGTATTAAAGAAATTTACCATTTTAGACATGTTTTAAGTTTCTTGTTGCCGAAATAAGTCTACACATGTTAAGAAAAACAGACAAAAAATAAGCCCCGCCCACCCACCCTGTCTCAATTCTGATGATATTTTTTATTCGTTGTAAGCCAAGAAGGCGGAGCTTAACTGCAAAATTCTTATTTCTCTACGAGAAATTAAAACCATGTTTCTGAGTGTCGTGTTGTTCAAAGAATACTATGTAAATTTAGAAAAGTAAAGCGGAAGATTTTTCATTCGTTGTCAGATCGAGGAGCGGGGCTTTTTTAAACATGTTTGTTGTACTGAAAAGACGACTACGTATATTAAAAAAAAAAGGAAAAACATAAACCCCGCCCACCCACCCTATTTCAATTGTGATGATTTTTTTTTAATCGTCGAGAGCCAAAGGGGCGGAATTTAATTGCAAAATCCTCATTATTTCTCTACAAGAAATTTCCAAGTAAGACACGTTTTTGACTATCTTACCTGCCCTGATCTAAATAGTAATGAAGTTTTAATTCGTTGGCAGACCTAGTGGCGGAGCTTAATTGCAAAATCCATATTTCCTTTCAAAAATTTACCATTTTAAATGCGTTTTAAGTTTCTAAGAATAAAAAAATCATCACAATTGAGATAGGGTGGATGGGTGGAGTTTATATTTTGCTTTTTTTTCTTAATATACTTAATATTCTTTGGACAACACGATACTCAAAAAGATGTTTTTAATTTCTTGTAATGAAATAAGTATTTTGCAGTTAAGCTCCGCCCTCTTGGTACGCGGCGAATAAAAAAAATCATCACAATTGAGACAGGGCGGGTGGGCGGGCTTACGTTTTGCCTTTGTGTTTTAATATATGTATGTAGACTTTTTTCACACATGGAACAAAATATATGCCCCACCCACCCACTCTATCTCAATTCTGATGATTTTTTTTTATTCGTCGTAAGCCGAGGGGCGGAGCTTAACTGCAAAATCCTTATTTCTCTAGGAGCAATTAAAAACATGTTTTTGTTGTTTGTGTTATTCAAAGCATACTGTGTATATTAAGAAAAATAAAGCCAAAGAATAGGCCCCAACCATACCTGCCCTGATTAAATAGTAATGAAGTTTTCATTCGTTGCCAGACCTAGGGGAGGAGCCTAATTGCAAAATCCATATTTCCTTACAAAAAATTACCATTTTAACCGTGTTTTAAGTTTCTAAGAATAAAAAAATCATCACAATTGCGATAGGGTGGGTGGGCGGGTTTTATACTTTGTCTTTTTTTCTTAATATACTTAATATTCTTTGGACAACATAATACTCAAAAAAATGTTTTTAATTTCGTGTAAAGAAATAAGTATTTTGTAGTTAAGCTTGGTTCACGGCGAATAAAAAAATTTCACAAGATTGTATGGCGAATTTAAATATTGTTTATGTCTCTTTTGAAACTTTAACACTTGTTCAGTTGTTGTTAATATCAGTCATAAGAAATTGAACATTTAAAAATGGAATTGAGTTTAAATAACAGAGAAAACGTGACAGAAGCGAAGTGCGGTTCCTAGTCGGGCTGGCGAGATTTATCGTGTCACCTGTACAAGTCCACAGGTTTGGATAGATTCAGGGGCGCCCGCCGATGTTGTAATGTTTTCGGCTTCTGTCCTTAGCCGAGATCCCACTGCGGTTCTGGCGACCGTATTGGCCTAGTTTCGAACGCATGATCGTAATGGAGGTGTGAGTGCGGGTAGGCTTTGCGATAGATAGAATCACCGTCGTGGGAGGAGAACAGCCTCAGACCGGTAGCCCCAAACTCCGCTTGTGCTAGCACACCCCAGGGGTACTTTTGTTGTGCTCCTGTTAACTGCCGTAACTTTAAATTTGACGCGACACGCCCGTAATGACTTGTGTATTTGCATCCAGTTACTTGATTCAGTTTTTGCTTTGTTTTATTAAATTTGTGATATTCAAATATTTACATTGACTCCAAACAGATGTATAGAATTTTGTGTTTGTTCGTTTTTCATATGTCAATTCGCGAGTGTTTTTTTCTTTCATATTTTTAAGGTGTTTGAAATGTAATATATCTGTGAATATAGCCCTTGGGGGTTTTTGGAGATGAAGAACGATGGCGATTGGTCCCTGCTGGACCGCCAGAAAGTATCCCCTCCCAAATTTTTGTCTATTATTTCTTGCGCTCTCGACTCACACGCAGTGTGCTCACTTGTATGAAAGAACGTCTTCCCGCCACTTTCCAAAAAAAAGAAAAACACAACGTAGGTTCCCATTTGTTAGACGATCACAGCCAAGGCCAAATTTTGAATTTTTGAAATTTTCGCGGGCTTTTCAAACTTTTTCAAGGTCAATTTAAAGGCGGGAAGTTTGGGTTATCACAATAAAATTATTTAATACATTTGTACACCTTTAGGCGTAAGTTTATCTCAGAATTTCCATTTAAGTAATGAAAATCGTTCATATTTTTTAAATTTCAGAACTGTATTAGTCCCATCTATAATTAGAGTCAAAAGTACTAAAACATCATAAAATTTTAAATATGTTGACAACCTGACAAAAAAAATCATAAAAATGATAATAGTCACTCGGTACTTACAAATATATCCAAAAATATGACAAAATATTTTTCGAAAAAGCAAATATAAACGAAAGCGAATATTCTTTAACAATATTTGTAGGTAAATAGTGTATAAATTTACTAAAATATTCTTCAACTCTACGGCGTAGTTTAGACAATATTAAATGATTTAAATGAGTGTTACTGGGAGTTATTAATAAAAAATTTGGCTGGCAACAGTCTCATCAATCATTAGTTAAAATGCGAACACAATAAACGCCACTCCCGTTGATTACAAAGCTTTTACACAAATTACGGACAATTTTTAATAATGATTAGGTTGTGTAATCAAACAAAGAGTGATAATAAAAGAACTAAGGGGCAAAATGTGTTCGATTAACTGTTAATTACCTAATTACAACTTTTTGATTTTTTTTGGGAGAACAGATTTTTACAATAAATATAAAAAAAATTAGAAGAGTATAATTATTGAATAAATGAAAACAATTTTACTTTAAGGGGGAAGAACTTTTCTCAGACGTAAATTATCAGCCATCAAAAAAGTCAAATTTAATGCAAACATTGAAAACATGGATTTAAAGTATCGATGAGTTTTTTTTTGTGAGCCGAATTTCGAATGTAATGAACTTTATCTTCTGTTTTTTAGATTGATGACATAGAAACAATGATTAGATATGTGTAACTTATCGCAATATTCCACAGATTAAATATTAACATTGAATGAGAACGGAAATGTGTTGTTAATAAATATTCTATTGTGCAACATTTTTTTTAGACTCATTAAAGTACGCCCTTACCATTCGTGCATATAAATATTTTATATTAATAAAACAACTACTGATAAGTGATAAGTGATTTTATAAATGAGATGGAAAGTAAAATCTTGACCGCAAAATGAAAACAAAACAAAAATCCTGTTTAGGTGTCTTTTTATTACTTACCTAAATGAGATAGTAATAAAGAATTTATGATCCGTTTAAGTCAGTGCAGATGTACTCAAATTTTTAGAATGTAAGTAATTTAAGGTGCACAAAGAAATTATTAAATTCCGTACAACTACTATTATTACTTTAATAATTTTTGAAATCTACTTAACTGAAAAAAAAAAACAAAAGATAACGGAATTCAAAATGTGTAAAACATGTGACTGCAGAACACAACATTATAACAACCATTACTCTCAAACTGGATTAAATAATGGTGGATGCGCCGGTTAAAATGATTAATTCATTAAAAAATACAACACTCAAATTTTATCTCCTTTTTTTAGATCTTATATAATACAAAAATAATCTGTATAATTCTTATATGTGTTTTAAATACGATGTTTAGATCTTAATCATTTTCCTCCACCACTTCCTTGTGTATATACAAACATCCCGAAAAGTTCGTAACGAAATTAAAGTATATTCCTTACAGAATATTGACGGATTCCAAGTTGCAAAACTTTCTTTGAATACAAATTTCTCCTACGAAATTACGAACATTAAACATTTGATGCAAATAGTGTGTTAAGTTACCGATTCATTAGTTACAATTTCATATTGCTGATACCACTTCCAACAAAAATTTAAAACTAAAGCTGACGCTATTATTGAAGTTACGGAAAAAAAACGTAAGTTTTGAGTAAAATTTTCTCTTCAATATCTGAAATTAATAGTAAACAGATCAATATTCCACGTTTGAAATTTTAAGTGCTTACACTAGTGCTTGATTTTGAGCCACTTTTTTTCGATTCGTTTTTCTCGGCTTTTTCTCCCTAGAGCATGTTAGGATATTATATAAATTAATAAAAAATAAATAGTGTTTACTTACCTCCCATTGATAGTAATTGTAAGAACTGTATTCATAGTCACTGTAATAATTGTGATAGTCAAAATAAGTTTCTGAATCATAACTACTTTGTCTTGATTTATTTTCATAGTTTCTTTCATTCTGTAGTATATTTGTTAATTATGTTTAAATTAAATTATTATCTACTTCTTTTCACTTACAGTGTTACTAAATCCAGTTGTGTCATTGTAACTATTATATTGTTTTTCTTCTCTTTTTCTTTTTAAAACCCAATCATAGTTTTCTCTTTCCTTTGCATCAGTTAAAATGGATAAAATAGATCCTACAGTACAAGAATACGAATTTAAACCGTTACGTGCCCATATTGGAAATTATACAGTGTGACCAAAAAGTCAGGCACCCAGCATAATAAAATCTTCATGCCTGTAGATAAGCCTAGAGTCCACAACATCAATGTGAGACGTATTACAAGCAGCTTCTTGCTCTGGTCTCATATGTAAGTCTTGACAAGTCCTTAATAAGTACCTAATGTGGTTCAGTCAACATGAAGATTTTATTACGTACCTTTACTTTATCACAATGTGTGAGCTATATAATTTACCTAAAAGCTGAAAGGCTTTGGTTGCGTCAGGATGTTTATTTTTATCTGGATGAACTAACACTGCTAATTTTTTATAAGCCTTGTGAATTTCTTCCTCTGTTGCAATTTCGTGGACATCTAAAATTTCATAATAATCCTCACACGTCATAATTGTTTCTATAACCTGTTTGTGCTTGTCACTATGATCATCAACCATGTCTTATTCTTCTTCTGTAATTGCATCCAAAGGGAAACAAGTTAATTTTTGTCACTGTTGGTAAAGTTTTATAATTGTGGTAACCCACAATGACATTACGTTGTGTTTAAAATTTCACAATAATTAATAGAATAGTTTATTCTATGTACTTTACTTGCTTAATAAATTCGCCAAGGGACGACAGACAGACAGACAGACAGACAGACAGACAGACGAACGGATGTACATTTTTATAGTTCAGGAGCCATGAAAAGTAAAATTATCATACAATAAAATTTATGTGCATAACAATAAAAACAAAAAGCTAAAACAGTCTTATAGAACTTTTAAAATTTTCAAAATCATCTGAATGGTTAACTTGGATAATCTGAGTGATATAGAAAACTATTACATTATTTAGATGACATTCAAAGACCTGATTGAGGACGAAAATTTATACATACACTATACAGAATACAGACATGTCCTCACCAACGTATGTAGTGCCTTCTCAGTAGTTCTATAGGTTATTTCTGATTTTTGTGTTTACTACTCTATATCATACTAGTTGTTTTTAGTTTCATTTTTAACAACCTGTGCTAATCTGTGTGATGATGAAATTCTATGCATTGATAAAAATGGTGTAACTTTGAAAAAATCTGTGATTTATGGTGTATGTATAAAGAGTTGCATATAAAATATCAGTTAATTCTAGAAATCAACTTAATTTTTGCTAGAAAGCAATTTCCAGTCTCCTATGTATTTCAAACGAATATTAGAAACAAATTGAGATTATTCACTTCACTTAGTATTCACATAAGATCTAAAGAAGCTAAACCCTGTTATCAGCGGTAACTTTCTACCCCTGAAATACAAACACGCAAACTACGCATTACGTGCTTTATTTCTTCCTCCTTCCTGTTGTCAATGAATAAATCACAACCAACAGTAAAACACTTTTTCCAGTATACTGATTGCCATGATAAAAAGACATTACAATAAATATAAATACTATTATAATACAGCTCTATAATAAAACAACAACCTGGTCTACAACAAACAACAAAGTTAAGGTTAATAATTCTTCAAAGTCTGCAACTTATCACACGCTGGCGTTTTTATATTCTGAGCTGCTTGAAACAATTCCCGATCGCCAAAATTTCTAGCTTTCCAGATCATCGAATCACCTTAAAACACACATTACATAGAGACGAAAATCGAAACACGTCGCAAACACCTACGATAATTTTTCTCCCGATAACAGGAATGTCTCAACGTTGAGATGTACTCCTCCTCGACCGACATTTCGAGCCGTCGCACAGAACCCTGAAACTCGGCGGCAAAATTTTCTTTCACATAGTATGGTATTTTCAGGTTAGCTGTACTTCTCGCGATCGGGTATTTCCTAAAAAAGCACAATCGAATTTTGGTTACAATAGTCATTAGTAACTTACGGATTCGCCTGTAGACTGTATGGGGGGTCTGATACGAAAAAGCTTGAAGCCATCGATAACACGATAGCGAGGATTATCGGTAATAATTGTACGAATGCTGAGTAATTGCTTTGCTGGGGTGAAAAAAATTAGTTAAATGTGGAATGACTTGATTAGGATAACTTACTTCTCGATGGTGGTGGTTGTGATGACTTTCCTGAGTGCCGGCACCTTGTCGCTGCCATCTTCCGCCCCTTCGTACATATACGTTTGCTCCGTTGAAACCCGATCCAAAGAACATGTTGAAAATTTCATCTGCACCGTCAGCGTCAAATTCTCTGAAAGTGTTATTGTAGTGAGTTCTGGATGATAATCGTTCATCTTCGGGTCCAAATTGATCATATTGTTTACGTTTTTCCACATCAGTTAAGATAGCCACAGCATTACCTGAAATATGGAGGGAAATTAGAATTTTTTTAATGTGAAGGTTTACCCATTTAAGTCACCAAAAACTTAAGTTGAGAAACTATCATTTTTTAAATTGTATTTGTTTGCGTCACTGTTCATGCTTTACTTGTCAAATATCGCGCAGACGTGGATCACTTAATGTTATTCTCAAATTGTTTCACCTCTAGTAGTAATATCTGAGAGGTAACCTATATAATTTTAAAATAGTTGCAATTGAGCACTTATTTATATAAATGGTTTAGTTTTCTTAATAGTATTTACTACCGCTGACCTATTTAAGGTTATATAGTACCTTTTAAGGCATTGAAATTGAGGTTAGTTGACCTTATTGACACTTTCTTCAAAATGGCGGAACCAATCAAAACAGGCTAAACAGAGATCACCACAAGATTAATATGAAGTTTTATACTTGATTAACTTTTGAAAATTTTATGTGTAACTCGATCACCATCTTTGTTTCTTTTTTTAGAAATCTTTTATATCTCGCTACCACACTTGCTTAATGATGTTTTTCGCCCTCAAAACTCACCAATTTTCTTGAAAGCTTCTGCCGCCCCTGGACACTTGTTCTTGTCAGGATGAAACTGCAAGGCCAATTTCTTGTACGCTTTTTTAATTTCAGAATCGGTGGCATCCTTGCTGACTCCCAAAATCTCGTAGTAATCCTTACATTTATTAATTTTCTTCACTGCCTCCAGTTGATCGGGGGTGTACTCGGGGGCTTTGGGAGTTTCTTCAGGCTTGGGGGCCACATTGGCGCGCCGTCTCGGCTGCTCCGTCTCCACTTTCTTTTCCGCCATCAACTTTACTTGGGCAAGGAGATCTGCAAGACGCAAGGATAAAGGACACGTCAGTTATCCTGACTGTTGTTTGACGTACCTTTGGCTTTCTGTGAAGGATAGAGACGTTCAGCTTTGTGAAGAAATTTTTCGGCTTTCTCGCGATTGCGTTCTTGGATGTACGATTCGGCGAGCTTAATACATTTATCTGCTTCATCTTTGTTACCGTCCATTACAAGCGGACAAACTGGTGGTTAGGAGACGCACAAAACTTTCACAAATCAATCGAATTCTTCGATGTGACGAATTAATTAAGGAACAGCTGATTTCATTTTGACGTACGTCAAATTTAAATGACGTTCGACTATTGACCTAACAAAAGTAGATTCCGTCCTCTGGTGAATGAATTCGCTGTTTTGTAAAATCGGAGTTGATTGATCTCCAGGCGAATCGAGTCAACACAACATAAATCACACGTGGCACATTTACAACTGCTTGAATAAAGCTATAAATCGTCGTAACCGTAGAACGTTTTTTTATCCTTCAATGGAAGTTTTTACACGTTTTTCCGCGAGTGGCGCCTCCGTCGTCTTTTTCCAATATGGCGCGTGGTGCAGTGACGTGTTTGATTATTTTTGTTGTAATTTGTGGTTTTCTGAATGTAAAAGGACAAAAAGACATTATATTATTAAATGAAGACAACTGGACGGACATGCTGAAGGATGAGTGGATGGTGGAATTGTAAGAAATAGTTTTTTTTTACGAAAACAAAAACGCCGCTGTCATGTCAAATGATCTCATGCGAAACCGAAACAAAAATCGGGAAAAGTGCCGTGTTTTATGAAATTGGAGGTTGTGAAGCGTGTTTCCGGCGTTTCTTGGTGTTTGTATCGACACTGGGCGTTGACGATGACTGAGTACAACGCCGGTTGTCGGGTGTGTAATTGGTCAATTATCGGCAATTTGTTAATTGCAGAAACTCGCCAAACTGGATTTTTCGCCTAAATTGAAAAATTATGCGGAGAAGGAATTTTTCGGAAATTGAGTTAATTTATTTGGGGGCGACATTACATTACCCACTTGAAATCTCGTGCTGTGACATCAGCATGTTGACACCATGCCAGTGGCGTACAAAAACCAAAAGACTTAAATTTAAACAAAAAAACCGTTTAAAAATAGCCACGTAAGGCTACTTTTAATACATTCTTAACCAAAGCATTTGAAGCTAATGTCTTCTTCTCGTTGGTAGCGTATGCCAAAAAATTCGTGCTATCTTATCCGCAATCCTGTTGTTATTGGATCAGATTTATATTTTCTACAAAGCTCCTTTCTATTTAACTATTTAAATGGGTCAAATATATCATTAAAGACAAACCCAGTACAAATCTTTAAGAAAAAATTGCACACAAATTTCAAGAGCTATTCATACCGAAATTAGTCAAAACTAATAAACAGGTGATTCAAAAGAGCTTCAATGGCGAGGGTGATTTTTTAAATTTCTGCTTTAGTTGGCCATGGCGCTTACGTCAGCCGTTTCTTATGCACTGCTGACGTACGCGTCATGGCCAATAAGAGCAGGAGTTTAAAAAATCACACTGTATAAATCATGCGTTGACCGGACAGTGTAGATAGATGAAAATATTCGATCAATGATTTTGTGTAGGTACATTCCACAGCACTAAAATCAGAAACAGATTGGTGTTGTTAAATGTTTAGAGTTTACTCATCCAATTTCACTAAAAATATAAAAGTGTGAGGACCATATCTCTGTTTTGACTCGAGCTAATTGTGTAGATAGTTTTAAACAACAAAACTTACGTTTAATGTTTTCTTGGTTAAACTAACTGCTACGCAGTATCTGATACGAAGTGTGTTTTATGTTGTAAATTTTGCTAAAAACCGCCAACTATCTAATCTATAATTCTGATAATAAACAGTTTACTGATAAAAAATAGTGTAATTCTTTAACCACTTTGAGTACATACTGGGATTCATGATTTTGAAATTTTATCAAAAAGTATCATATGTACAAATGATAAAAAAATAACTCCAATTACTAAATTCAAATTTAGAAATAATCTACAATTTCCGTCGCACCCAAGTTACTTAAATTATTTATTGGCATTTGTGTTCAGTCAAGAAGGAATAATAATAGTAATAATGTTTAAGCATTGTTTGTCGTGTAGCCGACTATTAATCAGGTTTTATTGTTACAATAAAAACCATGTGTATTAAATTAGTTTCAAATCTGAGATGTTTACAGCTGTTGTACACAAGCAGTATTTTTGTAAATTTTAATCTTGTAAAAATATGCAAAAAATAAATAATTTAGTAGGTGTATGCAATTATTGTTTTATCAAGACGATTAAAAACAAAGTACCAATTTTATTCCGTGGATTAATCTGGCAACGATCATTACCGTGGAGCATTGTTACTAACAAATTAAATTGGACTTTGAATATCCTGAGACGTCATTTGGAATAAATGTAAGCTAATGTATATTTCGACGGCGTTAATTAAAAGTATGAAAAAAAGTCTACTGTATTCAAAAATAATTTTAAGATAAGAATTTATTATTATTAACAATGTGTGAAGCTGAAGGCAATCTTCGCGTCCGAAATACAGGAAATTGCCCAAAGTAATCTAAATTTAAACTACTCGGTTGCTGTAGAGCTCCATAGGTGCAGTTAAGTAAACGCTAACGGTGAAAGTAATTTTCAACAAAATATTCTGACCGTCACCTCACTTGGCATTAGTAACTAAAGTATTTGGGAAATTTCTTCCTAAATAAAATAGGTATAGTATTTTTGTAACGCATAATTCCAAAAAAAAATCATAAATAAAAAATTGGCCATAATTTAGTTTTTTTTTTAAGTAAAAAGCAGTGGCGTAAATAACACCCGCACACCTCATGTGGAGAATGTGAAATATATTTAAAGCAGATAACCAATGGGAAAAATGTATATATTCTTAACTTCGAGTGTCCATGTTTATACTTTGAAATAATTCGGCTATAAGCACGTTCAGATTACAAACATCGGCGGTTAAAAGAAAATAAAATCTGACTGATTTTGTCTCATCAACGCCGAGAATTGATTAAATAAATACATTCAGTTTTTTTCTCAAAAAATTAGATATCTGGCGGAAACACTCAGAAATTTGAAGAAATTTATTCGCTAAATTGTAACATTTTTTCTTAAACGAACAAATTTTGATTAACAATTTACCGTGCTTCCAATTATCTTAAAATATCAGCATTTGGTTTTTTAAGTTAAATCTGGGTGCCAAGGTAAAAACTCAACACGGATTCATAAATCACACCTGCAGGAGTATCGAGTTTCATAAAATTAAACATTGATTAGTCGTCAAACTTGTAAAATGAGATCATTATTTTTGGGAGGGCGGCATAAATGAAAACATTTTTATTAATGATTTGCCATGCTTACGATAACCTTAAAACCTTTGCAAAATTATAGAACATTCGGTTGTGCAATTTCAAAGTTAAGTTATTATAGTTTATAAAATTTAAATAATTGGTTAGAGTAGGCTTAATTCAAATTACGTCAAGCTCAATTCAATTATCTTAGAAAGTACTAGCCCTGCCCACCCACCCTTTTTTTTCTTAGAGGATTTATCATTTGCCAAAATGAGTCTTATATTAACAAATACTAGCCCCACCCATCCACCCTTTATTTTCTTAGAGGGTAAGTCATTTGCCAAAATCAGTCATATCTTAGCAAGTACTAGCCCCGCCCACCCGCCCTCTATTTTCTTAGAGAGTTATTATTTGCCAAAATCAGTCTTATCTTAGCAAGTACTATATTTTGCATTTGTTTCTTAATATGTGTCATCATCTTTTCACAACAAGAAACTTAAAACATGTGGTAAATTTGTATAGGAAAATATGGATTTTGCAGCTACGCTCCACCCCTCGGTCTGACAACGAATGAAAAATGACGACTGAAATCGAGGCGGATGGGTGGGACTTCTCTTTTGGTTTTTTTTTTAATTAAAAGATTTAGTTTTCTTTGTATAAGACGATTACTTAAGAACATATTTTACATGGTAATTTCTCGTAGAAAAATAAGAATTTTACAATTAAGCTCGGCCCCTCGATTTACGACGATTAAAAAAAAAATGATCAGAATTAAGACAGGGTGGGTGGGCGGGGCTTGCATTTTGCATTTTTTTCTTAACATACATATAGCCATCTTATCACAACAAGAAACTTAAAACATGGTTAAAATGGTACGTTTTTGTAAGGAAATATGTATTTTGTAATTATGGGGCGGAGCCTAGTTGAAAAATCGATATTTCCTTATACAAATTTTCTATTTTAAACATGTTTTAAGTTTCATAGTGTGAAAAGAAGTCTACACATATTAAAACAAAAAGACAAAATGTAAGCCCGCCCACCCGCCCTATCTCAGTTGTGATGATATTTTTTATTTGCCGTGAACCAAGGGGGCGGAGCTTAACTGCAAAATACTTATTTCTTTACAAGAAATTAAAAACATTTTTTTTGGAGTATCGTGTTGTTTAAAATATACTATGTACATTAACATAACATAACATATTTATTTGTACATATAAACATATAACACTGTTTTTGTACACGTCAACATACAACAAAACAAATTTTTTACAATATCTACATGGAATTTGTGTAAGGCAAGACCTAGTAACGTTAAGAAAAAAAGGCACAACATAAACCCCGCCCACCCACCCCATCTCGATTATGATGTTTTTTTTTTATTCTTAGAAACCTTTTTTTAAGGAAATATGGATTCTGTAATTAGGCTCCGCCCCTAGGTCTGCCAACGAATGAAAACTTCATTACTATTTAGATCAGGGCAGGTATGGGTGGAGTTTAAACTTTGGCTTTATTTTTTTCTTAATATACTTACATAGTTTTTTTTAAATAACACGATACTCAAAAACATGTCTTACATGGTAATTTCTTGCAGAGAAATAATAACGATTTTGCAATTAAGCTCCGCCCCTCAGCTTACGAGGAATAAAAAAAAACATCAGAATTGAGTTAGGGTGGGTGGGCGGGGCTTATATTTTGGCTGTTGTGTTAACATACCAAAAAAAAAACAAGAAAAAAACAAGAAAAACTTTTCAGAACAAGAAACTTAAAAATGTTTGAAATGGTAAATTCTTCTAGACAAATATGGATCTTGCAATTAAGCCCCGCCCCTCGATCTGACAAGGAATGAAAATTAATCACAACTTACTTTCTTTACAAGAAATTAAAAACCTCTTTTTGAGTATCGTGTTCTTCAAAGAATACTATGTACATTAAGAAAAAAAGGCCAAATATAAACCCCGCCCACCCTCCCCATCTCAATTGTGATGATTTTTTTTATTCTTAGAAACTTAAAACACATTTAAAATGGTAATTTTTTTAAGGAAATCTGGATTCTGCAATTAGGCTCCGCCCCTGGGTCTGCCAACGAATAAAAACTTCATTACTATTTAGATCAGGGCAGGTATTGGTGGAGCTTAATCTTTGGCTTTAATTTTTTCTTAATATACATAGTATTCTTTAAATAACACAATACTCAAAAACATGTTTTACATGGTAATTTCTTGTAGAGAAATATCGATTTTGCAATTAAGTCCCGCCCATCGATCTGACAACGAATGAAAAATTCATCACAATTGGGACAGGGGGGGTGGGCGGGGCTACATTTTACCTTTTTTTTCTTTACTAATGTAAATTTTTGAGATAACATCAGCTTATAGTTTGTGGGGATTATTCGCCAAATTTTAGTTAGCGTTTTACCGTCTACACAATATATTTAATACACATATAAAATCTGACCAACATTCGGTCCAATAACATTATCTGTCTAATAAATGTGGCTACCGAAGACCGACAGACAGACAGATGGACAGACGGAAACGGGAGACGTATTTTCCGTGCTTTGGGAGTCATGAAACTTTGAGAAAACATGAAATTAGACAGTCGTCCGATGGACTCGATTACAATACTTCCTTAGCTTACGTTGGGGAAATAAAAACATTGCTATAGGAACTGAAAATGTGAGTAAAAACGCCAAATTCGAAAAACTGATTTGTTACGTTTTTTAGCAAAAGATTATGTATTCTGGGTGAATTATGATTTTCTAGAAGGTGCTTTAAAGAAGTCACAAAAAGCTAGACATAGTTTAGTAAAATTGTAAATATTTTTGAACTATGCTTATAAAAGTAACCAAAATTGTTAAAATTTATAGAGAACATTCTGTGCATTTAGATTTGAAAATTTTTGCAAGCATTGTTAAAATTTTGGTATTAGCCATAACTTTTTTCGATGGAGATTTACATGTGTTTTAAATTTAAAGAATCTTACAAAAAAAGTCAAGTCCGGGACCAGATTTGGAAAAGTGTACACTATCACAGGATAGTACAGAATCTCCCACTACTTATAAGCAGCGTAACATGATCATGTTTAAAAAATAATAATTAATTAAACAATTTTTAAACAGACTTTTAAACTTTTAAATGGAGAAATTAATCGCTTCCATGGACACAATTTTTTTTTGGTACCGTGTTTGCCTACTGTGTTCATGGTTAGCGGCAGTGTCGGCTGCAGTTGCGACTAAATTTGTAAAAGGTCGTAGTTAAGAATCTTCAAAATTAGAAGTTATGTCTTCATAATTGGGAAAAATTAATAAATTAAGATTACAAAAAAAATTGATACTCACGAACTTGGCATATATCCGTGAAATTATTATTGATACACATTCTATGAATAATAATCCTCGAACTGTAATCTATATGTTAAACAAAAGTTGACTCTAATTGATGTAACTCTGTAGATAAGTTTTTTAGCCGTCGGTCTGTCTCATTAAATTTTAAGTGTATGTTTGCTTATTTTTTAACATGCTATATAAATAAATATAACACGTACATTCGTGTAAAATTCATTTATTTGTTTATAATATATCCATTTATATTGCCGAACTACAAAGTATTACCACACTCGCCATCGATCCACAGCCGAAAAATGTCAACAAACAGTAGTAGAAATAAATAGATCAAAAGAAAAAACGTTTTGTGAGATTTAGTTTATCCGTTCCAGCTTTGAAATGTGGAAATAATTTTTCCAATGCAGACAAAACAGTGAGTCAGTTTTAATTACCTGATGCACTGTTTAGAAATTCCATAAACTCGAATCGTGTATGCTTGCTTTGTTATCATTCCTCTTATTTTCTTTCTCTCTCTTTTCCTCGCCCACATTCACGCTGCAGCAATTTGTTTAGTCCATTTGATTTATAATATTTTTGTCCCAAATGGAAATTTCCAAAACAATAGGTTTATTTCATTTTTCGTTTACTAATTACATTCCCTTCTTATCGCGTTTAGGTAAACTAAGTGCACTTTTAACCCACATAAAATGTCCCAACAACCTGATGACGAAAGGTTACGTGTTTAAGTTTGCTGTAACTTATCGCATTGCTACACTGTCAGATGACTTTTTAAATGAGCGTTATTTTCGTATTCAGTTCGTGGAAGATTTATCTAATAATTTTTTTCCAAAAGAAAAGACAAAAAATGAGATTTTCAACCTTAATATGACGAAAGTGTGAGCTTTTCTAAAAAAAAGTATAGTAATCGTGTAAATAGTTCCTTTACCTTCTTTCAGTTACGCACCGTGGTGTCCGGCTTGCAAAGGACTCCAAGACACGTGGAAGCAGTTCGCTGCGTGGGGCATCGATATGGGTATCAAAGTAGGCCAAGTAGACGTTACAGCATCCCCAGGTTTGAGCGGCAGGTTTATGGTGACCGCCTTGCCAACCATATTTCAGTATGATTTCGTACTTACCCCGATAAAACTAGTAATAATAATATTTTTGTTAGTGTCCTCAACGGCGAATTTAGACAATATAAAGGTTCCAGGGATAAAGAGTCCTTTATGTCGTTCGTAGTCGAAAAGAAATGGCAGCAAGTCGAACCGGTGCCTTATTGGAAATCGCCCAACTCCGTACAAATGTCGATTGTTTCCACATTTTTCAAATTATCGCAAACTTTAAGGGTTAGTTAGACGAATTTATCGAAATAATTTTAAAAACGTGTTTTTTAAGCTTATTCACACTAAATTGATGGAAGATTTCGGTCTCCCGACGTGGGGATCCTATTTGATTTTCGCTATTGCAACTATCATTTTGGGGGCGCTGCTGGGTCTTGTAAGTTATAGGGTCGGTGGGAGGCTTTATTTGATTCGGTAGGTCCGTAGGTCCTGGTTTGTTTGATCGATCTTATCTACCCTCCTAAGCAACCCATAATAATCACAACGGAGAAAAGGAAGTTAAAAGAATCTGATGATGAATTGGTAGGATTATGGGCTGGCGTGTGTATTTATTGACCGAGGGATGTTTTAGGGTGATGAAGACATAAAGGATGATCTGCTGGACGACGCCGAAGTGTCAGATCAAGAGAAAAGTAAGAGCAATCCCAGCAGTCCTAACGCGAGGAAACGCAAATCAAGAAGAGCGGATTAACAAAAGAAGGCTGCAAAATTTGAGACTTATTCCAGTGACAGTTTGGGGTGTGAACTAACAATAAATGGAAACGATTAATAAATAATTCCATGAAGATATTCGAATTTTCTATTATTATTAATATTATTGTAGATTTTTTCAATAAACTTGTGATGTTATTTTTTACATTGATTTTTTTGTACCTGACGTTTGAAAATTCATTTGATGTCAAAATTTGTGTCATGTGCGTTAACTAAAATGAAGAAGTCGTTGAAGTAACACAGTTTCATTTAGTTACCACTGTGTTATTTTTATTCTTTGTAGGAAAAAAGCGTTTTTGATTGACAAAATTACGGAAGACTCGTTTTATGAAAATCTACTTCTGGGGCTGCTGTCGGTAATTAGAAGTTGTCAGTTCGTCAGCCACATTATTTTAGAACGGTTTGAACCAGCGACGGACGACCAAGTTGCGTGTTGGGAGGCCGCTAACGAGCTCTCCCTGCCAGAAGACCTACGCAATTTTTTTCGTTCCACGAACGGATTTTCTTTCAGTTATAAATTTCAGTATGAGAAACCGGAAAGCGAAGAGAACGGGACTCTCACTGCCGGCATTGAAATCTACCCACTTTCCAAAATGGAACAAGTTCCAATAAACGAGTCCATGTTCTTGTTCGATGGTAGGACGAAAATTTTGGAGCCTTATAACAAGATCAACCTTTTGAGCAAAATCGACGACAACAATTACGTGGTGCTAGCACAATTCAACCCATCCACTCCACCGAACTTTTGGCTGTATTACAAGACTAAGATTTTCTATTTCCTGTGTGAGGACATAGTTACATATTTTCGAATGGCTTTGGCCCACGTAGGTGCTCCCGGATGGCAACTAGCGGTGTTAAAAGCGAGCTTACCCGAATGGAGTGCCGAGCTGATTCAGATCTTGGCACCCGGTGTGTTCGACAATCGGCGATTGTTTGAAAACAAAAACGAACTGAACAGAATAGATTGTGACATATTTAACACTGAGAGCGACCTACAATTGACCGCGAGGAGTTTCCGTGAAGAGCAGAAGGTAAAGGTCACCCCACCGGCAAATGCTTTGAAAAAGACGACAGTCTCAAAGGCTAAACCGAAGAAATGATGTTTATTGTAACAAAAGGTGTAATACATGGTGGATTTTTAACAATGGAATTAGGTGGCTAAGCCTCTAAAGTAGGCAAACAGGTTTCTTATAGCTAAATTGAGCAACAATTGGATTAGTCTTCCTAGACTCCATCCACGGGAGATTCGGAATTTGGGACACATTTTTGAAGAAGGAATCAGACATGTTCATTCATCGTCATCGAAGAGAAAACGGCGACGTTTGGGAATAACGACTTCTTCGCTAGAGTCGTCGTCGTCGACGCTCCTGAAACGTCAACTTTACGACTGGTCATCATCGTGTAACGCAAACTCACCTGCCCAATCCAGCTCTCCTGTGTATCTTCAAAATGTTGCCTGTTTCTTTATCTTGCTTGCGTTTCCTCTTCTCATGCGCAAACTTCTTTACATAGATGACCTTTTTTTTCTTTACAAAGTCACTGTCGTCTTCATCTGTGTAATCTTCATTGGTTTCGTCTGTAAGATCGTCGGACTCGCATCTTCGTCCTCTTCTATTAACACAGCTATCACTAAGATCATTCTCGTCTGTTTCATCCGTGTAATCTTCGTCGCTATCTTGTAACCTTACGCGCACTTTCCTCACCCTTTCTTCGTTCTCATTCGCGTTGTACTTTTTGTAGGTTCGGGTTCTTTGGGGAGCTTCCTCATCAGCTTCCTCTCGTTTAAGTCTTCTCAGTCTATCTGATCTACTCTCGCTGTAGTCTTCATCGCTGTCACTCCCTCGGTATTTGTTCCTTCTATATCTTTGGTCACCTTCATCTCGTTTCGAGTAGCGTTCTCTTGTTTCCCGTTTATCACGTTCATCGAACTGGGAAACTTTATATTTTCTGTCACAGTTAACCGAAGGGATAACTGCCAGACACACAAAGAGCAGCGCGCAACAAATTACGACCCTGGAAAAAAATTGGCGCGAAATCTTAAAATGAGCGGGAACTTCAAACCAAACATCACTTACCTCATTGTGAGCACCCAAAATGGGTCTGTCGGTGTGTGGTGATCCTCTTAAATAGAAAACACTTCTTTGTTTGTCCTGATAAGGCGATTCTCCCGAAAATCCTTTAATCCGTGTTTAAATCGTAGCAACAAAGAAAATAAATACGGTGCACGCAGAGGCGTCGAACGATTACTTTTACCCACTAAATCGAAGGTTAATCTCATTGATAGGTGAACGTCTCAATTCGCAACGTAAAATAAACTGAAAATTATTAGATAATTTTCGTATTGCCGGTCTTCCGTCCTCATTTAGGTCGCTGTTGGAACGAGATGGCAGTAAAAACGTAGTGTCCGTATTTTTAAAACCTGGCACTGAATCTTCGAACTGCTTACGTACTCGATAAATAAATTTCTAAAAATAACGACGCCCCGACCGAAGAGCTAGACTCGAACCAGTACGATTTTCATTATTATATAGTTAGTGCGCGTAAGTTTCCATCTTGAAGTAAGTAAATAGGATGTTTGCTGACGGATTTTCGTGTTTTCACGTACACTGTGTGATGCCAAGAGCTTAGACTTCTTTGTTTCGTAAGATTACCACTTTTAAACGTGCGAGCAAGATCTGGACTCGTTGCATAACCCCTTCTTGTAATTAGAGCCGAACTTTCGAAAAGTGCGCCAAAAAAGCGTCAAAAACAAAACTATTATTTAAAGTGACGTCAAAGGGGGCCTTGGCTGTCCCAAAATTGTCTTCTAATTTGATCATGAGGTGTGATAAGCGAATTTTTTCACCATGGGTCAGAAGGCTCGTTTTTTGCGATTACCGCACTGAGTTGGTGGTCGTCTAGACGGGATTTTGTTTTGACTATATGTCACTGTTTTGTGGAGAATATGACGGTTCTATTTGTGTTCTAAGCAACACGTTGACATTGTATTTATTTTTGGTTTGTGTGAATGAAGATTGTCTTCGTTTGAAATTACTGTAATAAAGACCGCAGTGGCCACTAATTGGGTTCATCGGCTTTTTAAATGCTAGTAATGAAAGGAGAGATGTTTAAGTTTACGTCTAGGGTACAAAAATATCAACACACTATGAAAAAAAATCGCTTCTAAATAGACGTACCTACACGTGTTTATTTGAACGGTTAATGAAGTATATTTTTTCAAGAAAAAACTCCAGTGAAGTTTTTTGCAACATTGAAAATAAATATCTATGATCTTTTTAAACTTAGCTCTTCTACGAAAGTATAAAGAGGCTGCTTACTCATTCATTGTGCAATAACAACACTTATTCCTTGAATTATATCTAACTAGGAAATCCCCATGAATGTTTCCACATAAACCAAACATTTTGGCAATGCTTAAATTTTTACATAGATTTTAAGAAAATTTTTTCGACAGTTCGAGGTGCCAAACGGACTTATTACTTTATACACCAGTAGAGGTCAGATTTTAACTTCGTTGAAATATAATTTTGATGATGTGTCACGCGCATGCCTTGCTTTTTCCCAAAACTACACAACGTATACAAACAACGAACTGAAAAATGAGAAAAAATTATTTCGGTCCGACCGTGTATATTTTTATAGTGTGTAAAAGAGTAAAAATTTCAACTTCACAACATTTGCAGTTTTCAAATAATATCAAATTTAAAAGAGACATCAGACCGACTTTGAATGTGAGATTTATTTCGTTCGTTTAATAAACATCGGGACAAACGACAGACAGACAGACGAAAACGGGATACTTATTTTTTCGCACTCTAGGGGCATGAAACGTCGAGAAAACATGAAACTGATTCCGAGTCAGTCTGAAAAAAAATATAAGACGTTGTTAGGTGGAGTTTCAGTTTTGAGTACTGTTTTTAAATATTTTTCTCTACTTTTTATGAAAAGTTCAAACTGCCGTTTAAATTTTTTTAGCCAGCTCGTAATACAAGTGAGATTTTATTTAGATAAAAATAACGCTTCTATTGTGTGCCACAAGACTTTCCATCTTTTTGCCAACACTTTCACGCAATTTTCAGTCCGATTCTTTACTACGTTTGCTTTGGCATCAAAGAAAACTTTATTCTAAATTTGATTCATTTAAGTGTACTGTAATTTTTTTAATCAAAAGTTCCTGAAATCTTTTCTGTTAAATAAAAAAAAATGAATGGTCATTATTCACAGTAATTCACTGGAAGATAAAAATAATGCCAGACTAGCTATTTTGAAGCCGATTTTTTGTCTTCTTGAATTTTTTTCCATTCACGTGTAAGTTTTGCGTGGTAGGTGTGAACTTCCTTCTTGGAAATTTTCCAATATCCACGGTAGATTTTTTTCCTTTATCCGTGGTATGCTATTCAGAGGTGAATGCGTAAAACTGTTCACATATTTTTGAGGTATACCCTACAAGTAATTTTAAAAAATATATTCTACCTCAGAGCTCATTTTGATTGCAGCTTGTTCACAGTTTATTTGAGATGATGTCATCTTATCTTTTTTGGTACGAATTCCATAATTTGCAATCCCGAAACGGTTTTAGTGTTTTATCACATTGCAGCCAAGCTTGTTATGTAATCTCTGAAATGCAGTATTTCAGAGATGATTCACTACCCTGTGCTACCAAAATAAATAAAATCTAACTTCTTATATGCTTATTTATACCCGATTCATTATAAAATTTATAAAAATGTATCCAGTTTTCGTAAGAAGGAATATTGTGTCTAAAGGAAAACTAAATAATACAAAAGTTAACATAAGAGCAACAGCGAAAACTACTGTTTTTTTACTCGATATGGTTTTGTTATAAATGTGATTTCACTGTTAGTCTTAGATATTTTCTTGTATTTTTTACCATAATTTCAAATTTTTATTTATTACACTTTTAAATTAGTACATCGGATTAGAATTTCACACCTGATGTATAATTATTGATTTATTATCCTTGAACATAATGAAACGTTGCCTGATGAAAAATGTCGTATCTGAATAATATCCTGGCTTATTCAGGTACATCTAATGGTTATTTTATTATTTTAGTCTTTAATGTGCTCATCGCTGACTAATAAACATACCAATGAAAATTACAGTTACGAGTTTTCATATAACTAAGAAATAATTTCATCAGATCTAAATATAATACTAAATACCGGATGACTAATATTTATTGATTGAAGCAAATTTTTGAGTTGGCAATTCTGAATTATTATCAGTTGACAGTTGTCAATTTTGAGATGAGCGTGTCTACCAATGAGAATTTTACAATTAAAATGCCATCATAAAATTTTAAATATGTTGCCAACGTGACAAAAAAAATCACAAACAGTAATACCCATTCTGTATTTTCTAAAGAAATGTTTGCATACTAATTCAGTAAAAAGAAAAATGTGAATAGGTACTATAAGAATGGATAAGAATGTCACTGAATACAAGTGGACGTAAAATCTACCTATTCAAACTATGATTTAGTCTAAAAAATTCTCTCTTTGACTAATTTTGAGTCAAAGTTGGCAACATTCGTATTTTTTGGTTTTTGGCGATTATTCACGTTTCACATGAAACGTGAATAATCGCAATGTGACAAATTACTGACCCAAATTTGGTATTCAACAGCTTTTTAATCTTGTAAATGCACACCTATAGTTTTTACATCAATTTTTTTTAATTCCTCAAACGTGGAACATGCTCACATAATGACTTTTTTTTTGTAAAATTTTAAGAGTTCTACAAATGAAATTGAATTTTTAACCCCAAACGGAAAACTTCGAAATATTGTCTTACAGCGCGTCGACCGTTGCAGCGAATCTTAACCAGTTTCTAACTTTTTAAGGGATGATTTTTTGTGCTGGGGATTTTTACGTTGTTAAATAATTTTCATTGCATACTTCATTACTTCCAGCTTTGGTTTATATTTTAGAACGTTTGTTTTATCATTTTGTACCTGTTTCAAATTATATTTTTTAACAAAGAAAATTTTAGTTAGCCCCTAAGCACCGCAATCAGTTGCACGCGTTGTGCAAAAATTTCATATTTTGGATCTTCTGGAATTGTAAAGTTTCAACATATAAGATGGAAAGTGAAAACTTTTGTCTTGTTGTGGATTATTAAATGACTTATGAATTTAGTGGTTTTAAATTTAAATTACTTAGTTACAAATGAAAATCAACAAATTTGACTGTCAAAAATTATTACCCACGTTAAAAAAATGGGTCTAAGATTATTTCGACAGAACTTCCCTCGCTCCTGAACTCCAATAAAACAAATCCAGCTTTTTCGAAAAATTATAAAATTTGATTATACGAATTTAATTTTTTTTATGAGAACCCTTATAATTTAAAATAAGGATATGTATGCAACGTTAAAGTAAATGTAAAGAAGCATGCTGAGCGTACGTTCCAAATGACTTTTTTTTAATAAAATTTTGTGATGACGTCATCAACATTTTTACAAAGACACGTCTATCACTTTGGATAGGTGTAGTGATAACAGTATTGCTTTCCCAAATTTTCGGGAAAACGGAGTGGGCCATTCCCGATTTAATCATAAAAATAAATTGACTCTCTCATTTATTTTTGAGTCACCATGTATAAGAAATTTAAAAACTTTTAAAGCAATCACAAGTATAGACTCGTCATATTTTGTACATTTTGGATAGGATTTATTCGACAAAATTTTGAGATGACGTCATCAATTTTTTGGGAGGAGATAAACGAATAAATTTTGCTTGACGATTTACCATGATTGCGATAACCTTAAAATATTTACAATATTTTCGAGCATTCGGTTTTGCAGTTTCAAACTTATATTGCAAAATATTGTTATTCAGTTTTGAATTTTTTTCAAAATTTTAGAAGTCTAGGGTGAAAATTCGACACGGATTCACACACCACAAGTGTAGGATAGGAATATCTTATTTTATGAAATTAAAAAAAATATATTTTAATTTTGGAGATGACGTCATCCTATTGGTGGTGGGGACGATTAGCCAAATTTTAGTTAGTATTTAACCATCTACAATACACGATATTCCTAATATATATACAAAAGTTGACAACAATCGCTGTAGGAGTTTCGGAGATTACTCGTCTAATAAAAATACAGACAGAGAGACATACAGACAGACAGACAGACGGAAACGGGGGATCACTTTTTTCGTACTCTTAGAAATCATGACACATCGAGAAAATATGAAAGAGGTAATTCGGCCGATGGACTCGATTACTATACTTCCTTAGCTTACGCTCAGGAAGTAAAAAGCAGAAAAATTTTAAACGTAAGATTTCAGAACACATAACTCGGCTTTATTTTTTTCTTATATGTGCCGCATATTATTATCATCTACGTTTTTTGAAATACTAAGAACATTCTTTGACAAATTTCTGTTTTTAAAACTTTAGGAATTTTTTTAAAGGTTATTGCACATCGAGGGTATAAAACGTCTGTTGTGGATTATTATTAAAAGGCTTATAAATGTAGTGGTTTTAAATTTACTTCTGGTAAAGGGAAAACACCCAAGTAATATCATTCATAAAAAAAAAAACGGCACAGGTTCAAGATGACATCCTTGTCGAACCCCTGAAATTCTGTTATGACAGATGACGTCTGTGTATGGAAATTTTATAATTAAAAACAAAATTCAGTAATTCTGACTACCAAAACTGATTATTACATTAAAACAAGAAGAAAAACTTAAAATCTAAATTTCAGAGTACCTACATAAGTCAGTTTTATTTTTTTCGTATATTTGATGTATTGAAATCTCTTAGATAAAAACGAAATTTAGTAATTCTGACTGCCAAAAATTATTATTACGTTAAAAAAAGAAGAAAAATTTAAAATTACTTGTGAACTCTGTAAAAAAATACCCTCTAGATTTTAGAGTGTATAACTCGGCTTTATTTTTTTCTTATAGACGCCATATCATTGTCATCTACGTTTTTAAAAAACTAACAACATTCTATGACAAGTTTCTGTTTAAAAATGTTGCTAACTGAGTTTTTACTATTTATTCGAAAGTAATCTACCGAAAAATCAATAAAAAACACAATCAAAGACGGACGGGTTTTTAAAAGTTTGTCTTGGATCATTGCATTTTCAACAAACGCATTTAAATTGACGATAATTTGATAAGACGAAAATTCTGTCAATATGCATCATACAATATTAAAATTGTTCTACTTGACTGATTTTTTTGGATATTTCGTGGTATTTTGTATATTTTATAAAAATAGAATTTAGCTTCTAAAACTCATTTCTATCGAAAAAGCAGTAAAAACACGATCAAAGGCAGTCATGGATTTTTGATACAATCTTCGTCTTGTCAGATAACCTTCAATTGGTGTTTAAAATGTAATGATCAAAGACAAACCTTCAAAAATCCACCGCTTCCTTTGATCGTTTTTATTGCTCCCTCGGTAGAATGTAATAGATTTTTACGCGTCTCTAAATTGTGTGTAATGTGTAATTTAATCTAGTTGTATTGGAAATAAATACTAGCATAAATTTAAGTTTAGGATTTAAAATTGGACTTCGTACAACACTGATTTGTTTTGTTTAATATTTTGAAACTTTTACCTTTTTTCTGTAATTTTAAGGTTACAAATATAGAAAATACGGATTCAATCAAAAGATTGAAGATTTCACAAGTTATAAATTTTAGATTTCTTTTTTTTATTTGATTATACTTAGAAGTTCAAAACATTTGCGTCCATCATACGGTTTTCGTCTGCAGTGGATTTTCCCTAAAGCCCACGCTTCATAACACTACGTCCCTTGGCAACGCTAACAAATCAATAAAACTAAACCGAATAGAAAAGTAGATTAAATTGTTTATTAGTGAATGCTCTATAAAACAGCTCTGAAGATTTTTTTGTAGAATTAAAAAGACAATTTTTCATTCCTTAATTAGACTCATAGTTACAAAGAAAAATCAGAAAACTATATTTACATTTTTATTTTCAAGATGGCAGCCGATTGACAATATCCCCGAAAACTCAACTTTACACTAAAAAAAACAATGCTACCTATCTAAAACAGACGATTTACGTTTTAAAATTCAAACTAAATATACCTACTCTTTTAATGATTCTGAATTATGAACAACTCCTCGTATAAATTAACACCCATCTAAGTTACAGGTTTTAATGAGCAGCCTTTATACTGATAACTCAGATCTATTTTTAAGCTTATGTTTCAAAAACACGTACAACAACTAATAAGGAGTTTAACCTTCTTAACTTCGAAATATTTTTCTGTTGCCTTGAAGTCATAAAAAGAAGTCCTTGATGTCAAATGCGTTCAAATTGGTTGGCTTTTAAATTTAATTCACTGTTATATCAAAACATATGTTTGTTTGTGTTTGTGTTTTTTATTGAAGGATTCGTTTTTTAATATTAAAACTATCAAGAAATATAGTTTGATTCCACTTGTACGTAGAAGATCCATTTAAACCCTAGCGATGACGTAGAGTTACAAGTTTGAAATCTAATTTACCTTATAAATTGATGAATTTAGTTGTTATACAATTAAAAATATATAGCTTTTAGCAAAATTACAAGAGAACATCTTAAGAGTTAAAAAAAACACGAAATTTTATTTTTTCTTAAAGGAAAACGATCCCGTATTTAGACGACCCATTTCTCGCGTTTGGCGTATACTAAATTGCATATACACCACTTACCATAAAATTCCCAGCATTCCACGCCTTTCAAAGCCCCGAATTTTTTCCTGTTTTTGGCAACCACGCTATGTACTTTGGCCACACACGCCTCGATTTTCACCAAAACAACCCTTCTTGCCCATAAATCAGGTAAAAACAACGCAATTCTTTGTGCGCGCTTCACGAGGTTATATTTAAAAATGCGCTGTGTAATTGTTCACCGCACACGTGAACCTTTTGGCATCTCCAGTGGTCGAAATTTTCACGGAATTCTAAAAATATCTTTGATAATAACACGTAGAGTCTGTTGGAATACAGTTTGATATCGTAAAGTGTCGCGTAAATCGTTTATTTTTTCTGTTATGATGTCGTGAGTTGTCGTTTAAAAATAAATCCAACTCATTCTCCCTCACTACAAATCTTTCTCGTCGACAGAAAACGATTTAGTCAGAATGGGTAACACGCGGAGTGCAGCAGATCACGAAGTTGATATCTGGTGGGACAACAAACCTTCCACTCCCACCAGCGAAGTGATAGAAGAAGAAACCAAACTCGATCGACAAAACCGCATCAAAGAAGAACTAGACGAGTTCAAGCTCGACTTGGCCCGGAAGCACGAAAAACGCAGACAGCTGATCGCGGAGAAGCGCAAAGAAATGGAAGATCTTCGCGAAGAAGTGAAACGGCTGACACTGGAAAATGAAGAATTGAAAGCGAATAGGAGACTTACACATGGAACGAACGACTTGGAAGATATTAGACAAAAGAATCTCGAATTGAAGATGACGATAGCGAAACTGCAGAGTGATCTACAGGATTTGAACGGTGAAATGGTTACTTTTGAGAAGGAACGGCAGGATTACAAGGCTCACGTGGTGGCTCTTAAGGACGTAGTGAGTGTTTCTAAGCAGATGTTGATGATCAGAGAAGCGCAGTTGAAGGAACTGAGAGAAAAAGTTAAAGAAATTGAAGCTTCTTTAGCCGGAAGAGAACTGAAAGTGCTATCACAGGACTTGAGGGCGGAATATGAAAAGCAGTTGCAGAATATTAGAAACTTGAGGGTGTTCTACGAAGAGCGACAACGCGCTGACAAAAAGGAAAAAGAAGAAATGAGGAAATTGTTGGATGAAGTCAAGAAGGAACTACAAGACGAGAGAAACAAGAATGCGTAAGTTTTTAAATCAGTTTGATGTTTTATCTTGATTGAACGTTTATAGAGAGCTAAATGAAAATTTGGAAAGGTTAGAAGAAGAAAACTCGAAGAAGTATGACGAAATAAAGAATCTCGAATCGAATTTAGGTTTGACTAAGGCGGAGTGTCGTCAGTATGAAGCAGAATTGTCCGTTATAAATCAGGTATTTTTGCTTTTTTTGTACGTATTTAAAAAATAATAAAAGTTATTGTAGCTGTTTTCCCAAATTCTGCTTGGTTTCAACAATAACCAAGAAATCGACATGGATAAATTAATCAAATTGTTGGAAGAAAACCACCACTTGCTTCAAGACATTGCCGTGAATGAAGAATCTAATCAAGTTTCGGCCTTACCCAAAGTTCTTTTAGATCTAGTTAACGAAGTTAGTGATTCCAAAGACACAGAAGAAGTAGAAGCACCAAAACCAAACCCAGAAACGCAAATTTCCAACCAACTGAATAGTGCGTCCGAAATTGTTGAAAATTTGCCAAAAGTATGGAAAGTTCTGATTGAGCTCCTAAGTCACCAGTGTGCTCCTGTCACCAACGAGGATCAAAAGAACGAAAATCCTTGCTATAAACTAGTACAAACACCAAAAGGACTCAATCCAGTCCTCAGCGTTAGCCAGACTTTTATTCGTTTGAAGGTAATCCAAACCAATGTCTTAGTCTTGTTTTTGTTGTTAACATTCGTTTCCAGGATCTTATTCTCGAGAAGAAAAGTCTCGAACGCGAAACTGGTCGTTTGAAACACTTGAACACCCATCTAGAATGCCGTCTACAAGAACAAGAAAAACGTCTAGAACTTGTCACCAACGAACTGTCCGAAACTTGGCATGTGGTGGGCAAACTTCAAAAGAAGCACCAACTTCTACACACGCAAGAAAAAATTCTCCGTTACGAATTAGCCCAAAAACGCAAACTCCTCACCGAACTCAAAGCAGAATTAGAATATAGTCGCGAAAAGTGGCAAGAAGCCAGAGAGAAGAATTCCAATACAGAAAAACAGTGGGAACAACTGCGGATCGAGTTCGCGTCACGTAAAACAGCGGCAGGAGATGATTCCCACAACAGTGTCGAAAGTGGATACAGTGACGACAAAGAGTGTTCCAGTGAAGACGAACCTGGATACGAAACTGACGTCTCAGAGGGGAATCCGAAGCAAGAAAATGAAGAAAAAACGATTGACGATGTTTTGTCTGCGAGGGAAGAAAGGCTGATGAGGCTGGAAAGCCAGTGTAGTAGTTTAGTACAACAGGTGGCCAACACTTCAAGCAGGAGTGTGGCCATTTCAAACAAACTGGACGCGCTACATGAGGTGTACACGGAGGGAAGAGAGAATGGTGAGACGTCCGGATTGGGCGAATCTACCGATGGGGGGAGTTCGGAGCAATAGTACAAATTGTTGACTTGTACAAACTTGACTTAAGTATTATTGTGACTGTAATATTTTTGCATGTTGTTTTTATATGACAATTCAATATTTTGTGTATAATTTGTGAATAGATTAAAGTTGTTTTAAAAAAGTAAATAAAACAAATTTTTGTTTATGTTATTGTATGATGTGTAAATACAACACCTTGCCAAAAGGATCATTAGTTATAGTGTCGTCAGATTAAAAAATACCGCTATACTAAGTTTTGTCAATAATTTCGGAGGTTTCTACGGTCGGAATCAATACATGATCTTTTTTCTGTTAATTGAGTTAAGAGTTACTGAGTTACCGTGCTCTTTTGCCTTGTTCTTAACCCTGCTCCTGAAGATGCCACTTACGAAAGTGTGCGAAACGTTGAGCTCAAAAACTCAGTTTACACGGTTCCAACCCGGAAAACGATCATGTAAGTTTTGACAATACTCAGAAAAATAATATGTATATGAATTTCAAATCTACATATTTTTATTTTTCAGTCATTGCGATTTTGTTTACTAGTTTTTTCATGTTAAAATTGTCGGTTTTCTATTGATTAGTCATAGTTTAGCACGTACAAGTCATTTGTGAGGATTTCATTTGTTTGGAAATCATCTTTATTTTTAGACCAAAAATACCTAAGGTTTATTTTTACTAAATTATTTATTAGAATAAAATCTCATATCTAACCATGAAACATTCAAAAATTCTCGATGAATCTTGATATTTACGAGAAGATATTAATAAACATTTAGTTTCTATTAAACAAAAATGTTATTTGACAAGTGTGCTAGCAAAACCACAAAACGAAACGTTAATTTATATTTTTTTTATATATACTGTGGTGTTCCGATTTGAAAAATTAAATTTCACGTCTAGGTTTGACTACGTTTGGGGGAACAGCGAAAAAAATTGCCCTTAGCTTAGAACTTCTAGGGAATTTTGTAAGATAGTGCAGGTGCAGGTATACATAATTTTAAAAAAGTCACTCACTTCCTGTTTTTAGCTGCGTCGCTTGTTATTTTGCTGTTTGTGAAAACCACGTATTTGTAAATAGAGAGCGTACGTAAACTTTTGGTTGCAATTTCACCAATTGCTTAAACAAAAATAAGTCGCATTCGACGCCACAGTCCCCCTCAACGAGCATAATTATTGTAAGATCAGTTATTAACGATTTTACGATCTGAAATGTTATGAAACTGGTGAATTCGTTAACATGTGTTTGTAAATTCAGTTCATGTTAGGGTTTCTAACGTTCATGGTTCTAACGCCATTTTACAACAATGGTGTACTGTAAATGTTCACGTCAAACATGTGGCAGGAAAGTGACTTATTCAGGCTCTGGATCTTTTTACTTAAGTCATTAAAATATCCGCATTTCATAATTTCTCACCAGAGATTTATAATAATTCATTGATTGCATTTAAACTACTTAAATAAAATTATTATCCGTTAAATTAATATCATCGTGGAGTCGAAAACGGGAGCGCTGTAATATGTTCATGCAGGTTTAATAATTTCTTATGACTTGAATTTGAACATTTATTCTTGAATTACTCTTGTGATCTTCACCGTGTTTTATGTGAGATGGGGATACGTTGAGTCCACGATGATTTAATCAATAACTAGAATTAATGCATAATTAGAGATTGTTTGTTTCCTTCTTGGTAATTATAACTAATTACCATTGATCTAATAAAGGAGTGGATGGAGCCTTGTATACGTTTCCATACGCAAGCGAGTGTAACCAACATAAGAAAGAAATAGCTAGAGAGGTTATGCATCAGTGGGGAAAGGACGGCTGACCACGTAGCACGTGCTGGGTGGCAAGAAACGCTTCATTTGAACGGGAATTAATACGTTTTCTTACGAATTTGTTCAAACAATCAATTATAACAAACGTCTGTTAATGAAAACTATATTTTTACAGTTTACATTAAAATTATGTGTAACGTGAAACAACAAAAATCATGTTAAGTGGTGGAGATAGTGTTTTAATAAAATGAAATGTATACAGAATCTACAATATATTACGAATTCACTTAGTACAATAATCTACAAGTTAACTAATCTTGTAGTGTATATTCATTGGTAATTCTGAAATTTTTAGGATAAATGTAATTAAACTTTCGATAAAAGTGACAGGGTGCCTAATTAAATTAAACATATTAAATTGTGTGGAAGACTACTAAAATCCTTTTTCTAAATCCACGTACAAATAACTAAAACAATAATCAATAGATATAAAATTTCCTTTTTTTGTAGCAATAATCGGTTTTTTTCGTAACTCGGCATGTTTAGGGAATCTAACAAAATTTTTATTTATATTATAATTTTTTATTTACGAAATCCTTCGTCTGTGTATGTGATTATTACCTATGAAATGAAACAGGATTGCTTTCTTTGCACGTTCTATGCAATTATACGCACATCACGGTGTTTAACAAATAGTCCAATAAAATACAATTAAGAAGACTGTAGACATTTAAATAAGGTAACTTGAGCCCAAAAAACGTAAATTTGCAAAAATACACCTTCAAACACCATGCGACAGCACGAAAGAAACCTCCAGAAACACAGTGATCTGCAGTTTCGCGTCAATATTTTGCCACCCAGAGAGCCTATCTCTGTCCCACTGTGTTGACAACGCGCGTCTCTCTCTAAGTTACTTCCATATAATATTATTTCTATGCTAATTACGCTGTCTCCAAAATTCAGGAGATTTTAACTTTAGCCGAAATAAACAGACGCAATCGCGCGGCAGAAGCAGAGTGTCGAGTCCGCACACATTTTTTTTACTATTCATGTCATTGTTCATGTAAATGTTTATCTGAAGTAGCGGATCTTCGCCGCCAGTGAATCAAGCCGTCTAGTTGGCTGCCCAACGTCGGTCTTTTCTTGCTTGACTACTATAATTTAACCATCGTAATAACTTATGATTTCTCTTTTTATATGGACCTTGAATTATGAAACCTGCCAAAGAGAGCCACTAAGATGAAAATTGGAAAATTATTTATTAAAAAATTATAAGGCCCAGATTTTCACATAATCTACAAAAAGAGTAGAATTGGTCCATGTCTTACTCCACTGTGCTTTCGCTTCATAAAATCTTTTTTGAGCCTTAGGATCATCGTTCCTCCAAGGTTTAGCACGACGATCTTCGAAACTCTGACCTCCAACGCCCACACCAAGCGTTACATACATCTAGAACATGTTACAATTAACACAACACTTGATACGTAGAAACTCCTTACTTCTTTATCAAACGGAGCTAAAGGACTACCGTTCCGCCACTTCTCTACATTTTCTAGATTCAAATAATCAGCGTATTTAACAAATCCCTCTTTTGGAGGAAATATATTTGCGTAAACCATGTTGTCAACCATGACCTGAATTATACCTACAACAAATCGTCGCTGTCATAAACTGGCATACAACTAAGTTGTATCAACCTGGGTGCCATTTTACAGAAAAAACATGAAAACTGGCGCTCCATGCGTTGTTTTTTCTGGTACTTCTCATCAAGTAGTTTCTGCCAGCTTTATTACTTCCCAAAATACACCCACCTTGCAAAATGTAATTCGTAGCTCTGTTACCTTCAACGAATGCTATCCTAATTTGTCCAGAAGCGTAACCGGGACCGTAGACGTCATTGGCCGGATTTAGGAATAATTCTGGGTAGATCCAGTCACCTTCAGGTAATTTGGCACGAATTTCAATTTTTCCGTATTTAAATGACCATTTGGTTCGAGTTGAAATTTGGGCTGAACCTACAGGAGGTCGGATTATGAAGGCATCTGGTTTTTGGACACAGTCGGTGGTACCATGAACTCCAGTACAACTAAGAAAACGTGTTATATTTTCATTGCTATTAAACTAATTCATTGTATTCTTTATTACTTACAAATTTCCTAAATCGACTTCTCCTTCAGAGGTAATGTAACTGTCTCTAAATGAAGTGGGTCGAATTTTTAAGTAACCCCCTGATACGCCAAGAATGTCAGATCTAAAAGGAGTGTAACCAACAAATTCGTAATCCTGAAAGTATTAATTATATGCCTTCATTTTATCTAGTAGTATGACACAATGTATTTCATACTGGTTTTCCAGAAAACCTATATTCATAAAGCCATAAGTGCCTATTTCGTTGGTCAAAATTTTCATTTAAGATTAATTTTCCGCTACAAACTCGACGCAGGTTAACTTGTGTAACACCCAGTTTACAAGTTGAGTTTGATTCTCTTTTAAATGTTCTGTTCGAGGGAAGTGGGTTATTCAAATTTACTACATGTTGTTTAAAAGGTGATGTGTATGTAGTATTGTGTTTTCCATCGAAGTAAACAATTTCCAACCAATAATAAAAAATGTCGGTCTGTCTGAGATTAATATTCGGATCATAAAAGGTCCACCTGTTATTAACTGGTTTCACAATATTTGCTGAAATTGTCCCTATTTCTTTTTTATTAAAAATTTCATTGATTTTTCCATGGAAGGAAAATAGTTTGATTCCTTTAATATCTGAAAATTTTTGTCAAACATTAAACGAAAACGAGGTAGATTACTTTACCCGGAATTGATACGCGTAGTCCTGTAGGTTTGCATTCTTCTACTCGAGCCGCAGGTATGACGAACGAAGTAAAACTGAACTTCAGCTGCACAAGTAACACTATCACTGTCAGTTTCATACTAGATACAACTGCGAACACACCAAGACATTGATTGAGTTTTAATATTACCGTCTGAAGTGATAATTGAAAAAGTTAATACAACGACGATGCTGAAGTTGGTTTAAAATTTAAATATGACTTCGTACTTTGTATTTTCCGTGGCAAGACTAGGCCCCGGTTAAGCAAAAAATCAGGCAGCTTTTCCATTTGTAAATATAACAAAAATTTTAATAACTTGTTTCAGGTCTGATTATTTTCTTGCAAGTTTATTAATATTTTTGCGGCTTGAATTCTGCGCAGTACAGCCCTGCACAAGAGCGGTACAACCCCACCACCCACCCTTCGACGGCACCGGGGTGGTACGGACCCAGACAGAACGCACCTCGCAGTACACGCGATCGGTCGACAAACTGTACATACATTTACACACTATTAATATATAGTTATAAAACAACACTCTTTTCTTGCCGTGTTCGTACCGTGTACGACACGGTTATACGGTCCTTCGAACAGCCTGCGGCGCGACGCCACATTTGGTCCTTCGAGCCGGATGAAACAGCGATCAAACAAATCATCGAATTTGGTCCTACGAGCCCGATAGAACAGCGATCAAACAAATCATCGAATCAAGAAACATCAAATCTACAATCCAAGTAAGTCCTATTACCTGTATGCATATTTATTTCAATCTGCGCCAATCTGCGTGTACCGCGTTCTCGTATATCAATAACGCATAATTCGATTCAAAAAATCCCATTTATTTCATTAAAATGCCTGTAGAAACGGTAGCCGAATTACGCTCCAGGCGAGGAATCGCTAAATCCAAAATAACTCGCATTGAGAACTTCGTTAAAAATTTCAAAAATACAGATAACGTTTATCACCTTGAAGTACGGTTAGAAACATTAGAAAACGTGATCAAAGAATACGAAAGTTATCAAACTCAAATTGAGTTGCAAGACAACGCAGATAACGATCGCGAAATTATCGAGGCACAGTATTACAACATAATAGTTGACATTCGAGAAAAATTAAATAAATATTCACCTTCATCGGCGTCTAGTCAAAATAATAGTAATCCTAACAATAATCATCACTTAGAAACGTCCATCAAACTTCCTACGTTAAATTTACCAACATTTTCAGGTTCATATTCGGAATGGCTGTCATTCAACGACATATTTTGCTCGTTAATTGATCAGAACAATAGTTTAAATAACTGCCAAAAATTTCACTATTTAAAATCCTCATTGAAGGGAGAAGCGTTAGCGACAATTGACGCTCTCACTATTTCGGCAGATAATTACAAATCGGCCTATGACTTGTTAAGAAAAAGATACAATAACGTAAGACTAATTACTCAAGAACATATTTTAGCTATCATTAATAGTCCTGTTATCCTTAAAACAAATTCTGTAGCTCTGAGAAAATTATGTGTCGACGTTACGACAAACATTGAAGCACTTCGCATACAAAATTTACCCGTAGAAAGTTGGGATGCATTAATTGTTCCATTAATTGTAGAAAAACTAGACTATACAAGTCGTAAAGAATGGCAGGCAACATTAAATAGTGAAATACCAAAATTGACGGATCTGATTTCATTTTTAGAAAAACGTTGCGAACTTTTGGAATCAATGCAACAAATATCAGTAAACAAAACACATAGCATAGATATCAACAAACATAATAATAATTTCAATAAAAACTGTCAGCGCGAGTCTACAACAAAACAACGTATTTTGGTACAAATTATTAACAAAAACATCCTTAGGTGTAATTACTGCAAGTCAGAATTGCATTTAATATTTCAATGTACAGAATTCGTAAATCTTTCAGTAGAACAACGCCTCTCTCATATTAACAAGGTCAAATCATGTACGAATTGTTTAAAATCTAATCACATTGTGTCAAATTGTAAATCGACTAATACTTGCAAAAAATGTCACTTACGACATCACACACTGCTTCATATACCTGAACAATCGACAAGCAATTTGTCATTATCAGTGTCACATATAATCAACACCACTGTACTTCTTGCAACAGCAGTGGTTAAAATTGCAGATGCTTTCGGAAATTATCAAGATTGCAGAATTATATTTGATTCATGTTCACAAAGCAATTTAATCAGTACGAGTTTATGTCGAAAATTGGGACTTAAATTACAATCAATCGAATTCCCGATTAGTGGAGTAGGCGAAATCGAAACACCAGTTAAAAATTCGACTAGGGTAACCATAAAATCTCGTTTTAATCCAACCCTTTACAATCTCAATTGTTTAGTATTGCCTAACATCACATCAAAATATCCATGCCAATTCTTTTCAAAATCTCAGTTCAATATACCCATAAATATTAATTTAGCAGATCCTAATTTTAATGAACCCTGTACCGTTGATCTTTTGTTAGGTGCAGAGTACTTTTGGCAAGTAATTTGTAACGGTCGAATTAACATATTTAATAATCAAGTATTCCTTCGTGAGTCCGTTTTCGGATGGGTCTTAACAGGTAAAATTTCCGGTCCTTCGCAGAACAATATTGTCGCCTGTATTTCAAACGCAAATCCCCAAGATATGCTAAACAAAGAAATTCATAAATTTTGGGAATTAGAAGAAACAGCTGTAAACACCAGTAATTCCTTTTCCGTGGAAGAACTTACCTGCGAACGGCATTTCTCAGAAACGGTCAAAAGAGATATTAACGGTCGGTTTATGGTTCGCCTACCCTTTAAGAAGGATATTACCATGCTGGGGGTTTCCGATGTAACCGCCCTAAAACGTTTTATGGCACTAGAAACTCGTTTGAACAAAAATAATTCTCTTAAAGCCGATTATACAAACTTTCTAGACGAATATTTAGCTCTAGGTCACATGAAATTAGTTACAGGTGAATCTGATTTTCACACTAAACAATTATATTTTTTTCCACATCACGCGGTGATAAAGAGTTCGAGTACTACCACCCGAGTGCGTGTGGTGTTTGACGGAAGCTGCAAAACAAGTACCGGTGTCAGCTTAAACAATATTCTAATGGTAGGTCCAACTATTCAACAAGACTTGTTTTCAATCATTACGCGCTTTCGGACCTACCAATTCGCATTCAGTAGCGACGTAGTAAAAATGTATCGTCAAATATGGGTCGATCCTTCAGATACACCTTACCAAAGGATTTTTTGGCGCAAGAGTAGTGACAAACCAGTTGAGGTATATGAGTTACAGACCGTAACGTATGGTACCGCGTGTGCCCCATACTTAGCTATCAAATGTTTACAAAAATTAGCCATCGATGAACAACTCGATTTTCCTCTAGCCTCGACAATTATCTTACGCGATTTCTATGTTGATGACTTGCTTACGGGTACTAATTCAGTCAAAGAAGCCATAGAATTACGCAATCAATTAATTGGCGCCTTAAATAGGGGTGGTTTTCAATTACAAAAGTGGGCATCTAATTGTCCGGACATTTTGCCCAATTGTAGTCAAAATAACGATGTAGTTAAATTAGACCATAACGACGAGGTCAAAACACTAGGTTCAACGTGGAATTGCAAAACGGACTGTTTAAAATATGTCGTGGAAACAAAGCCCGTGGAAAATACTACTAAACGATCCATCTTATCAAAAATCGCGAGAATTTATGATATTCTAGGTCTCTTGTCACCCGTCCTTGTTTTGGGAAAAATCTTAATTCAAAAGTTGTGGCTCATTAAACTCGACTGGGATGATCCTTTACCGGAAGAAATACGACAAACGTGGCTTAAACTTGAACAAGAATTACCCATATTAAACACACTACAAATACCTAGAAAGGTTGTATCAAATCAATACAATAACGTCGAAATTCATGGATTTTGCGATGCGTCCATGTCGGCTTATGGTGCCTGTGTTTATATCCGAACGTTGGACTTAAACACAAATTCGTACAAAACAGAATTATTATGCGCACGATCACGTGTTGCTCCATTAAAAACTATTACACTGCCTCGACTAGAACTTTGCGCAGCCGTGCTATTAGCCCGGTTAATACACAAATTATTACCTACAATAAATCTAAACATAACAACGCAGTATTTGTGGACAGATTCATCAATAGTCTTATCTTGGTTAGCATCATCGCCAAGTACCTGGAACGTTTTCGTTGCAAATCGCGTTGCTGAAATAAGCACATTAACGAGTATTTCTAATTGGCATCACGTTAAATCTGCTGATAACCCTGCAGACATTGTCTCAAGAGGTGAATTACCTAGTAAACTTATTACGTCTGATTTGTGGTGGCACGGTCCACATTGGTTATCAAAAAATAAGTCAGAATGGCCAGCTTCATTCGTTAGTTCAAATGCACAAAATGTACCAATTTTAGAAAAACGCGCCAAGTTGAAAATTTTGGTGGCGACCAATAACAACGTACTTCCATTGTTAACAAAATATTCATCCTTCGATAAACTCCAGTCAATACTAGCATATTGTCTCAGATTTATTCACAACTATGTAGTTGATCGTAACAATAAATTATCAGGTCCATTTTCAACTAAAGAATTAAATGACGCAACCAACAAAATCATTAAGTTAGTCCAAGCATCAGAATTTCTAAGTGAAATACATGACTTACAGCGTGGCAGAGAAATTAACAAGTCAAGCAAACTACTTAAATTAAATCCATTTTTAGACAAAAGGGGTATTTTAAGAGTGGGAGGTCGCCTAATCAACGCGGATATCAATTATGAACAAAAATTTCCAATCGTTCTACCATCGAAACATCACGTGACCAAGTTGATTATTCTTAAAACACATAAGGAGCAATTACACGCAGGTCCAGCAGCGACTCTTGCTGCTGTTCGCGAAAAATATTGGCCGATTGCAGGCAGATCAGTAATTAGAAATTTGCTACACAAATGCTATGTTTGTTTTCGAGCAAATCCGCAATCTAATGATCAATTAATGGGCAATTTGCCTGCTCTGAGAGTGCAGCCATCCCGTCCTTTTCTTAATTGCGGCATAGACTATGCAGGACCCATTGTTATGAAGGAAGGTGGCCGTCGTAGTAAAAAAACCACCAAAGTTTACATTGCGTTATTCAAATGTTTTGCAACAAAGGCTGTCCATATAGAATTAGTTACTGACTGCACTTCAGAAGCATTTTTGAGTACACTAAAACGATTCATGGCGCGAAGAGGCAAAATTTCAACCATTCATTCTGACAATGCGACTTATTTTACAGCAGCAAATAAAGAACTAAACAAATTATTCCATTCTTCACAATTTGAAAGCGAAGTAGTTCAATCTCTAGCAAAAAATAATATTAAATGGTACTTCATACCAGCACGCTCTCCTCATCGCGGCGGTTTTTGGGAGGCAGGTATCAAGTCGATAAAATATCATCTAAAACGTGTTGCGAGTAATGCTTTATTGACGTATGAGGAGCTCTATACGCTTTTGACGCAGATTGAAGCATGCATCAACTCCCAACCCCTGACTCCATTATCCTCTGACCCGAGCGATCTCACGGCCTTAACTCCTGGGCATTTCCTCATCGGCGGAAAATTAACAACCTCAGTCGAAGACGATGTTACAATGGTGAAAGAGAATCGTCTGTCACGGTGGCAACGCGTCCAACAACAGGCGCAAAGCTTTTGGAAGCGCTGGTCAGGGGAGTTCCTAAACACGCTGCAACAAAGAAAGAAGTGGAATCGCACTGCTAAAACAGAGGTGAAGCCAGGACTTCCCGTTCTACTACGCGAAGACAATCTCCATCCGATGTGCTGGCGAATGGGAGTCGTCATGGAGACACATCCAGGAAAAGATGGGATCGTCCGGACAGCCACCATCAGGACATCATCGGGACCTGTCGTGCGGGCCACAAACCGAATCTGCCCGTTCCCCATCGACGACGACACCCAGGTTTGAGACCACAGGTTCAAGGGGGGCCGGAATGCGCAGTACAGCCCTGCACAAGAGCGGTACAACCCCACCACCCACCCTTCGACGGCACAAGAGCGGTACAACCCCACCACCCACCCTTCGACGGCACCGGGGTGGTACGGACCCAGACAGAACGCACCTCGCAGTACACGCGATCGGTCGACAAACTGTACATACATTTACACACTATTAATATATAGTTATAAAACAACACTCTTTTCTTGCCGTGTTCGTACCGTGTACGACACGGTTATACGGTCCTTCGAACAGCCTGCGGCGCGACGCCACAAATTCGAACATTTATTCCCGACGGCGCCCCTCTAGAGCGCAGCGTTTCCGAGATCAGCTTGCTGTGATTTTGATGGCATTGAATTTGTATTTTTGTTTGTTTGCATGTGATACGGGCGTTACGGTCCACAAGGTAATCAGTGAAGGCATGATTTAATTAATAACTTGAAATAATACATGATTTAACATCGTGTAACTTATTTGTTGTTTGAAATCATTGAAAGTCTGGCTTAATTTAAAATCATGTAAATTCTTTGTTTTAAGTTATTTAAGATCATCATTTCGAACAGTTGACTGCATTCTCTAAATACCTATTCTTAAAAATAATGTCATAAATTTCTTCATTTCTAACGTGTCGGGAAATTTTTGTGTGCTTATAGAATAAACACATATTTGTAAACAATTACTGTTTACATTGTTTTTTTGTAATATAAATAAACTTCAATATTACGCCTCATTTTTAAAATATTCGTTTTTAGTTTGATATGCTTCAGTCGCACACATTTAACTGTAAATACATTTTAATTTAAAATACTTTAACAATTTTTAAGACCTAGTTCCTGAAGTTCAGGGCCAGGGAATCTCCATATTCGTCATAGGAAAATAACGTTTATTGAGCAAATTTCCCACATGGGTTTAGTGTTGCGTAAATGTTATCTTTTGGTTAATTAAACAAATATTTGGTCATTTAATGAGAACACGTTTCGATTTACTAATAACCTAATTATCACTTTAGCTAGACGTGTGATAAATTCTTTTTTTTTTTCAAAAATTTAACGTTACGACTTTGTTAACTAAACCTTCCTTATTTCTTACCGCTTGTTCCTTATTTCTTGCATTGTGTTTGGACCTTAAGCTGCTAAATCAAGTCAAAAAATGTAAAATACTACTCTTAAAATCAAAAAGAAAACCGTTTTTAGCAACGAATGTTCTTTTACCTTTTGCAAAACTATATATATTTTTTTAATACTAGTTGTATCATTTTCGAGTAGTTCTTTTATAACTAATTGTTGGTTGCTGTTCGTGTATCCAAATACTTTTTTAGCATCAAAATCCAGTGGTATATATAATGTCCATCGGCCATTTTTTGCTTTTGTTATGTTCCTTGCAAATGTTCTTCCTTAGTCATCGGTAATTTCTTTGTTAACTTGACCGTGGAAGGCAAATATTGTGATGTCTTCTAGATCTAGAATATATCAAAATTTAATATTAATTTTGTACAGTATGTCATGAAAAATTTAAAACTAAGATGGTTCAGGCTGACGCAACGAAGAAGATGACGCCACAAATCCTACGAACGACAAAACTAGACCTTATAAAATCGCGAAATACGGTCCAAGACACATTACATTCTAATGTCACGGGAGACGTAATAAAAGGGCCAAGTCATATAAAAGAGGAAGCACTGGAAGCAAAATTCTGTCAAGTCAAGAAATTGTCGAAAGTTTTTTTATAGAACAACTATAAGCTCTAAAGAGGTTGTTTTGAAAAAATAAAAATAAAAATACGTTCAACGAAGTATGAAAAACGATATTTCATGGTATACAAATCACGTAAAAAAATTTCTTGAAACCAAAAAGAAACACATTTTTGGTAATTAATATTTTTTACTTTTTTGCAAGAAAATACAGTCTTTTTGTTCCTTACTTTAACTACGTTTTTAACTTCACACAGATCACTATACTCATTAAAGAGCCGACACTTTAATATAATCAACATCTAAAAGACTAGCATCTGTCCAAGACGGTCGCCACTGTGACGTCGCTTTATAAAACTTCTTCTGCCCTTTTCCATCGCTGTTTTGCCATGGTTTCGTCCCATCACTCCGATCTGGGAAAACGTGACCACCAACACCAACTCCAATAGTCAAGTACATCTAAAAATAAAAATAACGCTTTGTTGAAAACGTACTAAACAACTTACTTCTTTATCAAACGGTGCGAACGGTGTTCCCGAGCTCCACCTCTCGACGTTACCTAATTCTAAATTATGGGATTCACTGACAAACCCTTTTGGTGGTGCATAGATATTTCCGTACACTGTATCATCGACGCTAACAGTTATTTGATCTAAAATAAACACGATAAAAATAATGTGAAGTAGCGACGATAAATACTAACCTGGTTTCCAGACAACAGTAAATACGTGAAAGTCGTCGCCCCAAGTTCCAGTATTTTTCTTAATAGTCTTCATCCCGTAGTTCCTCCCGGCTTGACTACTCCCTAAAATGCAACCACCTCGTAAATTCCTATTCAGTTGTTCGTTCCCAGGAAGAAATGCGATTCGTATTTGTCCAGAAGCATAGTCAGGACCGTATGGCTCATTCAGCGGATTCAAATACAATTCAGGATAGATCCAGTCCCCTTTTGGTAACTTGGCCCGAATTTCGATCTTGCCAAACTTAAAAGAGAATTTATTTTTGGTGGAGATCTGGGCTGATGCTACTGGGGGAAGGATCAGGAAAGCATTGGCTTCTTGAACGCAGTCAAGAGAGCCAAGAACACCTGTACAACTGAAATATTTTGTTATAATGAATCAAAATCCAAAGTGAATTTTCTGTTACTTTATCCCTAAATCTACTCGACGATCGATATAACCTTTGCCAAATAAATCCTCAGACAGAACAGGACGTATTTTTAAATGACCGTCGTTTACTTCTAGATTTTCTCGTCTAGTGGTGTACACTACAAACTCATAGTCCTAGAAATTAAATACACATTTTTTAATGTTAAATAAAAGATAAGTATTTAAATTTTACCGGACTTCCTGCGAATTTATTTTCGGGACTCCACAGGTTATTGTCTAAGCTGTTGAAATCCTCGTGGAATATGACTTTTTGGCTGCAGGTTGCGTCGTTGCCTAATTTTGTGGGACTAGATTTACAACCTGACGATTCTGTGACTTCTTCTGTTGTTTGCGTAGTAACAGTAGGAGCTTTAGTGCTGCTTGTATCCTTTTCGAGGAGTTCTTTCACAACAAATTGTAGATCGTCATTCGCGTAACCAAGTTTATTTTTACCATCGAAGTAGTCTACATATGTCCAGTAGTATATAACATCACCGACCTTCAGTTTTGCGGAAGGATCGTAAAATGTCCACCGGCCATTTTTAGCTTTTGTTATGTCCCTTGAAAATGTTCCTCCTTCCCTACCGTTCATTTCTTCGTTGACTTTGGCATGGAAGGCGAATAATTTGATGCCTTCCTGATCTAGAGTAGAAGATATCAAAGTCTAAGAACATAACGATACCTTTTTTCACCAGAATTTCCGGAAATAAAATGTTGATGTTATTTCCGAAAACACTAAGGGCAATTAATGATATTCTCTTGTAGGTTTCCCAATATTTTTGCGGCTTGAATTCGAACAATTATTCTCTACGGCACCGCTTTAGGACGCAGCGTTTCAATTAAAGAATTTTGAATTTTTCGCGGTTTTTAAAATCTTCTTCATATGTCACATTTAGCCGGGATGTTTAGCTTATCACAATACGTATTTGTTAATTATGTGCAATTTTTGTTATCTAGTATCTTAATCCACCTCCGCGGCCACTTACTTGCACTTGCCCCTTTTTACTCCCTAATAAGGCCCACAATTGCATGAAATTAATGTTATTAATGTTTAAATTGCCACTTTTCTATTATCTGTTTTCCTGTGACATTGTCGTTAAAGAAGGTTGACGAATAAGTTAAAAAGTTAACTTTAAAAACATTCTGTAGCATTAAAAATATAACAAACATAACACATAATAAGAATACATAAATAAATATGTATATATATTAATGTTTTGTTTGTAAAAAAAAATCTTCTCTTTTTGGAAAAACCACTTCATTTTGTGTTAAAAGTGTATCAAAAAAGTTATCAGCTTGAGAATGTGACCCATTATTTTTACACACTCTTCTTGAACTTAATGAAATCTTAACCTACCGGGTATTGACACTCGTAAACCTCGAGGTCGAAAAACTTCAACCAGAGCATCTGGAACTTCGAACTGGCCTGCACTATATTTGAAAAAAGTAATAAAACACAGCACTAATAATCTCATTTTATGATTCTTTGTATGTCTATTTACACGCAACTCACAAAAATAAACGATTGTTTATCACCCGTAATGTAAACGGTCATCTGAACTAACTACTGGTTCAAAACACATGCCAAGGTCTTCGGAATTTCCATTCAAATAAGTAATAAATAAGTGGTGGTATAATCATCTGTTCTGGCAGCTAACGAAACAGGTTTAGTATGAGGTGCAGATAGAATTTGTTCGCAGAAATTTAAGAATGCGTAAAACCTGCATAAAAAATAGTATGCTTTAAGGTAGCATCTTTTAAGTCGTTGAAGATAATTTATTAGCAATTAGCATAGTTTTTTAACGTTGTACAGATTGATATACATTTATCAAAGAGCCCAAATTTTAATATAATCAACATCTAAACCACTAGCATCTGTCCAGGTCGATCGCCAGTGCGACCGAGCTTTATAGAACTTCTTCTGTCCCTTTGCATCGTTGTTCCGCCATGGTTTCCTACCATCACTTCGATCTTCGAAAGTGTGACCACCAACACCAACTCCAAGAGTCACGTACATCTACAACCCCAAAAATAACAAACACTTTGTTCAAAATGTACAACTCACTTCTTTGTCAAAGGGTGCGAATGGTGTTCCTGAACGCCACCGCTCGACGTCACCTAATTCTAAATTGCGGAATTGACTGACAAACCCTCTTGGTGGTGCATAAATATTTCCATACACTCTATCATCAACGCTAACGGTTATTTGGTCTAAAATAAACGCGATAAATAATAGTGAAGTAGTAACGATAAATGCTCACCTGGCTTCCAGATAAGTGTAAATACGTGAAAGTCATCGCCCCAGGTCCCGGTGTCGGTCTTAATAGTCTTCATCCCGTAGTTCCTCCCGGCTTGACTACTCCCTAAAATACAACCCCCTTGTAAATTTTTATTCAAATGTTCGTTCCCAGGCAAGAATGCGATTCGTATTTGTCCAGAAGCATAGTCAGGACCGTATGGTTCATTCAATGGATTCAGATACAACTCGGGATAGATCCAATCCCCTTTTGGTAACTTGGCCCGAATTTCTATTTTGCCAAATTTAAAAGAGAATTTATTTTTGGTGGATATTTGGGCTGACGCTACTGGAGGAAGGATCAGGTAAATATTAGCCCGTTGAGAACAGTCTTGAGAGCCGGGAACACCTGTACAACTGAAATAATTTTGTTACAATGAATCACAAGCAAAATTGATTTTTTGTTACTTTGCCCCCAAATCTTTTTCCCGGTAGACGAAACCTTTGCCAAATAAATCTTCAGACAGAACAGGACGGATTTTTAAATGACCGTCATTTACTTCTAGATTTTCACGTCTACTGGTATACAATACAAACTCGTAGTCCTAGAAATCAAATACAATTTTTTTGTTAGCACAAAATAAATACTAATGTGTTATACCGGACTTCCTGCGAATTTATTTTCGGGACTCCACAAGTTATTATCGAAGCTGTTGAAATCGTCGTGGAATATGAGTTTTCCGCTACAGGTTGCCTGTTCGCTCGATCTTGTAACACTCGATTTACATCCTGATGAGTCTGTAACTTCTTCTGGTGCTGGCGTAGTTATTTTACGCCTGGGTGTGTCTTTTTCGAGTCGTTCTTCTACAACAAATTCTTGGTCGTCATTCGGGTATCCGCGTCTATGTCTACCATCAAAGTAATCTACATAGGTCCAGTAGTACAAGACATCACCGACTTTCAGTTCAGTATTTGGATCGTCAAAAGTCCATCGCCCATTTTTTGCCTTTGTTATGTCCCTTGAAAATGTTCCTGCTTCTCTACCGTTCATTTCTTCGTTGATTTTGCCATGGAAAGCAAATAGTTTGATGCCTTCCTGGTCTAGAAGATATCAAAATTTAGGAAGGCTGGTACACATATAAAATTTTGTTGCTGCTGGAAAATAAAACTCCTAATTGGTTCACCATATGAAGAATTTATTGTCTTTCATGAAATTGCATGGTATGTATATGAATGTTGAAGATACCAGAGAGGTGACAGTTTCAGAATACAAATATGTAAAATCAATAGATAAACTTTTCGTGTGATATCATTTCTGGTTTTTCCGGATAAAAATAGAATCTGTGGGTTTTTCTGTGGGTTTTTTAGGTGAATTTTGCAAGCTGATTAAACAGAACGCGTTTTTATTTTCTGGGTGGTACGCAATACGAATTTCTTTGATAAAATATAAAAACAATAATTAATTGATTTTTAATCTAGAGGTTTATTATTATTTTTAGACCTACCGCTGACCCTTCTATCTCTATCATTACGAGCACTAATAAGACGAAACCATAATAAACTACTCTGACCTACTAGTGCTAACCTAGTTATTCTGACTGACCTGAAAATACTGACTTAGCCTTCATTTCTGTCGATAGCTACAGGTGTTTCTAAATTTTCTCTTTTTCTTGTTGTTATTGACACTTTTAAAAAAATCAGTTTAGTTTGTGTTAAAAGTGTATCAAAGAGGTTATCAGCTCAAGAATGCCGCTAATTATTTTTATGCACTTTTCTTGAACTTTATGAAATTTTACCTACCGGGTATTGATACTCGAAAACCTCGAGGTTGGAAAACTTCAACCAGCGCATCTGGAACTTGGAACTGGCCTGCACCATATTTAAAAAAAATGATAAAACACAACACTAACAATAATCTCATTTTAAGCTTCTATGCACGTCTAGTCACATGCAACTCGCAAAAATAAATGACTTGTTAAGTTGTTAAGCATCACCCGTAATCTAAACGGTCATCTGAACACATTACTCCCTCAGAAGAGATGGTAAAGTCTTCGGAATTTCCATTGAAAGAAGGAAGAGATAAGTGGAGGTGCAATCAATCTGTTTTACTAACTAACAAAAATGGCTTAGGTCCACGTATATTTCGCTCTCAGAAATTTAAGAATCTGTGTAAAACCTGTATAACATTAAACAGTAGCTGGAGACGCGTTGCACTTCGAAGGTGAAGAAAAAAGAATCATCACAATTTAATAAATTTTTGTTCTTCTTTTCGTAATAAGAGAAATTAATACAGTTTCCTCAATAATGTCGCTTCCATTAACGCCGGTTCTCAGCTTCTGTCTCTTATCTCTTAAAGATTTTATTAGGTACACACAAATTTTCGAATTGAAATTTTAGGTGGATCTAACGTTATCCTGAAGATAAATGACGAATGCTCACCAAAACTTGTCTATTCATACCCTCGAAAAATAAATTATCTCATTATTACAGTGAAACCTGTCAATGCCGGACTCTGTAGAAGGCGGAAAACTGCTCATCGCGGAAATATTCCGCAGTCCCGTTTTTTCAAATACCTAATTTAATGTATTTTGGTCCGTATAAGCCGGAAACTGCATAACGCGGAAACGGAAAATGTTTGTAAGTCCCAACGTGTCAAAATACATACACCCAACTCTGTGTAAAACGGAAGCGAGAACAAAATTGATGATTTCTGCGAAAAACATGTAAGTCAATTCGTAGACCTGCAGGTGCATTTTTTGTCAACACAAAGTCACTGTTTTCAATTCTTATTTGATTAGTGTGTCTCGTGGTTGTATGTGTGTTCGTAATGGCCCAAAACAAGACCAACAACAACAGCAAAATGGATTTAATTAATGTACACGGGCCGCAAAATTTGAGTCTTAAAGAACTTTGGTAACAAGTTCGGTTGCAAAAAAAAGCAATTATAAAACATAAAATAAATTAGAGAAGAATGCCAAAGTGGTGAGCGTGTAGCCAACCTTTTGCAGTTGACAACAAGAATGGAAAATATATCTCAATGGCCAAAGAACCAAAGAACAATAAACGACTATTTCAAATAATTCTTTTAGATGTACATATGTATTGAATTTAATAAAAATTGTTTTCCGTTTTATAGAGGTTTACTTTCCGTCATAGGCGGGTTTCCTGTAAAAGCCGGAACCCTGTTTAAGACGGATCAAAATTCTGGACCCGCGCGATTCCGGCATAGACAGGTTTTACTGTAATACTGTGGTGGCCAAATTTGAACTAAAATTTCACGCTGAAAAAAAAATTAATCAAGAAAATCGTTAAACATAAGCAACCATGTGCAAGTTTAGTTCTTTTTTTGGTAGTTGGTAGCTCTTGTAGGGAATTTTTGGGTAATATCTGGTGAGAGGGTTGGTAGTGAAATTCACTTGTTTGCTAGAGGGGCGAGATGCGTCACTGTTGTTTGTTTGGTATAGGTGAAAGTACGCGGTAAGGTAGCTAGATTAAGTTTAGTTGGTTTGGTAGTTAAAAAAAGAGCCTTTGTTTAACGAAAATTAATCGTAACGATGACGACGGCACAGTTTCCCCAACAAGCGTAACTAATTATTGCTTTTTTTCGAATCGGAAATATGCGAATTTTAGACCGACGCCAACCTGTGGTGTAAATTTGATTTATTGTTTGTAAATTCACAATTCATGTTAGGATTTTAATCATTAGTGGACTTATCCTTTGTTTATCAAGTTATAAATAAGGTTTTTGGATGCTTATACGTAAGTGTTACATTATAACACTTCTTAATTCCTCACACAAGATTGCTAATAGTTTATTTACGCCAGTTAAATCAATCTAACGTCCCACTCTGGGAAAAGTACCGTGGAAATAACATACCCTCTAAAAAGATGGAGGGCGGGTGGGCTGGTTTAGTACCTGCCAAAATAAGATCGATTTTGGCAAATGATATATCCCCTTAAAAAAGAGAGGGTGGGTGGGCGGGGCTAGTACCTGCTAAGGTAAAAGTGACTTTGGCAAATAAGACACCATCTATGATAAGAGAGGGCGAGTGGGCGGGGCTATTACCTGTTGAGACTGATTTTGGCAAATGACAAATTCTTTAAGAAAATAAAGGGCGGGCGGCTGGGGCTAGTACCTGTTAAAATACTAGCTCCGTCCACCCATGTCATCTGCCAAAATCAGCCTTATCTTAGCAGGTACTAGCCCCGCCCACCCACCCTCTCTTTTCTTACAGGGTATGTCATCTGCCAAAATCAGCCTTATCATAGCAGATACTAGCCCCGCCCACCCACCCTCTCTTCTTTTAGAGGGCATGTCATCTGCCAAAATCAGCCTTACCCTAGCAGGTACTATCCCCGCCCACCCACCCTCTCTTTTCTTAGAATGTATGTCATCTGCCAAAATCAGCCTTATCATAGCAGGTACTAGCTAGGCAGTTATCATTCGGACATCAACGTGACGTATTTCTTGCGACGAGGGATGTATTTTGTGTTTATTTATCATGTGTTTGTTTGGGATAAGCTGGAGACGGTCCACGATATGAGCTCTCAAACCTAATTATTTTAAGTAATCAATCTCTTGGATCAGGCCATAATTTAACATCATGTAAATTCTTTGTTTGAATTGTTGATAAAGTGTGGCATCATTTAACACTCTTTTTCTCTCGCAGTGTGTATTATCTATGTTTATGACAAATTTTTTATTGATAGAATTGCCCCACTTTCACGAAAAGGTGGGAATACGCCCCTCTTTATTTAAAAATGTACTATATTCTCGGGGGCGCCAAATGTCTTTTTTAAAAAATGGAAAACCTTCTCGGGGGCCCCAAATGTTTTTTTTAATGTAAAACTTTCTGGGGGCTCCCAACTGTTTTTTTTTAATGTAAAACTTCCTCGGGAGTACCAAATGTCTTTTTTTAAGAATGTGAAACCTTCTCGGGGGTCCCAACTATCTTTTTTTAAGAGTATGAAACCTTCTCGGGGGCCCCAAATGTTTTTTTTTTATTGTAAAACCTTCTGGGGGCTCCCAACTGTCTTTTTTAAAAATGTAAAACTTTCTCGGGGGCACCAAATGTCTTTTTTTAAGAATGTGAAGCCTTCTTGGGAGTCCCAACTACCTTTTTTTAACTTCTCGGGGGCCCCAAATGTCTTTTTTAAGAAAGTAAAACCTCCTCGGGGACACCAAATGAATTTTTTATGTAAAACGTTCTTGGGGGTCCCAACTGTCTCTTTTTAAAAATGTAAAAACTTCTCAGGGGCCCCAAATGTCTTTTTTTAATGTGAAAACTTCTCAGGAGTCCCAACTGTCCTTTTTAAAGAAGGCGAAACCTTCTGTGGGGCCCCAAGTGTTTTATTTTAAGAAATAAGAAACATTTTTCTTTTTTTCTATTACACTGTTACCTTCTATATTGTTTTTACTCCATAAAGCTTATCACGAAAAAGTAAAATTCCGTAAAATCATATTTGATAATTTTTCAGAGATGCACCAATTTTTTATAAAAAAAAATATGTATAAGCCATACTTACGTGCTTCAGTAACAAACTTTTATTTTCTGAAACTTTAACCACCTTTAATTTTATATGAAGTTTATCATAGTATATGTGTCATTTTATATTCGAAATCTACCTACTTGAAATTCTACTTTCAATTTTTTCTGATATAACTTGTGGTGACCGAATAATTTTAATTTGAAAGAAAAAAATGCAATCAAAAAATCGTTAAACATAGGCAACCATGTGCACGTTAGCGCTTAGGGGTAGTTCTGCGTGTTTAGTTAGGGCGGTAGTTGGCCTTGACAAGAGAGCGGCATGGCGAATAGCATGGTGAAAGCGTGATGCGGCATTATGTTTGTTATCGTAATGCCGTCAGCGCCCATTTTTCTCCAACACGTGTAGCGAATTCTTGCGGCTTTTTAGTCGGAAAAATGCGACTTTTTGATCGACGCTGACACGTATAAATTTGATTCATTGTTTGTAAATTCACAGTTCATGTTAAGAGTTTAATCGTCAACTAGTGCTAACACAATTTAACAATCAGGATTGTTTAAATAAACCACTTGTTACAAGATTTTATGAAATTCACTTAGTCAGGATAACACCTTTGTTTGTTTAATTACGAATGAGGTTTCTGGATGCATATACGTAAGTATTACTTTTTTATTATTCATACAAGATTGCTAGTAGTTCATTTACGGCAGTTAAATTAACAAAATTCATTATACTGTGAACTGGCGGGGGGTTAAAATGATTTCTTCCCTTAGGTAGTTATCATCGTTATTAGCATCGTTATTTTCATTACATCACCGAGGCATTTCCTCGCAACGGTAAAGATTGATTACATCACCGAGGCATTTCCTCGCAACGCTAAAATTTACATCACCGAGACGCTTTTTCCTCGCGACGATGACTGGATATTTTTGTGTTTATTTATTATGTGTTTTGTTGGGGTAACCAGTTCGCGGTATTTTAAACTCTCGAAGCAAATTGTTGTTTTAAGTAACCAATCACTTGGATCGTGACATAATTTGGCATAATGTAAACTCTTTGTTTGATTTATTGATAAAGTGTGGCAAGTATTAATCTCATGTAAATTTTGTTGGCTTTGCAATTTTTCACCTCATACAATATTTCTTTACCTCACAATTTTAACTTCAGTAATTTTCTTTGTTGTATAATTTTAATTGAACGTAAATTTCATGCTCTGCAGTTTTAACCTCACGTAATATTTTTATTTCACACCAGATTTTTGTTTTGTAAACATTTTGTTGATGAATGTTTCTATCATATAAATTATCTGATGTCCAGTTTTAATCTCACATAAGAATTATTTGTTGTTTAAAATTTCAAAAGATTGTATGGCGAATATAAATGCTGTTTATTACTCTTTTTGAAACTTTAACACTTGTTCAGTTGTTTTTAATATCAGAGTTATAAGAAATTGAACATTTAAAAATGGAATTGAGGTTAAATAACACAGAAAAACGTGGCAGAAGCGGACTACGTGGTTCCTAGTCGGGCTGGCGAGATTAATCGCGTTACCTGACCAAAGGATGCAGGTTTGTATAGATTCAGGTGTGGTCGCGATGACGTAACGCTGTCGGCTTCGTGATAGTCGGCACCCAACTACGAGTTTGCGACCGTAACAGCCTGGTTAGGACGGCATGTTCGTCATGGAGATGTGCTGTGCGGTAGGCTTTGCGATAGATAGAATCACCGTCGTGGGGGAGAACAGCCCCGACCGGTAGCCCCAAACTCCGCTTGTGCTAGAACGCTCCAATGGGTATTTTTGTTGTGCTCTTGTTGACTGCCATAATTTTAAATTTGCCGCCACAATCCCGTGATAAATTGTGTATTTGCATCCAGTTACTTTAATTCAGATTTTTGCTTTGTTTTTATTAAATTTGTGATATTCAGATATTTGCATTGATTCGAAAACATACGTGGCATTTTTGCACTTGTTCGGTTTCCTATATATGTATGTCTGTCAACTCGCGGTTGTCCCTTTCTTTCATATTTTTATGTGTTTCATTTGCGATGTATTATATGTGGGTGAATAAACCATAGCGGGTTTTTGGAGCTGAAAAGCGATTGCGATTCAGCCCCCATTGGGCAGCCTGCGGGCACGTCACGAGTCGCCCTCGCTCGCAGCTTCTTTTTTTCCTAGAGAGGAGTGTGATTTTTGTCCCCCTCGACTCACACGCATCGTATGCTTACTTATATGAAAGAACACAACGTAGGTTCCATTTTGTTAGACGATCGCAGCCAAAGCCAAATTTTGATTTTTAATTTTTTCGCGGGCTTTCTTTTTTTTTCAAGTGCCAATTTAAAGGCGGGAAGTTTGGGTTATCACAAACTGAACACTGTAGATTCTAAAGAGGTCAATTTTATTTTCCTAAATTTTCCTTCACATTTTTGAGTTTTTTATATTTCGGAGAAAGTCATCAATACTGTAACAATGCAAAAACGTGTAAAATAAAGTTTAGTTATCGTTTTTTTTCAAAATACGTATTCGTTACCATCACCCGCCGGGCCAAATTTCCTTAGTCCAGCTCTGTCGCAGCTGCGTCAACAGTGAAGTGTGAACAGTCAATTCATAACCAAAGAACAAATAAACGTTCGAAATCCATACTTGCCATAGTGTGAATGTGTTTTTGTATTTAATCAGTGATTAACTGATGTCGGTGTATTTTAATATCACTTTCTAATAACTCAATCCTGCTACTGGGTGTAACAACTCGAGAAAAACAATTTTATTTTGAAATTTGACGTGTGTCAAACATAACCTCAAAGAAATATGATATGTCAGAGCGTCGGATAATTTGTTTTGGATGTCATGAATCTCACCTTGTCGGACAGCTTATTAGGGCGACAAAGGAGCCGACAATGGACCCCACTGGTGTCACAACAGGTAACTTTTTAAACAACCTTTCATTCCCCCTCAATCTGTGTTTACTTCAAGTACTGTCTACGACACGTCCATCAAATTCTTGGCCTGAATTTCCCGCATTTACCGAAAAAGGGGGCATATTATTTCACGTTGCACCTAACCACAATGAGTGCCCCCTTCTACACCAGTGAAAAAGCAGAAGGTATCAATCCGAAATGGCCCGAGCTGGATTTGCGCAATTTAACAAACTTAGCAGCCACAGGTAACTTTCGACGCCCCCTAAAACCGCAATAATTTACACGATTTACGTTTTTAAGCCCTCGTACTGCGAGTATGGCGCTACTGCGATGATACCTCTGATACCATCATCTCCACTTGGGGTGTGAATCTGTCAGGGCTCGTCTACTTAGGGAATAAAATCGCCGACATCCAACCGGCCTTTTTCAACCCTAATTCTGTGATATTTAATATAAGGGGTGGCTTTTTCACGAGTAGGCATGTACTGAATGAAGAGTGCTCTAAACCACCTCCTTTCATAGACAGTTTAAACGTGATGGAGGTTGGTGGTTGTAAGCAAATTTTCAAGAAGACGAGCGTACAGGTTCCAAAGAGCGAAGTTAGGAGTAGTTATAATATCGACAAGTTGAGGAAACTGCACTCACTTCAAGTTACTATTAAAAATAAGAGTTTGGATGTGCAAGGTGTTCGGGAAAAAATTGAACTCAAGTGTGGTATTAATGCGCCAGAAGAACAAAGTTCACCGGAGGTTCCGTGCAATTCTAGTCCTTCAAATGTTAGGTACGCCCCACAGTTACTTACCATGAAATCGGTCAACAAAATGTTGGAGGTAAGAGATAACCTCACTTTTTACAGGTAGCAGAAATGACATTACTTGCAAATTATGTGCAGATAATATTGATAAAGACATACTTGACCCCCTTGTCTTAAGAACTGATTCTAGTTTTACAAGTACAATAGCATAATTTAAACTATAACCTAATAATATACTATATGATAAAAAAGTTGTCTAGTAGGCCATGAAATTTATTTTTAAAATAATATTGGTGGCAAGACGGACGCGTTCTTTGTTTAGTTTGACAGTTACGACCAAGTAACTGTCAAATAAGGTGTCAAATAGCTGCGATACCAACATCATTATTGTAAAAATAAATGTAATGACCCACAACAATAAAAGTGAACAACATTACTGCCATTGATAAGGGATCCAACGTGACAAACTTAAACAGTTATCATCATCATGATTAGCATAAGCAATATGATTTTTTTGAGTATGTAGGGAGTACTTAATAATAATAACAAATATAAATGTGATGTTAAAAAAAACGCAGAAACATATTGTAGACTTTTTTATTTTATCTGTCAATAATGTTATAAGAGAATTTAATTTTTCTTTAATTTCATTTTTCATGATAATATAATTTTTTACTGATATTTTTATATCTTTAAGTATTTCAAATTTATTCCAGCAAAAACCCACAAAGATGCAAAGAAAAGAAATGGAAAAATTGCGAAACGAAATCGAACTCGAACAGTTCAAAAGCAAACTATTATCGCAAGAAAGAGATAAGAAGTCGGCTTTAATTAGACGTTTTAAGAACAAATTAAAAGACTTAGTAGACACAAATGAAAAGAAAAGTAAGTTACAAATAACGTTATCTATAACAAACAATGTAACTCTTACGTTAAATTGGGTTAGCGACTTTAGAAATCATTCTTATTTTTATAGTCGGAGGAACTACAGTGTTACGGAAAATTCCTAATGCGTCTTAAAAAATAAATAAATGGTAGCGATTTATTTGTCTGAGAATGTTTTCATACGAAATAGTTGTATATTAATTTGGAATTTTATTGATTTTTTTTCTAATCCTAATCTGTATAAGAACTCCATGAAAACACTCTTTTCGGCCTTATTCGTGTCTCGTTAGTTTTAATATCCGCTACTGGAGACATCTGACAAAGGAATTGAATTAATAAATTTCTCGATTTTCAAAACACTGGGTTTTAAATTTTGAAGTTCTGAAAAATTAGTAGCAAGGGTCTGGTATGAAACATAAGCGTTACATTGTCATAAAAACATTCCTTGACACCCAGTGTACCTGTTAAACCTTTTTGCTTACTCAGACCTGGAATTGATGGATAATTACTACAAACTAAGACGTGAAGCGGAAAAATTGAAAGATTTGAAAAAACAAATGCTACCAAACCATGAGTTATTAATGACCTTGTATTCTCAGCTGTACCATCGAAGGAGACAACTCCTTCAGCAACTTTTATTTATTTATCCAATTCAACAAGTTTCAGAAAAGAAATACACAATCCAGGGAATTTATGTACCCAATTCGGATATGTTGTCAGGTTGGTGGCAAATTTTTAGTTAATTTCACTGACTTATGGCCACCATTTCACAGATTGTTCCGATACAGGGATTTCTGTAGCTTTAGGATACATAACACATGTTCTTTTAATGTCGTCTACGTTCCTACAAGTGCCCTTAAGATACCCAATGACGCATTACGGGTCAAGATCGTTCATTACAGATCACGTGTCACCTATTCTACCCGACAGAGAAAGAGAGTGAGTAGAATAATAAAATAGTACATGTTTTCAACCAAACATTTATAGCTTTCCACTTTTCACCAAAGGCAAAGAAAAAATCCAGTTTACTTACGCAGTGTATTTATTAAACAAGAATATTTCCCAACTCAGGTGGCTCTTTTTCATGCATACACCTGAGCTCAAAGCGACATTGCCAAATCTCTTAACCTTCCTAGAAGGTAGAGACTGTAAAGAAACCCTCCCTCTAGTTACTTGTAGTTTAGGTATAAAAAACGACATAGAGAGCACCCGTTTTCAAGAAAACATCAAACTAAACGAAGAAAGGTACCAACAACTACCCAAACGATACAACAAGATGTACAGAAGTTGCGAATGTGGACCAGGCTTAAGCGAGATTTTGGCCATTCCTGAAGCTTTCATGAACAAACAGATCACGTCAGATTCGTTCAAAAACTACATCGCTTCGAAGAAATCAGGTAGTTCGTCTTCATTTTTAACTCACTGGTTAACTCGTGATTTCTCAGCTGAACAAAATAGCGCTTCAATCGTCATTAAGGAAGGCATAGTTGACGAAACCACCAAAAACTGTGATAATAGCGAAGAAGTTATCGAACAAGGGACGGATTTGCTGGATCCTTCTGTGGATCTAGCCGATTTGGAGGGTGTGGAAGAGCAGGTTTGCACCAGAGACGATCTAGACAGCGGTGGTGGTGGTGAGAGTGAGTGTTTAAATCGCGGGAAACAAGGCGATTGCGTCGATGATGAGGTTCAAAGGTTGGAGAGCAATCACTCTGAGCTTCTGGAAAAGTGGATGAAGAATGGTACTTCTTCGGAGTGTTGCAGCAACGACGGGAGTCTATTGCAGACGTGCGAGAAGTTCGCAGAGATTTCCGTTAACACAGTACAAAGCCTCGATAGTCCGCTGATGGCAAGGACGGACGCCTTGCTTAACACTAAATCGTTCAACTTGGTTAAGCCAAAACCGAATTTGTGATTGTTTTATCGAAATATTTAGATTGTATTTTATTTTTTAAATGAATTTTCTGTATTTTATTTCATGTCTTGTTTTGTTTTCTCATTTCTAGGAGTTACTGTTAATTTAAAGGAATTCTTATAATAAATATTTATTCCATTTTACGAGTGTGTTGTTATTTCACGCTGGAGTTTTTGTTGCGACCAGAAACCATGTAACCACGAAAGCCACCGTCATCACGTGGTCGAAGAATCGCCCTGTCGGGTTTTCCCATCTAAGGTTTTCCCCGACATTCCATTCAGCTACCTGATGGCTCTTATCGTTAAATTATCACTGGTCTAGATTATTATGCGTGTGCGCAATATTCTGCCCTCGTATTGCCGCTTTATCGGTCGACCATATGTACTTAATTGGAAATATGGAAAAAAAACTTTGAATGAAATAAAATTAAATTTGATAAAAACAAAGCAAAATCTGAAGTAAAGAAACAAATTTAAAATTATGGCAGTCAACAAGAGAACAAAATTCTAATAAAAAACTATGCAACGGCACCAACGCGCTATAAGAGTGTAGCGATCGAACTACCATATATCAATTTCATTCTGGAGCACAGCAAAATTACCCATAGGGGGCGCTATAGCACAAGCGGAGTTTGGGGCTCCTGATCGTGGTTGTTCTCCTACCCACGACGGTGATTTTATTCTATCCTATCGGCAAGCACCCCTCTATTTAACGAAGAAACGTGCCCCGCTAACAGGCCGTTACGGTCGCAAACTCGTGGTTGGAAATTACGGCTATAAATAAGCTGGCAGCTTGACAAGGAACCGCGAACCCCGCTTCCGCCACGTGTTATTGTGTTATTTACTTCAATTCCATTTAAATGTTCAATTTCTATAACTCTGACATTAAACTACAACTGAACAAGTCTTAAAGTTTTAAAAAGAGCAATAAACATTTAAATTCGCCATACACTCTTGTGAAATTTAAAACGGCAAAGAATTCTTGTCTGAGATTAAGATTGGACATCAGACAATTTTATGATGGAGGCATTAATCAACGAAATATTTACAGAACAAAAAACTAGCAAAGATTTATAAAAACAAAAAAAATCTGGTGTAAAGTAAAATTTGTGCAGCCAAAAAAATTACGTGAGGTTAGAAACTGCAGAGAAAATTGTATGAGGTGAAAAATTGCAAAGCTAGCAAAATTACATGAGGTTAATATTTTATGTAAATTAATGTTAATGTTAATTTTCAAAACTGAGTTCTCCCAGAAATGTGATCAATCTTGTGGCGCTGTGCAAATAATGGTCTAAATCAAAGGAATAAAATGCACGTCCCACATGACCCACAATGTTGTCAATTTGTTCAACGAGATTTTACAGTTCAAACATGTGCTCGGTTTGAAAATACGGTTTCAACATGGCCGCTGCCAGAACAAAGAATTGACCTGATGTTAAATTATACCACACTTTATTAACGATTCAAACAAAGAATTTACATTATGTTAAATTATGCCACACTTTATCAACGACTCAAACAAAGAGTTTACATTATATTAAATTGTGCTACACCCTTTTAACGATTCAAACAAAGAATCTACATTATGTTAAATGATGCCTTGATCCAAGGGACTGGTTACTTAGATTAAAACCATTAGCTTTGAGAGTTTATATCGTGGATTGTCCCCAGCTTATTCCAAACAAAACACATGATAAGTAAACACAAAATGCATCCAACGTTACGAGAAAAGCTCCTCGGTGATGTAATTTTCCACGTTGCGAGAAATTTTTAATCCCCCAACACTTAAGTATAAGGATCCAGAAACCTTATGCATAATTTGGTAAACAAAGAACGAGTCCTGACTAAGTGAATTTCCTGAAATCTCCTACAAGTGTTTATTTAAATAAATTCCTGATTGTTAAATTGTGTTAGTACTAGTTAACGATTAAACTCCTAACATGAACTGTGAATTTACAAACAATAAAACAAATTTACACCACATGTTTTTTTTTCTGCTTGGAAAAAACCGCAAGAATTAACTACGCGTGTTGGAGAAACTGTGGCGTCGTCGTCGTCACGATTAATTGTCGTGAAACAAAGGCTTCCCCCTTTTTACTTCCCGAGCGTAAGCAAAGGAAGTATTGTAATCGAGTCCGTCGGCCGACACTCTACTTTTACGTTTTCTCGATCTTTCATGACCCCTAGAAGACGAAGAAATAGGTCTCCCAATTCCGTCTGTCTGTCCGTCTGTTCGTCTGTCTGCCGTCCCGGATTTTTATTAGACAGATAATCTCCGAAAGTACTGGTCCGATTGTTACGAAATTTTGTAGTTATATTAGGAATATCATGTAGATGGTAAAACGCTAACCAAAATTTGTCTAATCATCCCCACCACTAATGCGATGAGGTCACTTCAAAATTGTACGTAGTAAATGGGTCTTAAATTGTATAAAATAACATAGTCCTACACATGTCGTTTACGACTCCGAATTGAGTTTTTACCCGAAACGTCCAGATTTTTGGAAAAAAAATCAAAATTATAAAACAACATTTTCCAATTTAATTTTGAGTCTGCTGACCCGAATGTTTTGAAATGTTGCAGATGTTTTAAGGCTCTAAAGAGCATATTAAATCTTTAGTCAAAATATATTTGGTTATCCTCTCCAAAAACTTGATGACGTCACCCCAAAATTTTGCTGAATAAATCCTACCTAAATTGCAAAAAATATGATGAGTTTGTACTTGTGATCAACACTTATTATTAGTATTACATTGGACCAACTCAATTTGGTAGACACAAAATTTTGTAAAGTAAAAACTCGGTTGAAACATAAGGGTAGCACGCTTATTTATATTTACTTTTACATTACAGACGTGCATTTGTTTTGTGCGCTGACTAGGTTCCGCGAATGTAGTATAGACATGTTTATAATCAACCAATTGTGAATTCCACCGTCAAAAGTTAAAATAAAACCCAATGTTTTATATAATAAGCGGAAGTCGAAGCAATAAAAATCTCTAGACGACCATCGGTTTTGTTACAGTTTCTTTGTTTGACTCTCACGTATGCTATGTTACGCTTGTCGTCTTAAATTAAGAATGCTTATACATAAACGATTTTCAGCTGCCTCTCCTACTACACGCCGGCGCCGTATACGTGAGTAAATTGTTTCGTTATTTTATTGATTATTACAAATCAATATTCAAAACGACCCAATTCATTTTCCCGAAAATTTGGGAATACAATAATCTTATTCTTAGTATTACACTATATCTCTCCCAACTGATATACGTGTCCTTGCAAAAATGTTGATGACGTCATCGCAATGTTTTTTTAAATTCCCGCTGCAAAAATGTAATGAGAAAAAAAAAACACAATAGACATGCAGTCGTCAAGTTTCCGACAGCGAGGGAAGTACTGTCTAAACTCTTTAGACCAATTTTTTTATTTGCGAATAAAATTCTTCTAGAAAATCGTGGGCTTATAAAATGAAAAAAGGAAACGAATTAGAACAAAGTTAATTTTGTTAAATTGTACAAGGTAAAATTTTATTCAACAATGTGACAAAAAATATCCACACGCTGGTAAAAAAATAGTTCCCTACTTCTAAATTAACCACCAAGACTGCAGAAACAATTCCTAGTCAAACTTGTGCATGAGGTCGTGGTGCCGTTGTTTGAGATGCTCGAGCATTGTGGCATTATTAGCATGCTGTTTCCTCAACAGATAAATTTCCGTAACTTCTTCGAAATCTTCATGAGTGTATTTAGTACCAGTAGCGCTCTGGATGATGTCCAAAAACTGTGTACCATATTCTAGTGTCGGTTCCACAACAGTACCTTCTCCGTAGTCATTCCACGTGCAAATCTGTATTACATCGGTATGCTGGAGAGCCAAATTGAAAGTGTCTTGGAATGTAGTAGTACTATAGTCAATGGTAAAACCTGGACCTGGCCAACCACCGGCCTCATAAAATGAATTAAATCCGGGATAAGCAACACCTACTTTAAGTGGTACATCTTGGAAATTGTACCTAATGACATGGAATCAGTTGATAAAATATAACATACTTAGTTAAAACTAACCAGTTATTAAGACCATCCAAATAGTTGGAATAAACCCAGGCGTACTCCCCAGACACGAAGCTACCACCTTGTTGATGTTGGTTCCACAACGTCAAGAACGTGGGTTTGGGGTCAAGAGGAGCAAAGATGTTGTCCCAGTTATCGTCAAACAGTGCCTGAGGTCCGAAATCGAGGAGTAGCGGAGCACCATTCAGATGCACATAACTTCCCCTGCTAAAATAGTTGCTCTGAGCATAGTTCATATCGGCGGTACCTATTGTAACAAAATTGAAATTACTTAATATTAAGTCATATCTAAGTAGGTAGTACCTTGACCGATTTTATCGCCTACTCCAGCGAGATTCAAGTTGTTATCTTCATATACTACAGCGAATTGGAGTCCAGCCCTGTCGATTCCGTCAATAATGGCTTCAGCGTTTTGTCTGTTTTTGGGGTAATCGAAGGCCTCGGTGGTACCTGGCCAGTCCAAAAAGATTCCTTTGATTCCTGCCGTCTTCATGTGTCCTGTCTGCCAGTCGATGACATCAGGATCGCTTGAAGCGTAAGCCCCGATTTCTGGATGGTAATACGAAGCGATGTCTTGTTTACCATCGACTACGTTATCTGGATTTCTGTTAGCCATAGTCCAGTGGATGCCCCAAGTACCACCATTGCTTTCTTTGGTTTCGAACCATGGCATCATATGGACGTAGACGTCCGCACCGTAGGCGGACAATGCGTACAACGCAAGAAGCAGAAGAGTAAAGGTTTTCATTTTCAGTACTAGAGTTGCTTTGATTTGGGACTGTGTTTGTTTGCTTATATACAGCCAAAGGAACAGTACTCGATCTGATAATAGGAAAGTGTTTTCATTGATTGTGTGATGAGAGATTTTGAAGGACCAGGTTGCTAGGTGCTGCTTTGCGCCTATCAGATTTAAACCAAATAATTCCAATTAGGCAATGATGAATCTGTAAAAATGTATTGAGAGGGTTTAAGTTGTTTTTGTGTGTCACGTAGGTACTTCGCTGTGAATCACCAAAGTTTATGTTGACAATATCAAGTTTTATGAAAGGTTCTTTTTTTAAGATACGAGGTGATACCAATCGGTGTGATAATGCGTTTTATTTTTAGAATGTCAAAGTAAATACTCACTGTTAGGAACACAGGTGGCGAACACTTGGAATGTACTTAACATCTGAATATTGTTTTCAACTAAGAAAATATTTTTTTTTATTTTGATAAAAAAATCTTTAGCGAAGTAAATGTAAAGTCATTATTTTATAATCGTGATAAAGTTTGTTTTAGTTATAAAATTGACGACAATTTTGATTTAATTGATTATCTCTCAAACAAGTAGCTCTTATAATTTGTTTGGCATACGTAATGTTACATGATCATGTGTCATAACTTGTTACTTAATAAATTGTACTATAAGCACTTTCTAGCTATAAAAAGCAATAACATGTTCACCCTGGAGAAGATGGAGCTCTTTACTAATGGTCCTATGGTTCGTTTATTTGCCGTGGTTCTCCTTGTACCTTTTACGCTTGTGGGTGTGTTGCAGCCAAGAGACTGTGGTATCCCGGTTTGAATTAAAATTTCGCGCTGAGACAAAAAAAAACGCCGCGAAACCCTATTCGAATAAATTGAAAAGTAGCGGGCGGATGGGCGGGCGTAGTATTTGTTAAGAAAAACTGATTTTACCCATATTATTAATCTTGTAAAAACTTGTGAAATTTAGAGGTGTAAATTTCCATAGTAACAAGTTAAAATCCTAAATCTACCCGAAATGTGCAAAATATGATGATTTTTTACTTGTGATTTATCCCTGCATTCATATTTTTTAAATTTGCTTATACAGGTAGCCCCAAAAAAAAAAAAATTAATTAATGTGTCAGTTTATTTTATTAACGAATCAGGGGTAGGATTTTGTTCTATAACGATAAAATATCGGTACCGATAAAATGTGGTCGTCTTTTTCTTTCGTATCTGAAATTTATATTTTCCTCCTTGTTATTTATCGCTTCGTTATCGCATCGTATCGTATCGGTAGAATCAAAATCCCACCCCAGGAACGGCTCAATCCATTTTCCCAGAAAATTTTGGGAATACAATACTGTTATTTTTAGTATTACACTACACTAATCCAAGTTAATATACGTGTCCTTGCAAAAATGTTGATGACGCCATCACAAAATTCTGTAAAATAAAAACTCAACTCAAAAATACTGGATTTATTTCACTGTACTTTAGGTGTGGGGGAAGTTCTGTCGAAACAGCTTTCGACCAATTTTTTTATCTTGGAGGGGTTATCAAAATTTCTCAAAATCAAGTGTTATAATTTTTCGAAAAAGGTAGATATTTTGTGTTGTAATTCAGAGGCTAGGAAACTTCCGACCAAATAACCTTTCACCGATTTTTTTGCATTATCCAACTTTTGAGACTTTCGTCGTTTTGCCTGTAAGAATTACTTACTTTTTTTAAAATAAAATTCATAATAAAAAAATTACTTCTTGCTCCCATAACACTTATATATCTCTTTAGAGATTAATGGAGTTGGCTATGTTATAACTAAAGTTTTGAATGTTTTTACTTAAATATTACATTAAAGCACACTTAACTTCTCACTCGAGATTGCTAATAAGTCAGTTATAGCATTTAAACTGATCTTAAACGTTGGTCCGATTTTAGGGAAGGGACCTTGAAATTTCTATCAATAAAATTAATATCCTTGTGGACTCGAAAAACCAGAGGGCTTTAATATTTTATTACTGGTTTAATACTGGGTTTCTCTTGCATATTTGATAGTTTTGGCGCCTTGAATTTGAACATTTATTCTCAACGCCGCCTCTCTATAGCGCAGCGTTTCGGAGACCAGTTTATTGTCATTTTGAATATCAAGATTTTTCAAAACTCGGGCACGAAGCAAATAAGCAAAATTTAGAGAAGGGGCGACAGGACCGTCACATTCTTTTGGTTAGGTTGAAAAGCATCGTCGGAAGGATACAACCGTCAAGAAGCTTTTTGTTATCCTCTTCAATTTAACCCAACCTGGGTCCATTGTTGAATGTGGCAGCACAAGAACACGTCGGTAAGCGGAGAAAGATAAGTGGCCTCGTGGTCTAGTGGTCAGGATACCTGCCCGGAAAGCGGGAGGCGTGGGGTTTGATTCCCACCGAGGCAACATTTTTCTTCGCTTACCTACATTGAAGATAGGGATCGCTGAAGATTCCAAGATTGGCTTATAGAGGGACCTGTCATATTTAAAAGATTACACTACTTCCTCATTTCCTACGAGCCAAATCTTATCCAGATATAGCTAAGGTAATCAAGAACCTTCCAAACATATTCTGTTCAAACGATTAAACCTAAAATGGTTCACGACCGAGGTGTCAGTATGGAGGTTCGAACTGCTCCAAACTTGATTCCAGTATTTAGTTCGTTACTCCCTTTTGGTCCCTAAGTGCGCGTAATGTTGTATAGTTAACAAGTAGTAAACTAGATAGTTAGCAAACTCTTTTTGGTTTCCTCGGTTTCGTTAACTGTCTGCGAGCGGGTATTCCGACTCCTTGAAGGTCAAACTTACCCAGTTCGACTTTAGCCCGATTTCCATCATTACTAACGAATTTATTGCAGTGTTCATGAATCCAGTTTTCTAAAATACTTCACAAAGGCTATCTGCCTGTAAGCGGTTAATTATATGGGTTAAGTGCACGGGATTATACGGTACAATCCAAGTACAACAATTGATTTTTTAATCAAGTCATGGCAATTTATGATTACAAACGTTTTTTTTTTTGTACAAGGAAATACTCAAAATATTTTGAAATCATAGTGATAACATTTGTGGCACTTCACTAGATTACCGATGATCCTTTTAACCTATTTTTGTGTTTTGAAAAAGATCGAGCATTTTCTTATTGTTTTGTCTATTTTTATGAAATTTACAACTCATCATCGTTAAGTAGTTTTTATCTCAAATTCAATTTTTTAATCTTTTTTTGATACTTGTTATTCATGGTGATACTCACTGATAAATAACTTTTCTAAGTTGACATAAAACAGTGTTTTAGCAAACAATAACTGAAATTTAATCTTTTGTGAAAGAAAGTAATATAATATAGAAGTTTAAAAGTAATCATAACAGGTATGTACTTTTGCTTTACTTGTAATTATAGTTAACACGTGTTTTTAGGACGAAATACAAAACAAAAAGTCGTCACAATGAAGACGATTCTAGCCCTCTTTGCGTTCACACAATGTACTTTACTTATCACGGGATACCCAAACCCCGAAGTCTATGTCCACATGATGCCTTGGTTTGAAACACCCGAAACAAACAACGGTACTTGGGGCCAACACTGGACCATGGTCAACGACAACCCTGATAATGTAACCGATGGTAAACAAGACATCGCCTCGTTTTTTCACCCTGAAATCGGAGCTTACGCTTCCAGCGATCCCGACGTGATCGACTGGCAACTGGGTATAATGAAAGCCGCCGGTATTTCTGGAGCGTTTATCGACTGGCCAGGAACCTACGAAATGTATGACTACCCTCAAAACAAACGAAACGCCGAGGCTATCATTGAAGGTATTCGACGAAATGGCCTCAAATTCGCCATTGTGTACGAAGACAATAACTTAAACCTTGCGTCGGTACCTGATCAGATTGGACAAGCCACCATCGATATGGAGTACCTTCAAGCTAATTACTTTAATCAAGAGAATTACGTGTATGTTGACGATGGTCCTCTTCTTATGGATTTTGGGCCTCAGGTACTTCATAGGGAAGACTGGGATGCGGTATTCACACCTTTGGAACCTAAACCCACGTTTTTAACTCTTTGGAATCAACACCAGGAAGGTGGGGCGTATTGCAAGGGAGAATTTGCGTGGGTCTGGGTAGATTTTATTGATGGGTTAGATCGTTGGTACGTAACTCAAAGGGTGCCGGTCAAAATCGGTACTGCTTATCCTGGTTTTCAACCGTTTTATACCAATGGCGGGTGGCCTGGACCTGGATACTTTATTGATTACGGTGTGGATACGTTCCAGCAAACTTGGGACTTGGCGCTTGAGTATACCGAGATGATTCAAATTTGTACCTGGAACGACTACGGAGAAGGTACCATTATTGAACCCACTCTAGAATATGGCACGACTTTTGTAGATATAATCCAGCAAGCGACCGGTAGCAAATATACTCATGAAGATTTTGAAAAATTGACAGAGATTTATTTGTTGCGGAAGCAGCATGCGGATGACCCCGATATGTTGGAAAAACTCAAGGAACAGCATAACGCTATTGTGCACAGATTTGATTAAATTTCAAAACTATGTAATAAGATGTTAATAAAACTTACTGTTTGTTTACTAACGATAATAGTGATAATAAATAATTGTTTTTGTCGAATAATGAATTATCGTCATTCTTCATAGTAACAAACTAAAATAACTTGGACAATACGACACTTAAGTACGATCCACTCAAAATATAAATATCTGTTCATGAAATCAAACAAAAATTCGGTATATAAAAACAATAGACAGTTAAGCAACAACGCTTCACTTTAAACAAAATGCGAACACTTCTGTTACTTTCCTTTTTGCTATTCTTCGCCTTTAATTGTAATGGCGTCGAAGTCTACGTCCACATGATGCCTTGGTTCGAGACCAAAGAAACCAACAATGGTACTTGGGGCATCCACTGGACCATGGACAATGAGGACCCCGACGTCGTGATTAACGGTAAACAGGACCTAGCTTCCTTCTACCATCCTCAAATAGGTCCTTACGCTTCTGGTGACCCAGACGTAGTCGACTGGCAACTAGGCGTCATGAAAGCGGCTGGAATTTCAGGAGTTTTCATAGACTGGCCAGGTACTGTCGATTTTGCCGACTATCGCAAGAACAAACAAAACGCTGAAGCCATCATCGATGGTACCCAACGAACTGGTCTCAAGTTTGCAGTGGTTTATGAAGACCACAACTTGAATTTAGCCTTCGTACCCGATCAGATTGGCCAAGCGACGGAAGACATGGCGTACCTGCAAGAGAATTATTTCGTCAAAGACAACTATCTTCACGTTGATGAGAAACCGCTTCTGATGGATTTTGGGCCGCAAGTTCTGTATGAAAAAATGTGGGACCAAATTTTCACACCGATTGAACCGAAACCGGCGTTTTTGACCCTTTGGAACCAGCATTTGCAGGGTGGTTCTTATTGTGAAGGGGAATACGCTTGGGTGTGGTTGGACTTTTTGGATGGTTTGACTACATGGTAGTGTTTTATTAAAGTTTTAGAAAGGTATGAAGTAACAAGATTTTTATCCTTAGGTACGATCAAGTAGATGTTCCGATTAAAATTGGTACGGCGTACCCAGGCTTCCAACCTTTTTACCAAATGGGAGGTTGGGGTGGACCTACGTGGACAATTGATTATGGAGAAGATACATTTAGACAGAGTTTCGAACTTGCTTTGCAGAATACGGAAATGATCCAAATTTGCACGTGGAATGATTATGGAGAAGGTACCATCATTGAACCTACTGATGAATTTGGTACTACTTTCGTGGATATAATACAACAAGCTACAGGGAGCAAATATACACATGGAGATTTTGAAGAACTCACTAAAATTTACTTCATGAGGAAGCAACACGCCGACAATGCAACAAAACTTGAAGAACTCAGAAATCAGTACCATGAACTTATGCATAAATTTGATTAAATCTAGAGGTGCTTAACATCAGTATTTAACTAGAATTTATCTAACACTACAAAAACTTAAAGTCATTCTTGGCCAAATAAATAAAACTTTTCTATAATTAGCTTTTATCATCACAAGTCATCGCACCTGATGTTTATCACTGTAAATTTTATTTTGTAGGTCGTTATCAACATAAATAAACATCTTCTGAAACATGACAAAAACAAAATCATTATTTTTATCGATAAGTGAGTACCTTCTATCTAAACAAATCTAAACACTCGAATTATACACATTTTATATAGACCACTATTACTAAGCATTGCAACACGAACTGTCACAACCATGAGATCGCTTATTTTCCTTTCGTTCCTCTTACTTTTCCAAACTCTCCCCCTTCATGGCGCCGAGATATACGTGCACATGATGCCCTGGTTCGAAACCAAAGAAACCAACAATGGTACCTGGGGCCAACACTGGACAATGGCAAACCGAAATCCCGACAATATAGTAGATGGTGTTCCCGAAATCGCCTCTTTCTATCATCCCGAAATCGGTCCCTACGCATCCGGAGATCCCGATGTCATCGACTGGCAACTAGGACACATGAAAGCAGCAGGAATTTCAGGAATCTTTCTTGACTGGCCTGGTACCACCGACGCTTATGAATACGCCAAGAACAAAGAAAACGCAGAGGCTATTATAGAGGGCACCAAAAGAGCTGGACTTAAGTTTGCGGTTGTCTATGAAGACAATAACCTGAACTTGGCGGCAGTACCGGACAAGATTGCGCAAGGTCAAGCGGACATGGAGTACCTCCAAAGTAACTATTTCACGGAAGATAATTATTTGCAAGTGAAGGATGCACCACTTCTTCTTGATTTTGGACCACAAGCTCTGCATGATGCTGAATGGGATGAAGTTTTAGAACCGTTGGATCCAAAAGCCACCTTTGTCACGCTGTAGAATCAAGGGCAGCAAGCTGGAAATTACGTTCAAGGGGAGTTTGCTTGGGTATGGGCTGACTTTGTTGACACACTAATAGTTTGGTTAGACCTTTTCGTATTTTTTGGTTTGGTTTTAATTGTGTTTTTATAGGTACGCGAATCGGAATGTTTCGGTGAAAATCGGTGTTGCCTATCCTGGTTTTCACCCCTTCTATGGTGAAGGTGGATGGCCTGGACCTATGTTTTATATTGAGTACGGGGTACCTGCTTTCAATACCACGTGGCAAATGGCTTTAAATAACACCGACATTATTCAAATCTGCACTTGGAATGATTATGGTGAAGGTACTATTATCGAACCTACGTTGGAATATGGTACTCAGTTTCTAGACATAATTCAGGAATATACTGGCAGCAAGTATACATCAGATGACTTCAGGAAACTGACTGATATTTATTTCATGAAGAAAAAGTACGCTGATGATCCCGTCATGCTCAAATTACTTAGAGACAAACATCATGCACTTGTACATAAATTTGATGAACTGACGTAATAAACTACTCTTATAATGGTAAAATTTACGGATAATTTTTTTGAAATAAAACACAAACGTTTTTAAAAATCTAGGCTTAAAGTGCTTAATAAATCACGAAACCAACATCTGATTCATTATGACGTCAAGGGACTGTTCCGCCAATGGCATTCCTCTCAGCAGTTACTTAGCAAGATTCTACAAAAATGTGAAAACCTCTCATCATACTATGACAGAATAGAATTTTAACACAAGAAATGATTACTTTCTTCCATGACTTAGCACAAAGAAACATTCATACAACAAGTACCTATCATTTCACTTACCGTTAATTTCAAACATACTGTATATTGATGAAATCCACAAATCATGACTATCTTCTCAAATATAATGGGTACCTGATTGTCAAGAAAACATTTCTATATCAGTACGAACCCACTTCAGTCACAGTCCACAATCGCACCTATCTAGTAGTTAACAACCCTTCTTTCAAAATGAAAACGTACCTTATTTTCCTTCTGTGTTACCACACCTTCTTGCACAGCCATGCGCTCGAAGTGTACGTTCACATGATGCCCTGGTTCGAAACCAAGGAAACCAACGATGGTACCTGGGGCCAGCACTGGACCATGGCTAACTGCAACCCCGACAATATCATCGATGGTAAACAAGACATTGCCTCGTTTTACCATCCAAAAATCGGGCCGTATGCCTCTGGAGACCCAGACGTAATCGACTGGCAACTTGGAGTTATGAAAACAGCGGGAATTGCTGGAGTTTTCATCGACTGGCCTGGTACCACCGAAGCCTACGATTATCCCAAAAACAAGGAAAACTGTGAAGCCATCATCGCAGGTACGGAAAGAGCAGGTCTTAAATTTGCCATAGTGTACGAGGACAACAATCTAAGACTGGCAAATGTTCCGGATCAAACGGGTCAAGCTATAGCTGATATGGAGTACGTGCAAAGCAACTATTTTCCGAAGGAAAATTACGTGAGAGTCAATGATGTTCCGCTTCTTATGGATTTCGGGCCACAAGTTGTGCTCTGGGAACAATGGGACGATGTTTTGGCTCCTTTGGACCCTAAACCTACCTTTTTGACTCTTTGGAACCAACACCAACAAGGTGGTAGTTACTGTGAGGGAGAGTTTGCCTGGGTTTGGGTCGATTTCATGCAAGGGTTGGAGCGATGGTTCGTATTCTTTATTCTTGTTGGAATTTGGTTTAACTTTTGTTTTACTTTTCGTAGGTATACTACTCAAGACGTTCCTGTTAAAATAGGGGTGGCGTATCCCGGATTCCAGCCCTTCTACACAAATGGTGGCTGGCCAGGTCCTGGATATTACATTGATTATGGGGTTGATACGTTCAGACAGACTTGGGAAATGGCCCTTCAGTACACAGATATAATACAGATTTGTACCTGGAATGATTATGGGGAAGGTACTATTGTTGAACCCACTGATGAGTACGATACGACTTTTGTTGACATCATTGCTGAAGCTACTGGAAGCAAATATACGCATGACGACATTGATGAACTTACTGAAATTTATTTCAAGAGGAAGCAATATGTTAATAATGGGACTATGTTGGAATTACTAAAGAATCAATACGATGCTCTTATGCATAAATATGACTAAGCTTTGTATTTATTAAAAATATTTATTTATCATTTTTGGATTTACAATAAATTAATTAGCTTTGAAGATTATATTTTTGACCTTTCACTATACGGCTTTTTATTTTGCTAGTGCATTTTCTTTTTCTCTTATTCACATATTTTTCTTTTATGTACTTTTCTTGTCAGTTCGAATCAAATAGATGTACCCTTTGGTATTTTTTGGAAAAAAAATTCCAGTGTCGTATTATAACAATTATTCATTCTATCCACGAAGTCTTTCAATGTGTGGTGACCGAATTTGAATTAAAATTACAGCGGCGCGAAATTGCATTGGAATAATTTGAATTTGAAAAAAAATTCAATGAAGAAAATCGTTAAACATAGGCAACCATGTGCACGTTTATTTCTGTTGATTTTGCTTAAAATTTAGCAATTGGTAACAGCTTTCGATTGATTGACAACGGCTTTTAGTTAGAAAATTGTTTGAATATGAATGTTGCTAAATTTACGATTAATAAGTGGTGTTTCAATAGAAATGGCAAAGACTATAGTGTAAATTTGTTTTATTGTTTGTAAATTCACAGTTCATGTCAGGATTTTAATCGTTACCTGGTTCTAACACAATTCAACAGTCATAAGTTTGTTCAGATAAAAATACTTGCAGGAGATTTTACGAAATTCACTTAGTCAGGGCTCATTCTTTGTTTACCACACAAGATTGCTAATTGTTCATTTACGGCAGTTAAATTAACCTAACGTTGTCCCGCTTTGGGAAAAGGACTGTGCAAAGTACCGGATACATTTTGTGTTGTTTATTTATCATGTGTTTTGTTCGGGATAATCTGAGGACAGTCCACGATATAAACTCTCCAAGCTAATGGTTTTAAATAACCAGTCACTTGGATCAAGGCATAATTTAACATAATAAACTCTTTGTTTGAATAGTTGATAAAGTGTGGCATAATTTAACATCAGGTAAATTCTTTGTTCTGGCAGCGGCCATGTTGAAAGAGTATTTTCAAACCGAACACATATTTGAACTGTAAATCTTACTGAACAAATTAACAACATTGTGGGTCATGTGGAACGTGCATTTTATTCCATCGCATATTTTTGACGCATCTTTTCTGGAACGACGCATTTGTCCGACGCCATTTTGCACCTCCAGATTGCCTGTTATGTTTTTATGCGTTTGTTTGAGGGAATGTATAACAATGGTCCACAATGCAGGTGAATAACTTCACTTTTCAAAATTTAAACAGTAACTTGAATCGACACAAATATTAAACTCTTGTAATTTTGTTAATTTTGCAATTTTTCACCACATACAATTTTTCTATCTCACAATTTTAACTTCAGTAATTTTCTTTGTTGTATAATTTAAATTGAACGTAAATTTTCATGCTCTGCAGTTTCTGACTGCACGTAATTCTTTTGTCTACACAAGTTTTACTTCACAACAGATCTTTTTGTTTTTATAAATTTTTGCTTATAAATTATCTGATGGCCAATCTTAATCTCAGATAAGAATTTTTTGTTGTTTAAAAATTTCACGAGAATGTATGATAAATTTAAATGTTGTTTATTGCTCTTTTTGAAACTTTATCACTTGTTCAGTTGTAGTTTAATATCAGAGTCATAGAAAGTGAATATTTAAATGGAACTGAGATTGAAATAACACAGAAACACGTAGCGGAAGCGGAGTGCGCGGTTCCTTGTCGAGCTGGCGACCGCGTCATCTGCACAAAAGATGCAGATCTTGAATATAAATCAGGGACGGGCGGGATGACGTGAGTTCTTTAATTCAGATTTTTCTTTGATTTTATTATATTTGTGATATTCAAATATTTGCATTGATTCAGAACGTTTAATTTGATTTCATTTAAAATTCGGCAAGTTCTTTTTGTAACTGAGCATTAAGCGGTGTCTTCTTAGTCGCAGCTTTTTTTTCTTTTTTTTGTCAGTGGAGGAATAAATAATTTTGTGGCCTCCATATATTTTGTGTTTTATTTACCTGTACTTTTCCAACATTTTCAAAAACACAATGTAGGGTTCCATTTTGTTAGACGATTTTTCGCGGGCTTTCATTTTTTTTTATAGGTCAATTTAAGGCGGGATGTTTGGGTTATCCTATCACAAATGTCAACGAAACAAAATAATTACTGCTAATTAGTAAAAGGTTAAATCACCCATAACTAGATCAAACAGACCACACTCCAATTTAGGTCGGCAACAATCAATCATTATTTGGCCTGATTTTCCCACTTTTTAAATTTGATGCCACAAAATCCACCAATCGAGTGTGGTGCTTAATTTAAAATATTCGTTGTTGCCAATGTAAATGTGAGCAGTAGTACCATCCAAAGCTTTACAGAAACGCCAACTGTAATTCATTTTATTTTCGATCACACGTTTCTGTGAAACTGATCCAGATACTTGGCGCTATGCCACTTTTAACCGCTTAATCAAGGTTTCTCTATACAGTTAGGTTACGACAGTTTAATAATCAATAACAAATTTTGATTTAAATGTCATTATGAACTAAAGTAATATAGGGATTTTGATGGGTAACCATGTCAATTTTGAAACGGGTAATAAAGTGGGGTGGCAGTTCTGCCAATTTCAGACCAACTTTATTGATGCCAACTGAAACAGTTACTAAAATGTATGCGAATAAAAAACGATATATATACCAGCTTTCGTTTTCATTTACCCCTTAGGATTTTTTTTAAATTTTAATGACACGAAAAAGCGATGTGCGCAGTTCCAGAGACACATCCCCTCCAAAATGTTGTAACGCTAACCACTTGTTTGACACTTGCTCATCATTTGACAACCTAACCTACAATACAAACATATCGCGAAAAAGAACCCGGAAAGTACGGTTTATGGGTTTCTTCGCACACATTTACTCGAAATGTCAACTTCTTCGTACACTTCTTGCATCAAAATTGGGGGCGTCCCCATAGTGCCGCCCCTGGTAAGTCGAATTTTTGTGCTGGTCGTACATCTGACCCAAATTTGTACAGGTAACCCCACAAGTTCGTGAAGAATGCCTCAGATACAAGCTCAAAGCGATTGAAATAGAGAATAAGAAGGAAAGGGACAAGCTTTTTAAAAAGTGTATGGAAGATTTGGAACGTCTCGAGAATCAAACCAAAGAATTAACCGTTAAAACAACTCTGGAGCAGCAGTTGGCGCTTGCTGACGAGAGTTCTCCTAGTCATGTGCCTTATGATACGTACAAAAAAATGCAAAATTTGACCAGTGAAACAATTGATGTGAGTGAATATAGTGTTGAGGGTTGTAAAGTTTTAAATAAAAGCACTGAAAGTGAGCAGGAATGCAGCTTATCACCGCCTAAACTGATTAGGAGTAACTCTTACACTTTGGAGAGTCCAAGTCCTATTCTTTTAGCTCACTTAGAAAAAGAGGCACGAAAATGTATAGAATTAGATGATAGTGATTCTGCAAGTTTATCCCCGGTTACTATTATTGATAGTGAATTGGAACCCCCTTTACAAGTTGTGGATACTGATATAAATGTTCAGCAAATCACAGTTACAACCCCTGTGAAGTTTCAAGATAACCAAGACAGCATAGATCCCCAACTTCTGGACATTCTTAGTAAACTACCAGAGGATCATGCTAGGAACATTCTTGAACTGTTGTCTAAACAACATGAAAATAATAAGATAATCAAAGAGCAGATAATCAGTGAAGAAGACAAATCAATTAGTGTCTCAATATCGAGCCAGTCTCTGTATTATTCAACGTTATCACCTGACACGACTAGAGGCAGCCCCAATGAACTCAATATGGTTAATTTACGCAACATTAAAAATAATAATCTGGATCAGGATAAAGCAGCAAATGTGATACAAGCTGGAGTGAAAGGCTATCTAGTCAGAAGACTTATACAGACTGAGAGAGTGCAAAGTTTAATTGAGACTATCAAAGATGCAATTTTGTGTGCTGTTCAGTTGCATAACTCTGATGTTATTGAGGAGGCAGATGTGGAGCTACACAGGAGATTAATCCAACAAGTATCGGCAGCTTGTTATGCATTCCATGACATTTTTTTTACTCTTTCAGTGAAGGAACAAATGGGTATTATATCGTTAGACCGACAGAGAAAAAAAGAGAAAGCAAACAGACCCTTATCAGCAAGCAGCTCAAATCAATCACTCTCGAGAAGACAAAGTGCTCGAATGATCAGATGATCGGACCAAGTGGCTTACTAAAAGACGGTTTATATTTCTATTTTTTATTATTATATAACAATAGCGAATATGACTAAATAAAGTAGTATTTTATGATTATTTACACGAATGTTGCTATTTATAACAGATGATAATACATTCACATTAACATAACCACATACCGGACTAATTACAATTATACATAAATAACTTTATCATTGAAGGCACGTAACTTATACTTTTTATGTAGTTTTTATTGGCTCCTAAAAAATGACTTATCACTTCATGCAAGGAATGATCATCGCTACGACGTAAGCTGAGAAGTCTATCTTTTACGATTAACTTAGTTACAAAAGCGTCTCGATTTAAGGGAAGTGTTCCTAAAAGCGAATGATTGAGAGAACGATATATCAAAATATACACACAAAACGTTGCTTGAATTTATAGGAATTTTTAAAATAAATAAGTTTGTTAACATCGATAAAAATTTATGGTAAGTTGGTAAAATCACGTTGTCGTCTCAGTCGGTATCACTATACTGTCGTGATGTGAAAAACTGGTCCTATCCGCAGGAACACTCTTCGCAGGATCGATCTGAGCTCTGCTTTCAGATCGAAGCACACTATTTCGCAGAGTAATGGGTAGTACCTAGACACATGCACGGCAAACTGCAAACAAAAAAGAAAATAAATTTTTACTACTGCTACAAAGATTCCAATTAACCTAATTTTGCGAAGGACTCTCACTAAAAGTCCTAATTCGATAATTTGTGAACCTATACACGGACCTGTTTTACTCTGTATTAATTTAAGTGAGGTACAACACGAAATTATTTTATTTCAGAATTTAGCCAAGTGATCTCTGATGAACAACTATTTTCCTGAATACAACCCTGAAACTTGTGCAGACTTCAAAACAGTATGCGTTATCTGTTTGACCATTGCTGGCTTAAATGGCAATAAGATTAATAAGGCCATAAAATTTTATTAACACATAAAAATAGTGTTTACAGTACCAACTCGAGGCAATTTCACTTAGTCTCGCCTTGACAAATTGTTAAATGGGACACCCACTTAGGAATTTAAGTGTTGGTTAGTCTTTATTCGAACTGTGATCCTTCAAAAGATAAAATTTTGAAAAATGAATGCAGAATGCCAGATGTTTAAACTTTATTTTTTATTAATTTCTTTATTTTGTTGAATGTAGGAGGTCCACAGATTCCAATACAACCCCTAAAACTTGCTTATACAAATTTTATTAAATAACGGAACACTTTACAGTATGCAAGCAAGATTTAAGAAACAAAATTTTGAAATGACGTCATCAAAGTTTTGGAAGGGATGAACAGATTTATTCTCAATAATGATTAATGACACGCAAATTCTAAAGCAATGGGTGGATTGATAAATTGTAGGTATAGAAGTATATTATTTTGCACATTTTAAATAGGAGTCACTCACCAATATTTTGAAATGACGTCATCAAATTGTGGGTTGCATAATACGATATTGAAATTTTACAACAATAAGCCCCGCAGTTACGGAAATTAACTGTCTAACAAAAACGTCAAAAGACGACAGACAGACGGACGGAAACGGGAGACCATTTTTTTCGTACTGTAGGGGTGGTGAAACGTCGAGAAGTTGACAACTTCAAGAGAGCAATAAAAAACACGATCAAAGACAGCCATGGATTTTTAAAGATTTGTCTTTGAAAATGAAAGTTTGAGTTGAAAATGCAGCAAGACAAGTTTTCGAAAATCTATGGGTGTCCTTGATCGTGTTTTTATAGCTCGTTCGGTATTTTTCCGTGTATTTTAAAAAACTTTGGCAGAATAATATAGAGCGTTGGTTAAGGAAACTTGATATATTTTAAACGAATGTCATTTAGATGGATACACATTAACCAAAATTTGTTCGTTCATCCCCACCCGAAACGTGATGACGTTATCTCAAAATTTTGCTAAATAAAAAATACATACAGAAGTGTGAAATACGGAAAGATTTGTCGTTAGGAGTTGTTAAAAATATTTAATTAATTATCAAAACTGTTTTGTGTTCGGTTTCAGTTTTTTTCTGTTGTTCGAATTATTGTTGTTTATGTAGGTGAAGTCTGGATTTGTTAAGACCATAAATTCTTCCCAATTTAATATTCGATTAAGTGTAAGTGGTTTTGATGTTAATTAAAAAAAAAAACCTGTTTATGTCGTTATCCTGTAGCGTTCATTAGTGAACGGCTAATTTCATGTTTTCTCGACCCTTCATAATCCGTAGAATATGCAAAAATGGATCTCCTGTTTGCGTCTGTCTGTCTGCCTGTCGTCTGTGTCGATATTTATTAGAAAGATAATCTCTAAAACTACTGGACTCATTGTTATAAAATTATATATATATTTTAAAAATATCGTATAGATAGATGGTAAAACGATAACCAAAATAAGTGTAATCATCTCCACTTCAAAATTGAACGATAAAATAAATCCATAGAAACGATGATTATAATGATAACAACGATTACTTATAATAACTGTTCATTAATTTTAACTGAGGATGGTGAAATTCACCCCACATCCACATCCACTCCAGACATCCAAATTAATTTTTATTTTATATTAGCAATTTGCACTGACATTTTCAATACCGTACTTTCTACTTGTGCTTTGTACAGGGTGAGTTAGTTAAAAGGCGACACTTGTAATGACTTTTTGATTTATGAACCTATGTTACCAGAATTTAGTTTATAAATAAAGACGAATGATTTCTACGAATGCATTTTTCATTAACATGAAATAATTGATAGAAAGCAAAATAATAACAAAAAAAATGGTCGAAAGTTATTTCGACAGAACTTCCCTCGCGAAGTACAGTCCAACAAATACTGCTTCTCTGAAAAAATAGAAAATTTGATTATGTGGGATTTTATTTTTGCGTGATAACCTCTATGGATTAAAAAAAGATAGTTGGGAGCCCCAAGAAGATTTAATATTCTTAAAAAAGACATTTGGGACCCCCCTAGAAGGTTTCACATACTTAAAAAAAGACATTTTGGGCCCCCGAGAAGGTTTCTCGTTCTTAAAAAACACAATTGGGACCCCCGACAAGGTTTAACATTCTAAAAAAAAACATTTGGCGCCCCCGAGGTTTTACATTTTTAGAAAAGACAATTGGGACCCCCGACAAGGTTTAACATTTTAAAAAATATATACAGGGTTAGTCACGAGAGAATTACTTCTGAAAATTATTTTTATGCAACCCAAAATACGAATACCATGTATCATTTGATACTAACTGAAATTAAAATGAAATGCTTAATCCATGATTGCTTTGAGTTTGGCAATCTCATTTTGACAATTGTGGAAAAGAAGGTTACGCGAGTGTCCATGGTGGTACCGCAGCCAGTCGGAAATCTCCTCCGGCGCCGCTAATAAATTTGTCAGTGTGCCTCTTGATCTTTTGCAACCGATTAATCAAGAGAAAATTATTTCTAAAAATTCCTTTTACCGCATTTTATTCAAAGGTTACAACACAAACTCAAACAAGTAAGTAAATAATTTAACTACTAATCTGTTGAAAATGTTGGGCATTTTGGGGAGATGCTACGGCTTTTTTGTAAATGGATGGCCGAAGAAGTCCAGAGGTTGCGGATTTGCACTTCGAAGAGGTTCTAGGTGACGCTGAGATGGCGAATTAACACATGCACATTAGCGGCGAACAACATTGGTAGAGAGAGCACTTACGGCTTCAGTATAGCCCAGATTGATCTGACTGTATGTCGTCGATCCAATGGGGCTCTAGAGGCGAGTCAACGATGAAAAAAAATGTTAAAAATTAATTAACGTCAAAGTGACACTGTTAAAATCAAAGCAATCATGGATTAGGCATTTCATTTTAAATTTAGATAATATCAAGTGATACAGGGTATTAGTATTTTGGGTTGCGTAAAAATAATTTTCAGAAATAATTCTCTCGTGACTAACCCTGTATATTTGGGGCACCCGAGACGGTTTTACATTTTTAAAAAAGACAATTGGGACCCCCAAGAAGGTTTCAAACTCTAAAAAAAACATTTGGTGCCCCCGAGAAGGTTTTACATTTTAAAAAAGACAATTGGGACCCCCGAGGTTTCACATTAAAAAAAAAAACATTTGGCGCCCCTGACAAGGTTTATCATTTTTAGAAAAGACAATTGGGACCACCGACAAGGTTTAACATTAAAAAAAATATATACAGGGTTAGTCACGAGAGAATTACTTCTGAAAATTATTTTTACGCAACCCAAAATACGAATACCATGTACCACTTGATACTAACTGAATTTAAAATGTAATGCTTAATCCATGATTGCTTTGAGTTTGGCAGTCTCATTTTGACAATTGTGGAAAAGGAGGTTATGCGAGTGTCCATGGTGGTACCGCAGCCAGTCGGAAATCTCCTCCGGCGCCGCTAATAAATTTGTCAGTGTGCCTTTTGATCTTTTGCAACCGATTAATCACGAGAAAATTATTTCTAAAAATTCCTTTTACGGCATTTTATTCAAAGGTTACAACACAAACTCAAACAAGTAAGTAAATAATTTAACTACTAATCTGTTGAAAATGTTGGGCATTTTGTGGGAATGCTACGGCTTTTTTGTAAATGGATGGCCAAAGAAGTCCAGAGGTTGCAGATTTGCACTTCGAAGAGGCTCTAGGTGACCCAGAGATAGCGAATTAACACATGCACATTAGCGGCGAACAACATTGGTAGAGCACTTACGGCTTCAGTATAGCCCAGATTGATCTGACTGTATGTCGTCGATCCAGTGGGGCTCTATAGGCGAGTCAACGATGAAAAAAAATGTTAAAAATTAATTAACGTCAAAGTGACACTGCCAAAGTCAAAGCAATCATGGATTAGGCATTTCATTTTAAATTTAGATAATATCAAGTGGTACAGGGTATTAGTATTTTGGGTTGCGTAAAAATAATTTTCAGAAGTAATTCTCTCGTGACTAACCCTGTATATTTGGGGCACCCAAGAGGGTTTTACATTTTTAAAAAATGCAGTTGGGACCCCCGAGAAGGTTTCACATAAAAAACATACATTTGGGAACCCCGAGAAGGTTTTACATTTTTAAAAAAGACAATTGGGACCCCCAAGAAGGTTTGAAACTCTAAAAAAAACATTTGGTGCCCCCGAGATGGTTTTACATTTTAAAAAAGACAATTGCAATCCTCGAGAAGGTTTTACATTTTAAAAAAGACAATTGGGACCCCCGAGGTTTCACATTAAAAAAAAAAAAAAAAAACATTTGGCGCCCCTGAGAAGGTTTTACATTTTTAGAAAAGACAATTGGGACCCCCGACAAGGTTTAACATTAAAAAAATATATATATTTGGGACCCCCGAGAAGGTTTCACATAAAAAAATACATTTGGGAACCCCGAGAAGGTTTTACATTTTTAAAAAAGACAATTGGGACCCCCAAGAAGGTTTCAAACTCTAAAAACAACATTTGGTGCCCCGGAAAAGGTTTTACATTTTTAAAAAATGCAGTTGGCACCTCCGAGAAGGTTTCACATTAAAAAAAATACATTTGGGGTCCCCGAGAAGGTTTTACATTTTTAAAAACAGGCAGTTGGGTCCCTCGAGAAGGTTTCTCGTTCTTAAAAAGACATTTGGCGCCCCCGAGGTTTTACATTTTTAAAAAACACAATTGGGACCCCCGACAAGGTTTAATATTAAAAAAAACATTTGGCGCCCATGAGAAGGTTTTACATTTTTAGAAAAGGCAATTGAGACCCCCGACAAGGTTTAACATTCTTAAAAAATTATATATTTGGGGCACCCGAAAAGGTTTTACATTTTTAAAAAATGCAGTTGGAACCCCCAGGAAGTTTTCACATAAAAAAAAAACATTTGGGGTCCCCGAGAGGGTTTAACATTCTTAAAAAATTATATATTTGGGGCACCCGAGGTTTTACATTTTTAAAAAATGCAGTTGGGACCCCCGAAGTTTCACATAAAAAAAAAACATTTGGGGTCCCCGAGAAGGTTTTACATTTTTAAAAAAGGCAGTTGGGTCCCTTGAGGTTTCTCGTTCTTAAAAAGACATTTGGCGCCCCCGAGGTTTTACATTTTTAAAAAACACAATTGGGACCCCCGACAAGGTTTCACATTAAAAAAAAATACCTTTGGGGTCCCCGAAAAGATTTTGCATTTTTAAAAAAGACAGTTGGGACCTTCGAAAAGGTTTCACGCTCTAAAAAAAACATTTGGTGCCCCCGTGAAGGTTTAACATTCTTAAAAAAATATATTTGGGGCCCCCGAGAAGGTTTTACATTTAAAAAAAGACAGTTGGGACCCCCGAGGTTTCACATTAAAAAAAAGACATTTGGCGTGCCCGAGAAGGCGTATTCTCACCTTTTCGAGAAAGTAAATTAATAAAAAATTTATTATGACGTCATGAACATAGAGAACACACGAAGGCCAAGTTTAGAATCGAACGAGGGACGTCCGGTCCGCATTCCTTACTACGACCAATAGACCACCATTGGGATGACTTACGCTAATTATTATACCGTGCATTATGTTTTTGCAAAAATTTGAACGGTTAGGGAAAAACTCAAAGCGGATTCGTACACCACACTTACAAAAGTATATTGTTGTATAACTCTTAAATCAAGTGAACATAGAATTCTTTGAAATGACGTCACCAAATTGTTGGTGCATTGCATGATGTTTCTAATATACATACAAAATTTGACAACAATCGGTCCAGTAGTTTCGGAGATTACGTATCTAATAAAAATGGGCACAGACACCAGACAGACAAACGGAAATGGAAGATCTATTTCTTCGTACTCTAAGGGGTCATGAAACGTCGAGAAAATATAAAAATGGTCACATTTTTTTAATTCATCTGAATTTTTACTTTATTTATTTATTTTGATGTTTTATTTTTTTCTGTAAAACAATGTTTTCTTAAAGCATTTTCTGCGGTTTGTTTTCTAAACACGTTTTTACGTAAGCAATGAAGCTCTATTTTTGAGACTCATGAAATTATTTTATTTATTATGCTTTTTGGAACAATCCATTCCAACATTTTAACAACTTTTACGTAAAGCTGCACTAGCGAACAACGTTAGTGAGAATATTAATTAATTTTTTTAAGAAAAATTGGAAAATTCACGAATATTAAATAGTGAAGATAATAAAGCTAACTTTTTTTTTAAATAAAAAAAAAACAGCAAAATCTGAAAAAAAGTTAAATGGTGTTTCTGTACATTCTGAATGCCGTCCTTTGTAAATTCTAACAGCCGCAGTTTAATTCAGATTTATTTCCACAAGACAACGCATTAATGAATGAAGCAATTTATTTTATAAATCAAATCAAACTCTATTATTAGTATTAAGATGTTGATGGCGTCATCACAAAATTTTGTTTGAACAGTGCACACACATTTTATATTTATTCATAGGAGTTATCATGAAAAAATAAAATTCATAGGGGGCGAGAGAAGTTCTGTGTGGCCTCAAATAAGAAGTCCTAATAGTTTCGAAAACAAAAATTATGTAATAAGGGCATATAGATACCTAAGTTCGACTTATAATTAAAAAATGGCAACAATTTAATAAAAAAAAAAAATTATTCTGATTATGAAAGTTTTTTACAACTAAAAAAAAAGAGATCCGTTACTACCCGGGAAAGTAAAGTCTGAAGATCTGTTTCCTCCAGATTTAAAATCAATTTAGTTTTCCAATCCTAAACAAAGTAAGAGTCTTTAAGAAAGCTTATTCACAAAAAATATCGTTTAAATCGTTACGGGTTTTAAAGAATCGAGCAAAAACCTCGGACTTTTACAACTCCATCTGTTCGGTAAACAGGGTATAAAAATCATCTTTTGTAGTTTAATTCATGTATCGTTGTGTATTGTGAAGTAGGTTTAGCGTTTTAAAATATCACGCACGTTTACAAGCCGATTTGTTCGGTAAACAGAGTAGGTATACAATCCTGTTTTCCGGTCGTGGTGACTTAACCCAACCCTTCAAATGAAGCAAGCATAGGAACCATCAGATGTTGGAATCATTTTCTTATTTCTAGCTATGCTTTAGTTACAATTATACAAATTCTGTCTCTAATACTGTCATCGTTAACACACTTGTTATTCAGTAGATCCAAAAACAATAAATCATTTACGTTAATAAAATTAAGACCTTTTAGAAAGTCGTAAAAACCACTTACTCTATCATCCGGCATTTTAAGCAGCCTCGTCAACACCAGCAACAACAACATCGTCCACTCCTCCCTATGCGCCTCGCTCTGCAACTTCAAAAAATAATCCAAAGCTTCCTGGCACACCCCAATCAACTTCGTCTCGATCAACGACCAGTGCTGCCGCCTGCTGTCATCACAGTACATCTTGAACAAAATCCGCAACGAGCATGCCAAACTGTGCGTCTCCTGCTTCAGCAAATTCGGCTTGGTCGACCCCTTATAGCCCGCCTTCCACAACAAATTTCTTTGTTCGTGGTCCAGGTTGAACGCTTTCGCGAACCTACAACATCGGTCAGTCGCATGACCAAACAAAACGCCAAACCCACCTGTGCGCCTGCAGCAAACAGTCGGTCAACTGCAGAAGATGCGGCGACGTCAGCACCCTGTACATGCCCTGTTCCTCCCTCTGGAACTCGGTCAGCGCGCCGTTGCCGGCCATGTCGGCGGCGGCCAGCGCCAGGGTCTCGGCGTCCTCCTTGCGCGACGTGGCCGGGTAGAAGACGATGTTGTCGATGGTCTGGATGAGCTCGAGCTGGACGGCGCTCTTGATGGCTAGCTTGTTGAAGAGAGCGGCGTCGGAGTTGCTGCGTTCGTAGGTGTAGGTAGAGGGCTTTTTGAGGATGCCTTTGACGTCGCCGTTTTGTTCTATAACGGCTGTGGTTTTCATGCCGTCGGGCTTCCAGGTGAGGAGGGCGGTCGGCACGGTGGAGTCGAAGATGTCGAGCATGCAGCGGCAGGTTCGGTCCCACGTGACCTTAAGCCACACAAGTTAATTTTTTTTGACGGAAGGAAGAATTTATACAAGAAACGAAAGTGTAATTAGTGACACACGTTATTGTGGCTTTATTATATGAAAATATAAATATGGAATTGACATTCAAAATTATTAGAAAATAGTATATTCTCCAATGTCGTAATGTGTACGAGAGTCTTAATGGCAATTAAATGAGAGTTGTATACACTATTTTTTCTACGACCAATTACAATAATGAGACCTTTATTTTAAAAATTTATTATTCATTATCATAAGTGACACCTAGAAATACAAAAGGACATAATCAACGTGCGTTGGTAGCTTGTACTCAATTGAGTTCAAAAGTTAATTTCCCATGTTCACTTTATTTTGAACTGGTTCATCAATGTATGTTCCAGTGACGTTTTAATGAAGTTATAACACCACCAGCGTTAATTACTATCTATTGTCGCAGAACTACAACGAAAGCAGTGTCCAGTATATAAATTGGGATTTCGAAGATTCCAAAAATCTCTTTTCCCATTTTTCCAAATTTATTTATTCCTACGTTTTGTATGGTGCATGTACCGTTGACATAGTTGATAATAAAAAAAAGTGGTCACATAATTTGTTGGGTGAAAACTTATGTAAAGTATTTCTAAAGATATTTGAAAATAGAGTTTTTGAGTATCGTTTTATTCTAAGAATACTGTGTATATTACGAAAAAATTAAAGCCAAAGATTAAGCCCCCCCATACCTGCCCTGGTGTAAAAAGTAATGAAGTTTTCATTCGTTGGCAGACCCTGGGGGCGGAGCCTAATTGCAAAATCCATACTTCATTACAAAAATTTACCATTTTAAAGGTGTTTCAAGTTTCTAAGAATAAAAGAAATCATCACAATTGAGACTGGGTGGGTGGGCGGGGTTTAAATTGTGTCTTTTTTTTACGGGTGCCCAGTAGCAGACCGAAAAATGAGCTAAATAGATTTTCATTTTACGAGCGTAATTTCAACCTTGAAAAAAAGATCGACATTTCAATTGATAGATTATGTCTAAATCTCTGGGGAAGACACAATATTTTTTAAAATAAGTGATTGTTTAGTGTTTAATTAATCGTTCATTCTTCCAAGGAATTTGCATTTTTAGACGAGGAGAGAGCATTTTTCGCTTTAACTTTTATATCAGTGCAAAGACAACATAGAGCTCTATGGGAAAGACCCGGTCATTTTTGTTGAAAATTTATATTTATCAAAATATTTGCTTTTAAAAAAAATACTGACTAATGAAAATAAAGTGAAACTAGGCAACCCTATTTACAAAGTTTTCCGTTTCAATAAATGGCTGAGTTTTACACGGCAGGGAGCCTTGCCGACCGACCCTTTCAGGTAATCAGTTCAGGTACTTTAGGTCATAAAACATAAATACTCTTAGCTGACTAACATTGTTGAAACTCTTTTACAAGTCGACTTCTTTCATTGCTGACATAATTTGATTTAAAAGTATGCAAATTTTTATAATTTAATATATTTTACTAAAATATTTTCTTTGAAAAAATTATTCAAATATTTTTTATTAATCTGTCATTTTATATATTAATCAATACACAAAACTGACAAGATTTAGATTCTCATCACTTCACTAACCACTTATTTACCTGAACAATCACATTTATTTAAATTTAATTTTTTGATACTCTTTTCCGTACCACCTATGAGGTAGAGTATTTATTATAGGCACGTTTTTTACGTGATATCTCCAGTAAACCTATTCCAATATTACTATTTATTCCTGTGTGTGTTTATACTAGAAGGGCAAAAGATTTATATGAACTACACATGACGCGAATGCAAATAAAACATTTTAATTGTACAATTTTTTTTTTACAATTTGTCTAATGGGTTGACTTGTTTAATAACGAGAATCTACTCTCTCCGGAAGTAAGGCATATAAATAAAATTTTTCTAGGGCTCGATCATATTATTTTCCCAAAATTTATCATCTCGTTGAATTAAGCATTATTTAAATTGGACATTTTATATATTTCTACGATAGCGTTTTTGTTTATTAAGCCGTCTGGCGATGCCGCTAAAAATGTACAAACCGCATTGTCTTATTGTCAGTTTGGTGTTACTGCAAAATGCTTCAGTTGCCCTTGCTTCATTTTCTATGCAAAGATTTTGGGAGAGTACATGCTGAACTAGATTTGCAGGGATGTAAATTGTTTTTCATAGTACAGTAGGATTAGCCGTGTTACTTGTTCTCTCATTTTGCAAATTTTACCAAAATAACGTTCGGTTAGTCGAAAGGATTTTTCTGCGCACCATTCTGGATTATTGCGTTCGCCAATTGTGTTTTGTTCGATTAAAAAGACATCAACGTTTGAAAGTTTTTTGAGAAATACGTTTTGCGCTGTGACATATCAGGTATTTCAACTGCCTCGTTAGATACATCGTCGCCCGAGAACTTGTATGATCCACAGACCGGAGCGCGCTCAGGCCAATGTCGACTCTATAAGCCTCCAGAAATTCTGCGGGAAATAATTATTTAGATGCTTTTGTTTACACACGTCTCACATGTTTCACTCGATTTTGACACTCAACTCTTTTTTTGTTTAACTAAGAATTAATACTTTCATTGCGTTTGATACTAACGTCCTAAATTAGCAATACTAGTGGAACAGTAATCATTCAATAGATTTTTTTTTTTACATATTTTTAGTCACAATTTTGGTAGTTATTTTTTACTTTTATTTTTAGCAATAACAAATAGTTCAAACATGAAAAAATAAAAAAAAATAAAAAATTTGAAAATCTAAAATTTAGAAATCGAGAAATTGAACAATCGTATAATTGAAAAATCGAAACATCGAAAAACTGGAAAATCGAAAAATAAAAAAAAAAATGGGAAATCAGAAATTTAATGAATTCCGAAAATTGAAAAACTGAAATATGCATAGAAGAACTGAAAACTCGACAAATCGAAAAATCTAGAATTTTAAAAATTGAAAAATTAAAATATCGAAAAGTTGAATAATTGCGAAATCGTATCAGTGAAACATCGGACAATTGAGAAATTGAAAAATAAAAAAATGGAGAATGGAAAAATTGAAAATGTCAAAAATTAAAATACTGAAAAATTGAAACATTAAAAATTGAAAAATCGAAAAACTGAAAAGCCGAAAAATCTCAATAATGTATTTATAAACCACAAGTTCAAGATTATGCTACAAAAAAATTGATAACGTCATCTCAAAATTTTGCTGAATAAATTCTACTAAAAATGTGCAAAATATGATGAGTTTTTACTTGTAATTTATCATTGCATTCATATTTTTTTTTAGATTTGCTTATATACCTAGGTGGCTCAAAAAAATAATGAATGAGTCAATTTATTCTATTGATTAAATCAGTCTCGACTCACTCCATTTTCCCAGAAATTTTTGGAATACTGTTATTTTTAGTCTAATCCACATTGATTTACGTGTCCTTGCAAAATGTTGATGATTTCATTACAAAATTGTGTACCTAAAGTAAAAATTTAACTCGAAAATGCTGGATATGTTTCATTGTATTTTAGGTGCGAGGGAAGTTCTGTCGAAACAACTTTCCACCAATTTTTTTTGCTGTTATATTTGAACATAAACAGTTTATTTTATATATTTTTAAAACATAAAGAAAATAAAAAGTTGTGTTAGACTGAACCTTGTCGGTTTCTCAATTAATTTTCCGCAGCATTTTAAACTTTCAACTCAATTTCTTTCAAAAAACATACAAATGGATTTCGATGGTTATTTCCCTGTACCCTTCATTTGAAAATAAATAAGCTTATCTGGTGTTGTTTACCGATTTGCATTTTATGACGGACTCCCTACACTGACCATAATCTCTCCGCTCTTGGGTCGATACCTTATGTGGAGCGGTACTTTATTCGTCGTGTGCCAAGAACGCTTAACAGCAAAATCCTTATTTTTCTACGAGAAATTAAAATAGTTATTTTTGTTACAAGTACCTAAAACATAGTTTTAGGTACGTGTTACAAACAATATTTTTTTGTTCAAGCTCCCAAAACACCTTAAAAACCATTTATAAAAACGACTAATTTTGACAAACGAAGCAAATATTTATTGAAAAGTGGGCTAGTGGGCTGCCACCATAGTAACTACAGTGTTTTGTAAACACGAAAAAACCTGACATTTTTTTACACAAAATTCAGAATCCCGCACATATTAGGGAAAAAGCAAAAGAAATCGTACTGGATTTACTTCCAGCGAAGTCTCGGCAAATGTACGAAAAGGAATATCAAATATTCCTAAGATGGAAAGAAGAAAAAAAAATTGTAGTAGTAGATGAAGATGCAATGTTAAATTATCTTCATGAAAAAGTAAGTGCCGCCTTTATGTTCAATATTTATAAGCCTTACACATGATTATCGTGATAATTTCCGTATTTTGTTACAGTCACAAGAAGTAAAATCATCTACTCTCTGGTCAAAATATTCAATGATTAAAGCTGTTTTTTGTCTGTCAAAGAAAATATTGAAATAAACAAGTTTTCCAGAGTCATTGCGTTTTTAAAGAGAAATTCAGTAGGATACGAGCCCACGAAGTCAAAAGTTTTGACACGTCAAGAAATTGATACATTTTTGACAAGTGCAGACGATATGAAATATTTATTAATAAAGGTAAGTTTAAAAAATATTCTATGTATCAGATAGATTTATTTTTTATTTTGTAGGTTGCCCTTTTTTTGGTGTGTGTGGTGCATGTAGGCGTGAGGAGCTACATTCACTAAAAATTCAAGATATTGTCCAAAAAGATGAAGAATGTCTAATTATAACAATTCCTGATACTAAGGGCAACATTAAGAGAGTCTTTTCAGTGATAGCTAAAGGCAAAGCTGTCAATGGCCTGGAATTATACCAGAAGTTTTTACGATTACGGGCAGAAACAGTTCAACACGATTATTTTTTCGTTTGTTATCGTAATGGAAAATGCACTGTCCAACGTGTAGGAATTCATTCTTTTGCGAAAATGCCCTCGGCTGTTGCTGAATTTCTTAACCTGTTGATTTAATCTCCCTGAAACGGCTAGGAGGATGGAAATAATTTTTTTTCAATATAATTATTGTTTTCTTCTAAATAGTAACAAACTTTAGGTCGTCTTCTGTCGCAGAATCATATACAGCCTGTTATTGAAAGGTACGTACAAAATAAAATCGGCAGTTCGTCTCGAAGTATGGGTGCTAAAATTTAAAAAAAGTTCAGGTAAAAGTATTCTCCTTTTAGAGATAAAAATTATTAAAATTTATGTCCAAATTCGTTGTACGCCTCTGATAAAAAGATCATCTTTCGTTTCTATAGCAACATTTAGTCTTGACAAAAGTTTTATTGTTACAGTTACTAGGATTTACTAAAATAAATTAATTTTACCTATTTATCCTTCAGTAGCGTCTAAAAAGATTGGATAAGGGTTAATTTTCCCCTTAAAATTTTGATAAGACAAAATAAGTTTTTCCGACTTCTTAGACTTCGCGAAGAACTGTCCATTTTGTTGTACGTACCTTTCAATAACACCCTGTATACAAGAATCTGTTGAAAGGAAGAAGAAGATATGCAGACAGTTATTGGGAGAAAAGCAAAACGAACCATCGACTAACACACTATTAGTTACTACTGAAGCTACTTCCACGACATGAAGAGACATCAGCCTGATACCTTCAAGCTCCTCAGGTATTTCGTTTGGACACAACAGTTTTCAGGGAGCGCAAAACTGTTCATTCCATTTTCATTTTGAGAAATAAATATTGTATTGTTGTATCTACTCCTTTAGAATAAATGTGGTTATTTAATTATTCTTTTTATAGTTTTTACTATTCAGTCCCAAAAAGTTGCCATGGCAACTTTTTCGTACTAGTACGAAAAAGACTCATTTTACGGACACTTTTGAATCCCTAAAACAACCATTTTTGGGAGCGTGCACAAAAAATATGTTTTTGAGTATTGTATATGTATTAAGGAAAAAAAAAAAAGCCAAAAATTAGACCCCACCCATATCCCTCCCAAGCTCAATTGGACGAATTTTCCATTCGTTTTTAGACCGAGGGGCGGAGCCTAATTGCAAAATCGATACTTTTCTACAGAAATTTTAAACATGTTTTACCTTTCTTGTGGTGAAAAGAAGACTACATATATTAAGAAAAAAGGGCAAAATGCAAGCCCTTGTATATAGTTGTAATACCTAGTCTGTTTTTGAGACGAATAGCAATAAATCTTGTTGATTTAAACGTCGAGAACAAAGCCACAGTGTAGAAAATGATGGTAGCTATTTAACATACGAGGGTTTCGGTGAACAGGTGATTAAATGGCTTAATATTGGTGGACCTCATTATTTCTATCAAAATTTGATTTTCGAGGAATTAGTGCTGCAAACAAGATTTTTATTACTATTTTACGGGATTTTCCTTCAAGTTGGCAGTACTGCACACTACCGCCATTTGATTGATTGAAAACCCAACGTCAACGGATGTCATAAACGACGCATACGTATACTTTCGCTGCGTATTGTCGGAAGTAATTCAGTTACTTTTGAAGTATTGAGTAATTAATTACTTTCCAAAAATGCAATGAGCAATCATAATGAATTACTTTGAACTCAAAGGTATAGTTTTGTTTTTCTGTACGAATATTACCTCGATTACCTCGTTGGGCTTATTCTACCTGGTTCGTCCCCACACAGAGAAGATTAATCCAGTAAGGAGTTAAAATCTAAAGCGAATTTAGCAGAGCTTGTTAGGAAACCATGATACATAGGGTTTTCAAATATCATTTCAACGACTTTGATATGTATTACTTCCCGAGCGTACGCAAAAATTGTCTCCTCGTCAAAATTTTCAAAGTGCAAAAAGTGATTGTTAAAGTGGTAAATTACTTTTAAAGTAATCCCATCACTGGGCATTTATATTCCGCTGTTTCCAATGCTTTCCCAGAACTCAGATCAAACTCACCTCGTCAAACTTATGTCCGTTTGAATTCACTAAATTCTCCAGACAGTTCGTCCCCGACCTCGCCAACTGCTCATTATCCTGTTGCACACACCAGTGAAGCTGACTGTACAATTCCCCCAACAACAACGGTCCTAACACATCAAAATACTGCGTGAAGACATCAACAATGGCATACAAAGCGTGGTTGCACGTCGTGGTCATCCACTCAGCCTTCTCCGTGTGCTGCTCCGGCAACTTCATATTATCGAAAATTCGGAACAATATCTTAAATAAGTCCTTCCACCAATGACTCGCAAAGGTATCACCGTATGTCTTGATAATCTCGAACATCACGGTCAAGGCACGTGTCCTTACGTCCAATTTACACCTATTAATCCAACCATCAAAAAACAATACACCGAATACGACATTGCTCACCTGTTCACCACACACGACAACGAAAAGAGCAGCGGGAACCAACCCCGCACCCATATTCTGTCCTCTTCGGCCACGGTGACATCATTCTCCATGCCGGCGTGTTCGGCGAAGAGATGCGCACACGAACTCACGCTATTGGCGCACGAACGCACCAACCGGATGGCTTCCATGGAGGTGTCCAAAAAGCGGGCGTTGCAAGCGAATTCAGACAAACACCGGACGGCGTCTTGGAATGAGTCGATCATCGCTGGGAATTGCTTGTCGTATAATTCCGTGATTATTTTGCCGGTGGTTTGGAAGGCGAGTTCCACTATGGCTTCTTCTTGGTCGCTAGCGGCGAGGTGAAAGACGGAAAAGATGTTTTTCCAGCCGGATTTTATATTGCTAGCTTGGGAGTTGACCATTTGTGCCACACACCGTACCTGATTAGAAAAAAAAACACACAAATGCATATAAAACAGTATTCGACACTTACCACCATATCGCGAATTGTGGGCGATACATTCTTTTTCATGATGTGCTCAAACGGCCTCAAAAAATCCTTCTGGAATCGGAAATTCGGGAATTCGCCTTTTTCGATAAACTTCATGGACAGCTGCCTCAAACTATCCACAGCAAAAAAGCAAATATCTTCATTCGGATTACAACCTACAGCGTTAAAGTGCTCGCCTAAAACTTGCCATATCCGCGACCATTGTAACCTAATCCTTCCCATATTGTAGTACGAGATCTCCACGATTTTTTGAAGAGAAAACATCCTTGGATGACCTGCGTAAGCTAACTCCTCCAAGGACACCTGAAGTGAACACCCCAATGTATCTAATCTCATCTATAACGAGTGAAAGAAAATTTACCTGACATAATGCCTTCACGAAATCCACAATGGCGTCGCCGTCGAGTCTTGTCGATCCGGTGAAAATCCGGTCGACGGCGACAACGACGCTCTGTGAGCTCGTCTGGCCAATGTGCTCTTTTGAACTCGAATCCGGAGGTTTGTGGCCCGGGCCCGACAAAAATTCCGGTCGGACTCCGGTACCGATCAGTTGGGCCAGTTCGAGTTGGGATATGCACTTGAGTATGTCCAGCCAGCTAGTACCCAAGTAGTTGCCGTCGGTATGCGCTACCATGATGAGGGTTTTGATCGTGTCGATGTTTTTTGCTTTCATGTCCATGATGGGCGAGTTGGTGGTGAGGAGAGTAAATCTGGAATAAATTCACCCAAAAAATACTCAACTTGTCTATTAAATACGTAAAACACTCACCTAGCCAAAGCTTGGACATACGCATCCCTTTCCAAAGTCATGTGAAAAATACAAGCCACCCTAATAGCGCACCGGATCCCATCCAAACACAACGTGGCAACTTCAGGATCATCACAGTCCTGCAACCCCACACTAAAAGCGGCCAAAAACGAAGTCCACGCAGTCTTAAACATCGGCCTAACGTGATCCAAATGTTTGGCCAAAGTAAACGGAGCCTGCACATGCGATACACTCTCCATCAAGTTCTTCGCGGCCGTCGAAATAGCCTCCATTTCCATATTAAACAAAATCTTTCTTCGTTTCTCGCTGTTTATTTGCTGCTTTCCCGGTTTATTCACCGTGTTCTTCATTTTAATCTCGTGTCCGGCTATTTCGTCATAAATCTGCGATAAGTACTCTTCAGGAACGTCCTTACTATCGGTATTCCCCCGATTTATCTTGATGTACTCTTCTTTGGTCATCTTGTTCTTCACTTGCGGCGAATGCAAATCAGTCGTAAGCATGATTATGGAAAATCCTAGAACGTAAGCGGTGTCTGCGCTAGCGAAAAGCCCGTTGTTCGGATTGCACTCGCAGTAACGACTTGCAAATTTTTCCATCAGTCGATCGATTTTTTGGGCTTCGCCGGGAAGCCGAAAACCGTCAAGGAAATGTCGCAGCGCCGCCACGAAGTCCATGTTGGTGAAATCCATTTGATCGACGTAAGTGTACATTACTTCCTTGCAAAACTCGTCGCTGTCGCCGAGAAAATCCCCGATGAAAGTTTTGTCCAACCTTAAAAAACACGTTTTAGAACTGTTTGTAAATTTTTCAAAAATCAATCAAACCTGTCTTCGTTGTGTAGAAATTTGGCTATTTCTTCATGACTAGTTCCCAAGAGACCGTGTTCTTGCAGAAACGCCACCCCTTTGCGCGGTTTTCTGTTAAACATGTCGATTCCCGTTTCCCACACTTCTTTCTGTTGTTTAAGAACTTCTAGTTGTTCGGGTGAGTCTAGTATTTCTTTGTTGCCGCTCGAGCAATCGCTTGAGTGTAAACTCGTGGAAGAACCACCATGAGACTTGAGGGAGGCGTTATCGCTGCCGTTTACGGTTTGTTCACCTACTGTTGATTGGGAGTTTGGGTTGACGTACAGGTCTTTACTCCACTCGACCATACATTTTAAGATGGAGACGAGACATTCCAGACCCAGCATTTTCATGGCTCGCTCTAAATAAAGCAAGCACATTTTAGTTTTTCACTTCTCTACGTATAATGTAGTTTATTATTCACGAAGATGAAGTTTACACAGGAGCCGAAAGCGAGTTTGTAAATCATTCGAGTAAATTAAATATCACCTTTTATCTACGAGTTAATACTCAGTATTAATTATAATGGCCAAATACATATTTAAATTTAGATAGAATAAAAGTTAAAACTAAATTTTCGAGACAAGTTTGAACAATACACTGATGTGAAATCATATCAAAACTTAAGTTATGCCAACATAAACGCAATAAAAGTTGACATTTGTTTTTGAAAAGTATTACTAAAAGACTCAGTCATTTCTGATCACAGGGTATATTACTTAGTGTATTGCTGGTGGTATAGATACGGCAACAGCGCTAATTTATATCACTGACACCACGGTCTCCGGTAACAGGCAAAATTTAATCCCCCTGTAAAAATCATCAAACGTCAACAACAACTAATAAAACTGGTAAAACATATTTTTATGATTAATTCGCTGTTTAAATCTGAGGAAATAAATTAGTTAAATATATAATATAGTTAAAGCACATAACTAACGTGATAAAATGTCATTCAGCACTAGGTAATAGCAATCTGATGCTCAAGACAAATGTTTATTTATGTTAATACATTGAATGAATGTCACGTAGAAATGAGTTTGTCTTCTCAAAACACAGTACTAAAATTATTAATTAAACCACAATCGAACAAAATGTTTTGAATATTATAATTCTTATTTTATCATTATTGTTATAATGACGTATTTTTCATATTTTCGTTCTTAATTTGATCCATAAAAAAATTATAATAACGTCATCAATATAGATAATACCGATATATAATACTAAAGCATGCGCACGGCTTCGCCGCAGGTCTCCTAGTTCCCGACTTAGCCACTACGCCACGGGGACTTCTGTCCAGTGTTGGTAATATAACGTTATTATACATTGCAAAGGTTTTTGCAAAAATTTTAACATTTAGCGAAAAAACTGAAAGCGAATTCGTACCCTACAAGTACAGGAGTATATTTTTATATAACATTCAAATCATATCAAAATAGAATTCATTGAAATGACGTTATCAAATTGTTGGTGGGGATGATTATCCAAATTTGACAACAATCGGTCCAGCAGTTTCGGAGATTACGTGTCGAATTAAAATGGATACAGACAGACAGAAACGGAAAACTACTTTTTTTCGTACTGTAGGGGTCCTGAAACGTCGAGAAAACATAAAAGTGGCATTTCGTCCGATGGACTCGATTACTATACTTCCTTAGCTTACGCTCGGGAAGTAAAAATAATTAAACTACGCCTTACATCTTTTACCATCTTTTGTTTCCAGAGCATCACCCTATATCAAATTTTAAAAAATCATACCGTACAATCAATACTACTTTAAAAACTATTTTCTTGTTTGAAATACCGCCAAAATATGAAGCAACTCTTCAAAGTTAAGAATTACAATTACTCAAATGTATTTTACTTTGATTTAATTACAAATTACTATAACTCGTATTGTTTTTAGCTTAATTTAGCACATTGTAAATACGACGCATTCATGGCGTCAGCGTCGCGACACAAACCTACATATTTTTTAAATGCAACGGATATATTTTTTAACGGATTCTAGTAAATCGTTAAATTGCAATTACAGTGATATATAAAACAATCAAACTGTCGTAAAATAGTGGTAGTTCTTTATTTCACTCAACTTTTAATTTTTTTGTTTATGATTTTGTTTTTTTTAACTGAAAATAAAATATCCATATGTCTTACGTTATTGTAATCGTAATTTAACGTTCTCTCAAAATCCGTTAAAAAAATTTATGTTGCAGTTTAAAAAATCTAGGTTTGCGTCATCCGACATATATGCGTCATATTTGTGATGTACTAAATTAAGCTTCCTCATTTAAGCTAAAAACAGTGGGGTTTACAGAATTTCAATATCCTATCCGTTCTCAAAATATTAGCCACTTTTAGCTGAGATACTCTGTATTTACGTTTCATACATAGGGTGTTTGATTAAAAAAGTCATCAAGTTGGCCTTGATTTTTTGTAAACATTAAACCTAAAATTTATTCGGTGACAGCTGACAACGCCGAAGTGACAATTATACACAACAGTATTAATAAAACACATGCATTTTTCGCTAGTTTTTTTTTCTATCAAAAAAGCAAAGCCAACTTGATGACTTTTTCAACTGAACACCCATTAATTATCTACTATATCTACACATGACAGTAATGTTCAGCATACATACGGAGCACAATTTGACAACGTCCGTACTTGGCGAAATATTTAGCCCTTCCTCTAAATATTGGCGGCATGACATACGACAGTTCACAATGACAGTCTGATTTGTTGTCACCGGTTAAACATAAAATTTTGACCAGATAAGACTGATTGTGGCAAACGACATACTCTCTAAGAAAAAAAGGGTGGGTGGGCGGGGCTAAAACTTGCTAAGATGAGACTGAACAATATTAAGAGTAATCACTGGAACGAAGAAGGGGTGGGTGGGCGGGGTATTGCTTGCTCGTCAAACTAGAAAAAAGCTAAATTTAGCCCCGCCTACCTCCTTTCTCCATTTCACTAACTTATTTTATTTAGTGCAAAATTGAAATTGAAAAACAACAGTATTGTATTCCCAAAATTTTCTGGGAAAATGGAGTGGGCCGTTCCTGATTTAATCAATAAAATAAACTGACCCATTCATTAATTTTTTGAGCTACCTGTTTAAGCAAATCTAAAAAGTATGAATGCAATGATAAATCACAAGTAAAAAGAATTTAATCGGCAAAATTTTGAGATAACGTCATCAACTTTATGGGGACAATAAAGAGATATATTTTGATTAAGCATGCTTACAATAACTTTAAAACGTCTGCAACATTTAAAAGTATACAGTTTTGCAATTCTTGATTTATTCAATAAAATAAATTCATTGATTCATTATATTTTGGGTCACCCTGTATAAGCAAATCTAAAACATATGAATGCAATGATAAATTACAAGTATAGACTAATCATATTTTGTACATTTAAGATAGGATTTATTCAGCAATATTTTGAGGTGACGTCATCAATTTTTTAGGGGGGATGATTAAATACATTTTGATAAAAAAATTACCATGCTTATGATAACTTTAAAACATATAAGATTTCAAAGCATTCGGTTTTGTAGTTCCTGATTAAATCAATAAAATAAATGCACGCATTCTTCTTTTTTTCTCACCCTGTATAAGTAAATCCAAAAAATATGAATGGAATGATATAGATTCATCATATTTTGGAAATTTTTGAAAAGTTGTCTAAAAGTCCACAAAAAAATTTAGGCGGTAGATCTAAATGTGAACTAATTCGAAAAACATAAGGTGTTAATTGTCCCGGACCCAGGTTTTTTGAAATATTCGGTTTGGAAATGAAAATTTTGGAATATCTCAAAAAAAAAAACGTCATTCGTTTATCGATTCAGGGATGCGATTTTGTTTCTCGATCGAAAAAAACTCGATAGCGATAAAATCTCGTTTGCTGGTTGAATGGCGAGTTGGTGAGACATTTCTGTCATATTTCTCGATTCTGTCACGAAATCAAGTCTTCATGGAGTGATATTTTCTCGATAGCTCTGAGTGAACTGATAAATTTTGGAGACATAACCTCGAAATTTATATCAAAATAGAAGTTCAAAATCGTAATTCTGAGTTATAAGTTCTTAAAATTAAGGGAATTGTAAACTTTTGAGCATTTAATAAGCTTATATGCAAAGAATAAATGCAAACTTTGCATTTAAAAGCTACGCAATGACATTTATCGCAAGTGATAATTTATCACTTCGATTGAGAAACAAAGTCCCACCCCTGGAAAAATTGCTGGAATTTTCGTAAACTGAATCCGAAAATAATTTCTACATAATAAAATCTACAAGAAAATGTCTTCAGCCAATTTTCGAAAGGTGCTGGCAAAACGGTCAAAAAAATAACATGTTGGTAGTCCTGGCGCAAAAAACCTCAATTTTTCAGACATTAATAATAATGATATCAATTTCACCCTAGCAACACTGTTTATGACTGATCATTGCCAACGACGAATAAATTCTATACTTCGATAGCCAGAAGCTCCTAAGTAATATTTTTTACTTAAGTAACGTTCTCAGTCTACTTACTACAGATTCTGCTTAATTATACAGGGTGACTGCGAAATAAGTGCAAATATTTTAACCACGGCATCCCCCACCCTAGTAGAGCCGAAATATAGAAAAAACAAATTAAAAATCGAATGGGGCAAAACCCCCATGAACCACCCTCGATACGAAGGCACTGAGCCACCTTGTAAACAGAGTTGGAAAAACGTTCGAATAAAAACGACCTAAACACTTTCAGTTTCAATTAAAAGTAAAACCGACTTTTTGCTGCTTATCATTCGTTCATTCATTTACTCATTCATCGTTAAAGGTCAGTGTGAAAGTTTTTTGGTAATTTTATTATTATTATTATTATTATTATTTAATTAAATTGCCCAACGGAGAAAATTCCATTTACAGGGCAAGGTTAGAAGTAATGAATATTAACAAACAAACAAACAAACAAGAAAATTGGTGAAAGAATTCAATGTAACTAACACAGCAAGAAGTGTTCACGAATCCTATTGAAGGAATTTAATCTAAAAATATCTACAGCGTGTTCAATATTTTCGTAATTTGTAATCATTCGATAGATAGGAGAGTTAGATAGGATGTTCGTTTTGAACTTTGATATAAAGAAAACATTATGAAGCCTTTTATTAAATGCTGGAACTGCAAAGTTTATATTATTTAGTAGCTCTGGACTATCGATTAGGTAGTGAATTAATTTAAATAAGAAAATTACAGAAAAATACGATCGCCTGCAAGACAGAAATGGGAGGTTTATACGTTTAAGAAGTAAATCTTCTGGGTAACCTCGAGGTGGATAAACACCGTCCATCAAGAATAATGCAGAT